CATCGGATGCGAGACTTGACGTTCACGGGAACCATGCGAAGGTGAGACCTTTGGTGTTCCAACAGCAAAGACTCCCGCTATAAGATCGCTGACAAGCATCCAGGATGAATGGATGGCTACGTGCTTTCTGAACAACGTCTACTGTTGTTACCTATCAGCACATTGTTCCCATGGTTTACAACCCTTATACAATGGAATTTTTAATGTCATCAAAGGTGCGTATCGGAAAGAACTCCAAATGCTGGCTAGTTTGACCGATTCTGCGCCGGTTGACAAAGTCAACTTTATTCGGGCATATGCGAAAGCCAGGGAGGCGGGCATGAGGAAGGAGATTATCTTATCCGGCTGGAGATATACTGGAAATTCGCCTATCAACCGTCACAAAGCTTTAATACATCCGGAAATTCAACCGGACAAAGAAAAACTGCAGGAACAGTTCCAGACGCCGAGCCCTCCTCCACTGCACTCAGATGATACGCCGAAAACGAGCCGGCAAGTGAGGGATATGGCGAAACACCGAAGTCGACCGACCAGGTGGAAGCACAGTAAGATCACAAAGGGCTTAGAAGCTTCAGAGATGAAGGTGGGCGTTCAGAATGAGCGGATTGCTGGCCTCGAAGAGCAGATGGCCCAGGTGCGGCGAGGTAGTAAAAGGAAGGCGGTACCAAACCCGAACCGACGATTCATGGCTCTGTCGGAGAATCTAGCGGCTGGAGAAGCTCTCCCTGACTCAAAAGAGGCAGAAATAGAGGTGGATGTGGATGAGGAGGTCGAGTCGGTGATTGAGGTGGGTGTCGGATCAGAGGACGAAAGTGATGACTTTATGGTTGTAACAAAGCACTGCCAGCGCACACGGAGCGATTGGGAGGTTGAAAACCACGCAGACAGTAAAATTTGAAGAATTTTCTAGAAACTTTCTCCAAAACCTAATTTATTAATTGAGAATGGGGCCTATTTTTGTAGATATTAAAATTTGGATGTTGTATGGGAGGAGCGAAATTTTGGTTATGCATTAGGTGGTCTTGGATGGTAGTAAGGTGGGAGTACCGGTACCTTGCTTTAGAAGGGAATTGCGCAACTAAAAAAATGTCCCTCTCCTTTCCGTCTTCATCTTGGCGTCTATCTACATTTCGTCTACATCGGTAGATAGATTCCCCACCATGATTCTGTATCATGGTGAAGTGGTGGAGTTGTGTGAAGAACGTCATCTGGATTCCGCAATTCAAGGGTTCGAAGGAGTTTCGTGGGTCCCTTTCTAGATTCAAAGAGAGCTTGTGATTATCCCCGGGGTGCGTCGTAGGACGCGACACATCAAGCGAGAGAGCGTACTTGTGCTCGTCATGGGCAGCAAATCAGGACGCGCACCCCAGGCTCGACCAGAGCCCAAGGGATGTCAAAAGCTCTGGATTCCGTATTTACCGCGCTGAACGAGAGGCTGTATTGTTTACCTGGCAACGACAGAGTTGCGTAGTCCCCGAGAAACACCAGAACTGGGAAGAACGTGGCCTGCTCTGGGGATTCAAATCTAGTTGAGAACAGTTGATGTGTTCGATTGGCGGCCAAGATTGTTCTCGCGTACTCTATCACAAGTTTCTTTCTTGTGGAGATGATTCTCAGACGACAGGCTTCAATCCCATGCTGTCGGTGTCATTTTGAAGACCAAGCACGGATGGTTTAGTGAAGAGTTGTTAAGGCGAAGAGCTTCATACCGCGCACGGACGAAAACCGTGTACTTCGTCAAACTACTGCTGGTAACTGGTACAGTAGATGTAGCTGGACTGCTCATGGGTCAAGTCTTTGGGGACCGTGTGCGAGCCTCATGGTTGATATGCTTCTTCGGCTTTCGGGCGGATCGACATCGCTTCAAGTTATAGTTTCCTTAACAATTTTGCATAGTGGAGGCCGCATGCATTGCACAACGTCCGCCCTCCATCAGGTCCGCGTCGCCATTCAGGGGTGTCGATTCGGTCGCAGCTATGGCATCCGCCAGGTGGAACCGCACGCTGCCAACGTTCACGTGAGCTTTGTCTTGTTTTCCTCGCGTGACGAGCCTTACCCTTCGTCGCTTCTTGACCTCCGTCATACCATACTGGGGCTTCATTGCATCTCTGTGCCTAGGCACGTCGTGCTCCTCTTCGTTGGGGCCCTTCAACTTGGCTCCTTCACAAGTTCGCTCGTTCTGAATTGATGTTTGCACCAAGTCTCTCACTTGTTCCAGAGAACGCTTAATGATGTCAATGTTGCTGAGCATGTCGCTAACTTCCTGTCCCGTCGGCAGTCTTTCGGGGATGAGGTGAGCTCCGTGCTGCTCATCGGCAATTCGGCTGTACGCTTCGACAAAGTTAAAAATCATGCGGGATGAGGACCCAATCTAATGATAGTCAGCATTAACGACCGTGCATACTCGCTTAGTTCGACTTACTCGGCTCAACGAATCTTGATAGCTCCAGTTCTCAAAGTATATCTTGACCGTAGCATCATATAGAGCTCGGGTAGCGTAATCGGCCTCTTCAGCGTGAGGAGGTGCCCTGGGATCACAAAGACCTGGGACATGAGGAGGAACCGCGTGCCTGGGATAGCTCATACAAGCGGGCGGAGGCATCTGGCGAGGAGATAGTTGGCCGAGTTGGTAGGCAGCTGGAGCCGGAGGCGGAAGTGGCGGAGGAGAATGCGCATACACTCCGTTGAGAGGATGATGAAGCTCAGGAGACTTCTGCTGTTCAGGACGGCGGTGTTGAGTAAGGATCTCTGGCTTAGCTGAGAACCCCTGGCGGCGGTCAGAAACAGGAGACGGTAGCGGCCGGTTGGTGAAAGGAGGCCCGGGGGTATGCGAGAAGGCGGGAAGAGCATCCTGTCGGGGAGGAAACGGTGAAACCGTGTGCCGTTGCTGCAGAGAGAAGTGCTTCTCAGCCTCGGGGAACGATCGAGAAGCGGGACCGAAAGGCGATGGAAGACTGAGCCCCAGCTGAATGCTAGACGGAGGTCTAGGAGGATAAGGGCCTGGTTTGGTTCCCCGAATGACCTCAGGGACCGGAGGAAGCGATTGGCGGTTCGAAGGTTCATGATCGTCGGCCGGCTTCCGGGATTCCACAAAAGAAATCATGTTGAGGGAGCTGGCACTAGATGAAGAATGGGGATAGTTTGAGGAGAAAGATGGCTGAAATACGACGTCTCGAGAGGATCCCTTTGAGATAGGACGAGTGCTGTTGGTGACGCTAGTGCGAGTGGTACGGTTCGGGTAGTTGGTGGGGTTGTCCAGAGTCAGCAGAATGGCGGCTGTACGAACAAGGGGTTGTTAATATGGAAGGGACAGACATATACATGAGAGGAGGCAGTGTTGGAAGAATTGATGGTTCCCTCTGAACTTCAGGATTAAGGTTCAAGATTAAAATTAAAGTTTGATGTCCTAAAACTCAAATCGTAGGATCTAGGACTCAAGGACTCAAGTCCTAGAAAGAATCAGTCGAAGATATAAGGCCTCAAAGGTCCTTCCGACTGCAAGGAGAGAATAATAACAATCAATTATCAACTGCACTCAGCATCCATGCGTGATCCAACAACATAATCAGTCGGTCATTAACCGTTCATCATTCCAGAGGCTGAACGCCACATATCGAATGTCGCCAGGTCAGAGCTTTTAGCGGCATAAGTGTGATCATACTTACGTAGCAGGACACTGTACTTGCAGCACTCAGCCATACCTGACACGTGAATTATCACTGATATGCAATTTGAATAGTAAATAATTGGTTAATGCAACAAGACACTGCCTATGTCCTAGACTGGTTTTGTCGATTGACAGATGGCTACGCACGAATTTATGACGGTGTGATGAGCTTGGTGTGAGTCTAATCTTGGCAGATGCAAATGCCACGTCGATGTCAGTTATGTATTTTACATAATGGGGCGTGCGATCGTTATAGCAGTGATACTCCAGTCGGACCCAGTATAAAGAGATTCCTGGGACTTAGAGCGGGGAAACAGCTCAACCAAGAATATATACGCATTCCATAAGACACATTAGAGAATCAGGGCTTGTGACATCGACAAGCAGGCCACGACGAGGGACTTGGGTTTATTAGAGAAGGGCTGGTATCATCCGCTTCCGCTCAGTCTTCCCCCGGTTATATGCTATCTACTTGCAACTCACGCGAAACTCGATACCATTTTATTCGGGTTAACACGGCCCTAATAAGGCCATACCAACTTCATAATAACATTGAGTAACTTCATCACCATGGCAGTTATAGACTTAATCTACTCCCGCAATGACGCTCTCGACGTCAACCCTCAGGGCGACCAATCTCACCTCTCCGAGGGAGGCTCTAACTGGCTCTGGGCTGTTATGGCCTGCTTCAGCCTCGCCTTCGTTCGTCGACCCTGTGAATCCTTACGCCGCAAAGTTTCTCGCTAACCACACGACCTACAGCTCGTCTACTATGCCCTTAGCTTCCGGCTGCCTTGGCTGTCCAATTGGGCACCAGTCTTCCTGAGCAGCAGCGCTGCCCTCAAATCAAACAAATCAAATCCGGGGTCATATTTCAGAAATTTGATAGTCCGCGATGCTGGATTTGTTGGCCGCTTGTTTGATTGGATTTGATTCATTTTGAGCGCTGCTGAAGACAAGCCTAGCAGTCGGATCTTTCGAAACACTCGTGTTGACGCGCAGAAGTAGCGATCTCACTTGTATAGATGAATGAGGGATCTGAAAGAGACTCTCTGATGCCTTTTTGCGGGCGAAGTAGGCGTAACGGGGGGCTGGGGGTGGCGCGCCCCATTTCTTGTTTTGTTATGCATAGAGTAGACGAATCGTCATTATGCTGTTTTTTTACCGGTTAATCTGTAATCTTATGTCTCTGACTTTTGTCATAGCGCTCGGAGCTTCTCCGAACGACTCGATTAGCGCGTCTCGCCAGAGCTTTGGCTAGACACCTATACTATTTTATCGCCCTCGTATCCCCCTCATACACTCTATAAACACATGATTGACCTTCCATGAGCAAATAAAGGCTCTACAACCGAGGTTAGCATTACTACATGTTGGGGGGACCGTGGAACCTCAAAGACTACTGGGGAAGACTTATGCTAACCTTTTTTCTTTTGTTAAAAGAAAAGACAGAGCATATGGAGCATACAAACGCCATTCGCAGGTATACTACCACCTATTCGTCATCATCGCCCTGCAGCCGTGCGAAGCTCACCCTGGCTTCAAGCGTTTGTAATGTCGATATAGCGCAGTGGATCGCTAACCTGAAAGATTCAGGAAGCTTGTTATCATTGGAGACAGTGCTTGCGGCAAGACAAGTTTGCTAAGCATGTTCACTCTTGGCAATTTTCCAGCAGTAAACCTTTCCCTTCGTCCAAACATTTGATTTACCTAACTTATACAAAGCATTATGTGAGGACTATCACCGAATGATAACGACTGAGGTGTTAAAAACGAGCCAGGTTCCAACAGTTTTCGAGAATTATATAACTAATTGTATAGTGGATGGACGAGCTGTGGAGTTTGCCTTGTGGGACACAGCTGGGCTGGAAGGCTATGAACGATTAAGGCCACTTGCATACTCACACGCAAATATCATTCTAATCGGTTTCTCTGTCGATGACCTCTGCTCGTTAGATAATGTCAAGTGCAAGGTTCGATATTCTTACTCAACACCTCATAGAAGCCAACTAATAAGCCTGGGTCAATAGTGGAGTAAGGAGGCTACTCGCCTATGTCCTGGCGGTCCAGTTGTTCTTGTTGGCTTGAAGAAGGACGTTCGGGAAGACAGGGCTGCCGTCAGATCAATCAAATCAGATTAGGACCCAAATCTGATCTGAACTGATAAATCACCATTCGAATCTGATCTGATTTGATTGATTGATTGATATCTGATATGTCGTAGCTCACGTGAAGCTTCCCTCGGCCTCACGACCCCACCGTCGGATCCTAATCGGCCTTGTTACTCGAGCATAGGCCTCCGAGAGTAACACATCCTCCCCTAACCCAGTTCTTCAGTAGCTGGATCGATTCAATGCTCGATCCAAGTAGAGAATGTCGCTGTGAGCTGACTGTAAGCTTCGCAAGACTGAATGCCCTCTCGCAGTCGGTTGACATGGCCGGAATAGCAAGAATATCCAGTGCAAACCTACTCAAACGTGGGAAAGCATTGCTATGGTCAATCCACCAACGAATGGGGTCATCTACCTGTTCTGGTTCGAGCCTGTAATACCGTTCAAGTTCACTGCCTGTTGCTGAGAGCTTAGGTTGCCGGCTTTTTATCCACTGCTCAAACCTACTTTGCTCAGGTCGGGGCGTCAACGAGGGCGTGATGAAGGCACTCTCAGAGACATCATCGTCATTTCTCGAATACCAACGCTCAAAATAGACTTTGATGCCCTCCTTTGCATCCCGAAGCCATTGTAGCTGTTCTGGGGAAGTCCAATTGGTCTCCAGCCACCGGAGGCCAAGATCCGGATTCAGAACAACAGAAGCTGCAAACAGAGGCGACCGTCCTAGGAGAGTATAGTACTCGTTCAGCTTAATCCAAGCATTATTTATACTTGCCCTAATACTAGCGCGCTCCTGACCCTCCATACTGGCAATATTACTCATCGAACGAGCATCGTCCTGCAGGTAGTCTTCTCGGGAATGTACAGGAAGCGCATCTTCATTAAACTGTGAGCTAGCAGGTGGACGAGCTGGAAGAGCCGTTTCGCGACGGCGGCGCAATGGTGTAATTTCGTATCCTTGAAGTCGTGATGGTAATCGTGACTGCCGTGAGGGTCGCTCCCGGATTTGTCCGACTGTCGGTTGCCGCGAAAGTGTTGGTGTCACACCCATGGCCGGTCCAGCTTCCTCCCCCTGGGTTGTATACCTTTCTTCCGCAGCCGGATCAGCAGTTTGATCCTCGTAGAGAACCCTCCAGTCTTCGAGATGTTCTAGGACAAACTCCATTCCTGTCATGACTTCCCAGAGCCGGCCGTGACCCCCGCTTGTACCCCATCCCTGTGTTCTCATCGTCATATTGTAGACCGGCTCCAAGATATGACTAACTTCCCTGAGGACCTTCCAGTCATCAGACGTCAGAACATCAGCCGTGGGAACCCTTTTTGAGGCGTCTGCTTCTAGCCCTAACTCCTGAATGAAGCTGTTGAGCTCAGACTGCTTGACTAAGGCACGCTTAATCATCATATAAGTCGAGTTCCACCTCGTAGCGTTGTTCTGTATGACTTCAAGCTCGGCAGTTGATTCTTCTGCAAGCTTATATGTGTCTACCTCCTCCTGCTCCTTTGCATGTGCTTTGAAAGCTTCGGTGCGTTGCGGAGAGGCTCGGATGAACTTGACGATATTGTGAAGCTTCCCAACTGGACCCTTGGCTCGCCAGTGTTCGAGATCTTCTTCAACCCGCTCTAACATGTCATAGGCCTCAGACTGAAGTTCGAAAGAAGCTGCATCACGCCGTAGAGGAAGGCTTGGGGAACGAGGTTTAGAATATGACCGAAACATCGCCTCCTTCGTGCCTCCGTGTCCGCTCGAGTTATCGAGGCATCGAGAGTTGTGTAGAGGTTTCGCAAGCAAACATCATTACTGGCCGCATTATCACAGATCGAGACCCCGAGCTTACCATCGATACCCCAATCACGGACCACGTTCCTTATGGTGTAAGCGATGTTCTCGCCGGCGTGAGATCCGATCTGCCTCTTGAAAGCCAGCAGCCGGCTTTGATATAAGTGTCTCCGATCGATAAAGTGGCCAAAGATGGAAATAAAAGCTAATCTGTTGGGAGAGGTCCAGAGGTCGAAGCTAAGATGTATCTGGGTAACAGTATTACTGAGTTCCTCCTGGACAGCCGCTTTCTTTGAAACGAGTATGTCTTCTAGATCTTTCTTGGTTGCAGTTCGACCCCAGGGCACCTGAGCATAAAGATCAGAGTCCAGCTGACGGAACAGCTCCTGCAGATAGGTACTCTCAAAGGTAGTAAAGGGGAGATTAGAATCAACGATATAACCAACAGAGAGCTCTCTAATCCGTGCCATCTTCGCTCGAGGAAGAAGGAGGGAAGAAGAACCCGGCCGTTTCTTGGATCCATTTCTCTGGAGGTCGAGAACTGAAGGGTCACCAGATGAACCCGCTTCAAAGGTCTCGGTGATCCTGTGAGCTCTAAAAGCCGTTAGTGATAACCTGGAAATGGCAAGTACCACGAACTTGAAAAGATGAGCTGATGCCGATGATGTCGACTGGGCATTGAAAAATCGAGGCGCACCCTTATCATCGCAGAGCCGGCAACACCAGCTATCTCCACTGGATGTATTGTCTTTCCTCAACTCTGCAAGGAACCAGCCATGGTTTCCGATCCAGCTTCGCCTGCCCCTACTTTTCCTCTTATCTAAGAGGCTTGCAATAGCAAAACGTCGTTGGCCCCAAATGATCTTGTAAAGGTCATCAACGGACGAATCGGCAGTCGAGGCCAAAGTTAAAGCGGCATCATACTGCTTAGCGATGGCCTTAGACCGAGATCCGAGACGAGGAAATGCGGGTAGTGGCGGCGATGACGACGGGCTACTAGCAAGGCTGCCTTTTATAGCGGTCTCCCGACATTGTATGTTGCAATCAGCAGGGGCTTCAACAGATTGAAACCCATCAGCCAAGATAAGCTTCCAAACATTGAAGGATGTGTTGGCTTCTCTGGCTAGGGCTGTGTCGTACTGGGGCAAGAGGTAGGAAAAAGGGGCAACTTAACCAATTAATCTGCCTGTAGATTGCTCTCCAACCGAGCGGGCTGGGGTTCAAAAACAGCCAATCGGCTTGACTCCGCCCTGTCGCATCACTGCTTGTTAGGGAAGTGCCCCACTCTGAGGACCGGAAAATATGGATGATCCGACAGTTCTAGGGTAGTCATCTTCCTTTCTAAGGATATCAGATATATCAGATGCACAGATGCTTGTGTCTGAATTGATTGATCTGTTAGGACACCGTATTTGATCTGAATTGATTGAATTGATTGATATATCTGATTGTTAATCTGATCTGACGGCAGCCCTGGCCAGAACAAGACCTGAGTATAAGACTGCTGTGCGGAGCGCGAGTTCCTTTCGAGTATACCAAGCAGAGAGCATAAAGAAGGCCTAAAGTTAGGAATTCTGTGGTTAACTCTGGCGCAATCATGAATTATTGTAGCCCAAAAGCTGAGCGAGTTGACTTACCCCAGGGAAGAAGGGCGCCTCAACTATCCCCAGAAAGAAGCACACTGCAATAAGGCCAGAGAAACTCGTAACGCCAGCAGTAGCTGCCGACACGCACGACCAGACCACGACGCAGGCCGGTAGGTAAATGCTTGGTCGGACTCTAGTCAAGATCATATTCGAGGGTAGCTGTGCAAGCATGTAGCCCACGTTTAGGATCGAGACCGCAACATTGAACTCATTGCCGACGAGTCCAGTGTCCTCTTCGAGTTTGTCGAGACGTGCTTGCCTGTAACGCGGTATGCATTAGCGATCGATCCATTATAGACTGAGCTCTAGAGGATATTAAGACTTGCGCAATGTTGTTTCTGTCCAAGTAGTTGAACATGTAGAGAACCCAGACGATAGGCAAAAGTGTCATGTCCAGCTTGCGAACAATTCGCTTCTCAGCAGTCCTCCAATCTGGGCTCTCATGGTGACCGAAAGGGCTCTCCGTCAATTTCGTATTGTGAGCATCATTTTTCGACACCATCTCAGCGTGGAATGAGACACCGTCCTCATTCTGGGCTTTGGGCAAGGCTGCGTGTGACTTCTCCGTACTCATCTTAAGGGAGAGGAAGGTAGTGAATATGGGGTGAAGAAATTAGTTCAACGTAGAAAGGTAGTCTGTGGCTCGATCAAGTTCAGGCAATGGCGTTGGTGGGTTATTATATAGTTATCCTCCTTGTTCATAAATGCTACTAGATCTTACAGGGGAGTCCGGCCGTTTTCACCGAGTCGGCCACTCGGAATGTGGGGACCCCAGATTTTGCTGCCCTAAAAGACGGGGAACGAACAAGCCAGATGTAGCGACATTCGCGGGGTTGAGTAACGTGAACAGCCTGCATAGAAACTCTTGAGTCTAGCTATTGGATTTGGCTCGTTGTTTCGGGCTCATATCGGACTTGAACTCTGTGGAGTTGGATGCCGATGCCAAGAGGTTCGCCGATCGGACATGCCGATCGGATATGGAATGACGCCGGTCGGATAGCCGGTCGGACAACAGCATCGGGAATAAGGCAGTTGTGTCTTAGAAGGATCATAAAGATTGTCCTCATGCGGTATTGGGGATCTTCAACTGTCTATATAACACAGGACTCTTGTCAGCCGAGCCCAGTGCGAGCTGATATTCAACCTGATCTCTCTAGCCGAGCACCTCGCAATAACGAACCTACCCGACAACATGACGTTCACCAACGGAAACAGCAATGGCAACGGTTATGCAGCCCAACACTTGCCTGCTGCCACCAAGTTGAGACGCCTTCTGGAGACTGACGAGATCGTTGTGGCTCCTGGTGTCTACGACGGCTTTAGCGCCCGCATTGCCAATGAAGTAGGATTTGACTGCATTTACATGGTGAGTGAACATCTTCTATCTCTCAAGTCCCACCGCATTGACTAAATTTTGGGGTAGACTGGAGCTGGCACATGTGCGTCCAAGTTAGGCCAGCCTGATCTTGGCTTTGCATCACTCAACGACATGCGCGAACACGCTGAGATGATTGCCAATCTCAAGCCATCAGTACCCCTCATTGCTGATGCCGACACGGGGTATGGAGGACCTAACATGGTCGCTCGAACTGTGTCGCAGTATCATCGCTCCGGTGTCGCAGGCTTACACATTGAGGATCAGATCCAAACCAAGCGATGCGGCCATCTTGGAGGCAAGGCAGTCGTTGATGTTGACACCTTCATGCAGCGTATTGGTGCGGCTTACCAAGCTCGCAAACAACTAAACTCGGATATTGTCATCATAGCCCGCACCGACTCGCTGCAGACGCACGGCTTTGATGAGGCCGTTCGGCGACTTCAGGCAGCGGTTGAGGCTGGTGCTGACGTTGGCTTTCTTGAAGGCGTCACAACGGCTGAAGAAGCGCGTAAAGTGTGTCAACTCATGGCACCCACGCCTATGCTGCTGAACATGGTTGAACATGGAGCAACACCCTCCTGGACGCCTGATGAGGCTAAGGCGTTGGGCTACAAGATGATCATTTTCCCTTTTGCTTCGATCGGGCCTGCCTACCGGGCTATCAAGGACGTTTTCGTCAAAATCAAGCAGACTGGGAGGACTGGACTGGAAAAAGACTTTACACCCAAAAAGCTGTTCACTATTGTTGGGTTGGAAGAGGCCATGGCATTGGACGCTGCGGCGGGAGGGCAATTGTACAGCAAAGTCTAGAGTTCACGCAGGTTTTAATGGAACCAGACTTCAACTCTGGACCTAAGAACTGAGCCATGATTATACAGACATAAATCAATACAACTTACTCTCCGGTCAAGCTTACTCTATTATCTATAGATGGACTTGAGTACCCTAGACAGCTGAAGTAGGCTAGTGTGATCTTCATCTCTGGTGTTTCTGACGAGGTTTATGCACTAATTATGGCGATCGACTTCCCCGCACTTTGAGTCCGATCGGACATTGCTCTTGGTTACAAAGACATCGCCCTGCTTTGCGCTGAGCACGTCCGCCTCGGACATTAGAGAACTCCTTTTCATCGGATTGTAGAACGCCGTTGGCCGGCATTCACATTAGACGATGGATGCCGATGTATCTTTGGGCCAAGCTGAAGACCAGCCAAGACGTGGAACCCCAACACCACGTCGCAACGGAGCCAGCACCGACAACGCGGATGGATCTTCCGGTCGGCGAAAGGCTTGCAACGAATGCAAGCAGCAAAAGGTACGGTATCCCTAAGTCGTGTGGTCAAAGCACCTTCGTCTGAGTAATGACTCTCTTAGCTGCGGTGCGACCTCACTGATGGCGACAACACGACAACTCTACCAGTTTGTAGCCGATGCAACCGCCTTGGACTCGAGTGCAAAATTGAGCTTGGATTTAGAAGAACAAGAAAGCGAAGGTAGTTAACAACATATAATTAGATTTCGTCACCTTGGCTTATCCAAACCCACTATTTAGGCGGTCGGTCGACCTGGAAAACGAGATCCGCGATTTGAAGAAACGGCTGGAGGAAGCTGAGGATGGCTCCAACCGAAATTCAACTTCAGAGACAGCACAAATCAGACCAACAAGTGAGATGGATTGGACCCTTCCCGCGACCACTGGAAGTCTTCTACCTACCCCTTCAGTTGACGCAAACCTAAATCAACTTCAGCTCGACAGCAACCGCTCGCCCGGTCCGCCTATGCAACAACCACCTCCGCCCCCAATCCCTGTCGACGAGTCTCCTACAGCAACAACGGATGCTACAGAACACTCACGTGCTCCTGGCCTTACTACCCGACCTGTTATCGATGAGCCTGATCCGCGCCGACGCTTCTGTAGTTCCCTCCCACGTCCGCGGGCGCTGGGTAACACAGCACTCTCGGTTGAAGAGATCGATGAGTTGTTCAATATGTATGTTCTTTAATATTTATGCCGATGATACCACTGACAAGCTTCTCACTCGTAGTTATCGAACATCGTATCATTCTCATATGCCGGTTATTGATATCAACAGATCTCCTCAAGAGTATTACCACCTATCCGAGCTTCTGTTTTGGACCATCATCTCGGTCGCTTCTAGGCGTCTGTCATCCCATCCAACATTATTGCCCAAACTCGCTAGAAGTGTAACGGATCTCATGTGGAAGACGCTACGGTCTGTCTCTTACTCCATCACAACAGTCCAGGCATTGGTCCTCCTCTGCACCTGGCCCTTCCCGACAAGCAGCAGCACGGCGGACCCGACTTTCATGCTTGTAGGAACAATGCTACAAATAGGGACACAGATAGGCCTGCATCGTGCCCTTAGTGCCCAAGACTTTTCTAAAGTTCCCATCAAACTGGAAGCATTAGAGTATGCAGAATGGGTGCGAACCTGGGAGGCCTGTAATATTGTAGCGCAAAGGTCAGTCAGCCGGGGATTTTATCATTGCGTGTGTCGGGCGAAAAGTTACTAATGCATTTTGCTCAGTGTGAGTGTTGGCTGCGGCCTTCCCATCTTCATACAGACACATGGTGGTCCTTTATCAGTGACCCAAATGACAGAGTTGTCGGATTCTGCTGCCTCCGGCTTGTCGCTTGTTTACCGACGTCGGATAGAGCAGTTTAGACTGAGGGTATCCTCTTCCCTCGAGGGTCAAGTCTTAGAAGGTAGGGATAATGCTCGTACAAATGAGAGGTTGACCTTGTACCGACTACTGAACATGGGCTTGGCCGATCTGGAGCGCGAATGCGGTCCAGAAGGAGGTATTTCACGTCCTTGGTTGATTCTCCTCTTTGTCGATACAGGCTAAATATGGTCTAGCCCTGAACGTATGGTACCTCACAGCAGCTAAACTGCATCTGCATGCATTCTACCTCCTTGACGATGCCACTACGGATGGGTACAAAGACAGGATCATCACACTCTATCTCACAGCGCAACGTCTCATAGAGCTGAGCATCGACAAAAGCACGGAAAAGACAGGGTTCTGTGACTACTGCCCGTTCTTTTGCTACCAAGTCTTTACTTGCGCTGCTTTTGTGGTCCTCAAGATCCTAATGAACGGCTATTTCCGCTCCATCATCGATGTCGGTGCTGGTACAAAGATTCTTGAAGCCGCCATCGCCGCCCTCCGAAAGACCAGCGTTGTGAACAACGATTTACCTGCTAGACTCGGTGACGTCATTGGCTTCTTCTGCGCGCTACCTGACACAACTGTTGTTGGCGGTGCGACCATCGACGACTTGCACTTACGGCAAGTGAAGAACAGAATGAGCATGAGTGTAGTGTACGACTGCTTGTGGACATGGAGACGGTATTTTCAAGAAGAAAACGAGAAGGACGTTGGGGACGCCCCCTTTGCGGCTGAAGATAAGTCACCAGTTCCGCTCAAGTTGCTTACAAGTTTGCTGACATTTCTTGGCACGGATAATTGTCACTCCTGAAGATCTACAAAGGTCTTTCAGCTTCGATATCCCTATGGAAATAGGTGGCTTCCTGGATAGTCTTTCCTTTTAGTTGAGAGGAATTTACATATAAAGGAGAGAAGACAGATTAACCAAATACAAGGATTAAAACGGTTATTGATATATGACCTTTGGGGAACATTCCTGTTACCGACAGATTGAGCTGACAATCAAGGACCGAAGGCTCGAAGCACGGCGACTCAGGTTCTCCGCACGACTCAAATCGCTTGACGATATGTTGGAAAATCCGGGGATCCCCCTTCCCTTCAGGATTCAGACTGTTAGTCAGAAAGTCCTAGATTTAAAGTTCAAAGTCCTAGATGAAATCAACTAGAGTTATAAACCCGAGAAGAACTCTCGTCTCAACAATGAACAACCAAGTTTCATAAAATATACTTTCACCCAGCACTACTGCGCAATATAAACAGTACGATATCCATCCTCTTGCGAGGCGAACGGCACCACCCCGTCAGCCCACTTACCACGATATCATCAAACGAAGATATCAAGCACAGACGGAAAGCAGCTTTAGAACACGTCTTCGAAGTACAGGTGAGCTCCTTGCGCCTTGCGTGCGACCGAAGCTCATCCAGCAATGCTTCCGCCAAGAACCGATGCCTCCGCTGCAAACAGCATCGAAGGAAGAAACGACTGAGGCCTTTCTCCATTGGCTTCAGTCACTTGATCCACTTACCCTGGTCATGTACTCAGACGGCTCCCTGTCCTCTAGGTCTGCACGGCGATTGATAAACTTGTTCACCCAGTTGCGTCCCAAATTGGGACGTTGGCCCTGCTGCCTCAACAAGCCCATGACACAAGCGCGGATCTGACTGTGGGACGGAGCATGGCCCAAGGACTCCTGACGGAGAATCCAGAGAGCCAGTCTATCCTCTTGGCTCTTGGACAACCGTCGATGAGGGTGGATCTGCTCTTTCACGGCCCCGCGGCCGTGAAGTCTGTCGATTAGAGTCCTTCGAGGCACTCCCCGTCTATGAGCGGCTTGAGGGGTGAAAAGCCATTGTCAGTAACATCCAATATGGCCTCTGCCATGTCGTCTTCTGTGTATTTCCATCAAAGTCTTGACCTAGGTATTTTCATGTCGTTGTCAAAGACAAAGACCAAAAAACAAGGCAAAGAGCGGTGAGGAATTTGGTGATCAAACTAACGACATTTCCATAGCACAGCATACATGAATCTCGTACCCCGCACAGCCTTACAAGGTCAAAATCATCATACCCAATCATTTTTATGATCAAAAGAGGTAGTTTCTCTCAGTTAGCTATATATTCAGGCTGACTTTCGTATAAGTGAAGTTGATGAGTTTTGGTGGAGGTTTTTTTATTTTGCCTGGCGAAAGAGGGGTGGTGGCGAAAGAGGGGTTGTGGATGGTATAAGCAGCGGTGAGCTAATATGTTGGAACCATAAACAACCACTGATGTCACTTAGGTGTAGCAGTTCTGAGGCAGAAGCGTCGGCCATGCGGAAGTGTTATCTCTTTGAGTGGCATAAGACTTCAAGGCGGTCACGACCGGGGCGTAGGGCCAATCAAAATGAGCGCGACGACCAGTACCTCCACACACACCTAAATTAGCGTGTGATAGAAGTACCAACAGTCAGCATTGTTACATATCGCTACATCACATACTTTACAACCGTACCTGCTCTGCGGGCCTCGTGCATTTCCTGATATAGGCTGTAGATAACCTCCTTTTGCCCTGTTTTTTTTAGCCGGCCGAGGCTGCCCTTGCCTTAAGCCTTTACAGGCTAGGCAGGGGGAAAGGCGGCCTCGATTGACATGATTGATATCTCTTTGTAGGTGAATTTGCCGTGCTTCTATATCTTCGATGTCTTCTTCCTTCCCTGATCGGTATCTCTTCCTTGTGCCGCTTTCAGCTGCATAGCGGTTAAAAATGGCGTTGCAAATGCACTCCTTCCAAGCTTGCAGCGTACTATAGGGCTTCCAACGAGGGTGCCGGGTCTTCTTCTGCAAAATGAAGCTATTCGCAAGTGCGACTTCAAGGAGGAAGCTCCAAAGCAACGCCTGCCACGGACCGCGGCGGAATCGATGCTCGTACGTTGTATAGGACCTTATCTGATCGCCGCGGTCAACGTGATTCATTTCATCGTTATACTGAGCGGCAACAGTAGGTATAGGGATCATCTTGAAGCTATCCCCGTTGAAAATCTGCTGCAGCTGTTGTGCCTCTGCCTTCGTGCCTCTCTTAGCCGGCAGCTTCCTCTTTTTTAGTGTGCGGTCGTGAGAGGCGCCGCTATGTACAGTTGAAAGGAAGAGCACCACGCCGCTATCCTTCCAAGCGATTTGGATGACCTAGGGGGAATGAAAAGGGACAAATTAGTAAGGGAAATACAGCTAAAGGTCGTCTGTACCTGTTGGTCTTCCGTCGGGATTAGTATGACCTCGTTATACTTCAAAGGCGTGCCGTCAGAAGCCTTCCCGGTCTCTTTTATCCGCCTTATCTCGGTGGTGATGCCGCAGTTAGGGCGTGCCGTGCCTGTGGCACCAAAGCCAAGCTGCCGAAGAAGGCGGAAGAGCTGCGGTGATGAGAAGAGGTTATCTGTGAAGACGTGATATGTCTGAGGTATCAGCCTTTTTACTAGGTGAACAACGACGCTCTGAGTATTGCTGAGAGGGATCTCAGTCCGTAGCTTTCCTCTCTTGCTGTGCGGCTTCAGCGTAGGTAGGTTGATGATAACAGCGTTATATGGTGATGACTTCATGTGCCAAAGCCACCGCAGAAAGAAGCCCTGTTGGGCGATAACCCAGACTTTGAAGCCTACTGGCGTGGGCTTTCCCTTGACAAATGTTGTCTCTTTCGATCTGCCTGTAAACGGCACCATACACTCATCTACAGTCAGATTAGTCCCTGGAAAATAGAGCTCATTTGACACCTTCTGTATAAGGTCAGACCACTCTTCAGCCACTTGGAAGGTCTTTGGAAGATCGCTCTCATCCCTTATATCGACTTTAGTGTAGTCAAAAGTGCGAAAATACCGGCTGATCAGCTGAAACTTCCGTAAGGGCATGAACTTGATGATTGAGTGAAGAGGGCGCTGATCTCCTAGGCTAGGTGCCTTCCAATGGTCCTTTATTGAGATTTCCCTATGAATTCCTAGGTAAATAACGACTCCAAGCCATACATAAGCCGTTGCAGAAGAGAGGCCTTCCCACTTGAGGATGCGTGAGTGTTCGGAAAGAGGGGTATTCCAGTTGTCAATAACGCCGTTTTCTTGGAGGTAAGAGACCCAGCTGTTGGTGTATTTAATCCATGACTGTATAAGGGAAATAGGTATAAAAAGCTGGAATAATTGAAGGGGTTCCTTGGGTAGAGGGTTGATCTTGAAATCACGATATTCTAGCTTGAAAGGTTGAAAATCCTGACCGCGGCCCTCTTCGGGCGGAAAATTAGGCACGCCGGTGGGGTCACTCAAAGGAGGGGTCTCAAAGCTGTGATCATCTAAGCTATCTTGTACCTTTGAAGAGCTCATTGTTTTAATTATGACAGGCTAGGGGTTATTTGTGTGAGGTTTTTGATGAATTTGGTGGTAAAAAATCATCTAGCTGTCTGACGAGAACTTCACGTACCCCGCAGGTACTAGCGTGGTTAGTAAGCAAAATGGGGCGAGTGACCTGTTGAAGTCTTATGCCACTCAAAGAGATAGGAAGTGAGTTTACTAGCGGCATGCTCGTTGCCACAAATGCTGTAACGTGCATGATAAAGCATGTGCACCAAACAAGCATGTGCACCAAAAATCCCTCAGCCATCACCAATGCCAATTCAATCAACTAATCCTGCACAAGAAAATCATGCCTGAACCTTATTCTGAATGTCAAATTGTCAGATATTAAGGTGAATCGTGTGTATTGCTTGATCCTGTCGCAATCGAAGGACCATTGAGACCTTGTATCTTCGACTGGTTCCTTCTAGGACTTGAGTCCTAGAAAGTCCTTGATGAAAGTCCTACCATCTAAGTTTAGGACTGCAAACTTTAATCCTGAACCTTAATCCTGAAGTTGAGGGTGAACCCTCCAACATTCAACATTAGTATGTAGTACTAGGCTTGAAAAATGCGAGGAGCTGGTTCCTTCCTTGTTTATGTATCAAGACACGCATGCCGTGCCTCCTCTATCTTTTGTCTTCTCGAGAAACTCACGATACGATACGTGCCGGTTGCAGTTGCACAGCGAGGCTGTCTGGACTATGTCATAACCTGCGCTTCCGTGCGTCTAGGCCCTGACTGCCGAGCCCCGGGTCTATTCTTATTTTTTAAGTTCGATAACCTTGGCAGCGGTAATTCCAGGAAAACCGAAGAGGCCGAGATCTTCACTCCCGCTCTCGCCCGCTTCCGCTTACCTAACCTGGGTAGGTAGGAGGTACGGTACCCAACTTAATCTCCGAGGACCGAGAGCTGAGTCGTGGCATTCGGGTTCTTTCATCCATGCACGTTTACTTGCCCTGTCCGGCCAGCCGAGCAACTCATCGTACCAGCAACAAAGTCTTCGTACAAGGTAGCGGACGAAATGCCGTCTTGAACGTGACGTAGGCGGCTTGGATACATATTTCGCTATTTAACTCGTGTTCATAATTGCTTGTCGGTAACCTTTTTGTTTCTGTCAATTACACCACTTATCAACGTCTATTCCTGGGCTTAACTCTAATCATCAACTCGCTTTCCAATGCTAGAAACAAGATACTCGATGCATGGCCCCTATGTCGGCACGCACCGGGCCTCGCCAGACGACGAGGATGTTGCAGTGGAGATGTCAATAATAAGAACGCGAACAAATGGCCCCAAACCCAAGGCTACCGCAGTGGACATGATGAAGGCTTTGATCCCCGCAGCCATTATGATCCTTGGTATCTTTTGGATCAACGCATCCCACATCTTTGGTCTCTTCCATAATCAAGGCGAATACGTCAAGCGGGCGAAAGTTGCCCTTGCTGACTTCGATGGTGGTGACTTCGGTACAGCACTGCGAATTGCGGCAGCGGCGAACAATCAATCCTACGAGTTCCCAACCTATATCAACGTCAATACCTCGTCAACATCTCCAGATCAGATCAGGCAGGATGTCTTCGATGGGAAGTACTGGGCCGCGATTGTCGTCCAACCGGGAGCAACGGCTCGATTCGACGAAGCTGTCAACGGTACCACCTCTTCATACGATCCTAGCGATGTCTACACCTACTATCTGCTGACAGCCAGATACTACACGTTGTATGCCGGTGGCATACAGTCATCAACCATCACTACGGCAAGCGCAGCCGCCGGAATATTCAGCGCACAATTTATCGGACCCAAACTTGGCAGCGGGGAATTCGCAAACACAACCGTATCCCTGAGCGCGCTGACGACTCCAGCACGAGCTGTCGGTGCCAGTGCATCGATCCACAATTTCAGCGACATGGACGATAAAGCCTTCCTCAACACCATTGGGGCCGTCTTCCCAATCCTGATGCAATTTTTCTTCATCATGGCTTGGAACGGTATTTGCAACGGTATGCATCTCTACGCCGCCTACGATGTCAAAACGCATATCTACGCCCGGCTCTTCTGGAGTATCTTCTGGCCTCTCATTTGTGGTCTCTGCTCCACAGGCTGGATGTACGCATTCCGCGGCTCCTACCCCTTGGACGCAAAGATGTTTTTCGCAACCTGGGCTGTCACTTGGGTGTTTGCCATGATCAGCTTCGATGTCTTGGACGTTATCACTGGCTACGTGCCCATTGCGTTTGTCACGTTTTGTTTCCTAACTTGGGTTGTTTTCAACGTCGCTGCTGCCATCGGTGCACCTGACCTCCTCAACAACTGGTATCGCATTAATTACTTCTTCCCGTCGCTACATTGGTATCAGACCCTCATCACAATTATCACGTCTGGTGCTGTCAACAAGCTGCATTACACTCTGCCGACGCTTGCAGGCTGGCTTATCTTGATGAAGGCTTTGTCACCGTTTGCAACCAGGTACCGGATCAACAAGGCGAAGCATGTGTTCCGGTACTTGCACGAGAAGGATGCCCTCGATGCTCCACACTAAGTTTCTTTTGTATGCGTTTTTTCTTCCTATTTGAGAGCGTTCTGGTGTGCGGTTTGGGAGAATATAGATAGATTATAGACCATTTCCAACTTTTGGTAGTATCCCCGATATATTTTCACCTGTCGATCGAAGGAGAAAGGTTCGCAATAGAACTATATAATATTAAGATATTTGCAAAAGGGAAAAAATAAGAGGCATTTAGGGAAGGAATAATTAGGACACTGCTATTATCTGTAGTGTTAACATTAATATAATTAATTAATGGCGACTTTAGCACCAGTCTCCGGGGAATAGGATATCTCGAAAAATATCACTGGGGCGTTCACTATCAGCACCGGCATGCAACTAGGGTTCAGGTGCATTAAATATACCCCTCAATAAACACTAGGCGGCCGCTACTGGCACCGGAGGTGACTTTACTTCTAACAAGGTGGAGATAGAAGATTGTTTGGTGGCTACCTTCAAGGCCCCTACCACCAAGATCGACGACATGATGAGGGTTCCCCTCAGAGGAGAAGGCGATACTAGCACCTTCCCCTACCAGATCAACTTCTATCAGACACACATTTCCAGCTTCTTTGCCAACTGCTTATGGCTCGTTGACGATGACAACGCATCTTTCCGTACTGCCATTGGGAATGGAAAGACGTGGATCTTGAGACTAGAATAGTTAAAGCTTCCTTGATAGTCACTAACGTAGAAACAACAAAAACCGGAGACTCGTCGATATTGTCCTCAATGGTGACATAGCAACTCACCTGATTGGCATACTACCGTGGAGAATGAGGAAGACTGCACTAAGAAGGGCAAACGTTACCTCTGGCTCGATGCAAACGGCGAAGACCACTGCCTCTACCTGACTGCACTCAACGGCGGTCGTGGATGTATCGGAGGAGTGTGCAAGAAAGATCCCATTGACTGCGCAGCTACTCAGTTTAATCTCGATGTTGGCAACAAGCTCTATGACTCTATCACCATATAAGGAGTTAGTCTTGCGGTATGTGCGATACCAGACGCATTAGGAGAGCTTGATTTACTAACAACGCTTCACAGATTTACTACAACAACCTCATTGACTGCTCCATCAACGGCTCGCCCGGCCTGGACCGCACCAACCTGCCGCTTGATTGTTCTCTCCCCCGTTGCTTCTTTAACCTCCCGGCATGCAAGGCCTCGTTTGGTAGCTTCCATAAGACTGAGATCTACCTGCTTTCAGCTGTCCCCAGCCAGGCCCTTCACAACTTCCAACATGAGTCTTCGATAGTCTATAAAACTAGCTTAGACTTAAGCCTCAGTCTCTCACCATTCTTCATAAAATACCACGGAATTGGAATCATTGCAATTGCAAGAAAAGCTAAGAGGCTGTTTCCCCAGCCCAAGCCAAGAGATTCATACATTCGAGGTCCTGCGAGAGGTAAAAATGCCGCAGTGACAGACCGCAGCACTGTGTGAGCGGCGAGGGCAGATGCTGCAGCTTCTGGGCCAAAGCAGTCGACGAGATAGATCATCGAGGGCATCTAATGATTTGTGTGAGTTGATAGAACGGCCTACGGCAGGCAGAAAAGCCATACGTGGGTGGACTTACCACGACGAAGATAAAGCCAATACCAACAAAAGCCGAGCCAATAATAGGCACAATCCAATGTGCTTTTTCATTGGTACTCCAGCCATACCAGAACATTCCTACAGGTATAGTCCAAGACAAGTAAGCCATCAACGGGATTCGATCCTCGGGCTTGGGCTCTCCACCTCTCTGTTCTGCACGTTTACGCATAATCTTGTCACTGAACTTGCCTTGGGCGATAAGGCCTCCAAGTGTGCCGACTCCCATACCAAGGTAGCAAAGGCCGGTAATGCCCATGTCGAAACCATACTGACCACTGAAGACATTTGAGAAGGTGGTTAGAAGTAGAAACATGAGACCAAAGCAAAACGCTGCGTATAGAGCGAGGAAGAGGACGACAGGCGATAGAAAGAGAAGTTTGAAGGGTCGTAGAATGCTTCGCTTTAGCTTTGCCGAAACATCTCTTCCGGCAGAGACTAGAGGAAGCCCCAGTGACATTCGGCGCCGATTCTCTTTCTGCAAGAGGATCACGGGAGCATATGTCTCCCGCAGGGAATACGCAGCCAAAGGGGTAAGGGCCCCGATCTCCAAGCTTCTTAGTCAAACATTCCAAAAAGACACTAGAAGTGCTCGACTCACACATATAGCCATAAGTCGAAATACCCAACGCCATCCTATGTTTTGGCCCACAAAGCCACCGACCACCGGGCCAATGGTTGGGCCCATAATAGGTCCAATGCCAATGAGAGCCATCCACTTGCCCCTTTGTTGCCTAGGAACCAGGTCTGCGAGGGTTCCGCCGCTCAAAGCGAGAGATGCAGCACCGCCACAGCCGGAAAGCAATCGAAAGACCATGAACATGGCAAGGCTTGTTGAGAAGGCACACCCAAGGACAAACCCGACAAAGATGATGGTTGATATTATGTAAATGGGAAAGCGACCGTAGACCTCCGACAGAGGAGCCCATATGAGCGGACCGATAGCGAAACCGAGGACGTAGATGGAGACGGAGAGGGATGATAGGGTTCGGCTAGAGAAGTCAAAGTTGTGCATTAGAAGCTTGCCGGCTGGGGCAAACATAGTCGATGCAAGGTTGCTAACATTGTCAAAAGCTTGGTTCATGTACCAAGATGGGGAGACTCAAGAAAAAAGATGGATTACTTACGAAACCAACTGAACTAACGCAATGAGAATAATATGCACTGTCCTCTTCCGCGGCGGCCAGTTCATAGGGTTGTCAGGGTCCTCTGGTCCGTCCCAGCCTAGAGCGTCTGGGTCATCTTTTTCGAACTGTCGTTGAGTTTCGATATCGTCACTTTGGCGCTCTGCTATCGGCGGAGAATCACGACGAACTTGGTTTGTTTCATCTTGTTTCGCCTCGAGTAAGCGAGGAGTAGCGCTGTTCTGCTGTATTGAGCTCATGGTGTTTATGATCACAAGGCTGTATAGCACGCATGTGCATTGAAAAAGACATCGACACACAGGAAGTCACGGATGCAGGTTGCAGGCATTATACACGAATTCCTGTCTTCGTGTCGACTGTCATCATCTTTACGGAGTAGTTTACTCACTTACTGGAGAGTTCCGAGATTGAAGGCGGCGGCGGGCACTCTGTCTGTGACGAGAACCGGTCACTGCCGTTGGTGGAATGAATCCCCTGGGTCTCGGCGCTTCGGTCGTCGGTCCTCGCTTCTAAGTTTCGGCCGTTGGCCTTCGGTTCTCAGAACCGCTGTTGACCCCAGGTTCATTCTGCGCTAAATTGGTAACACAACCAAAGACAGTAATGATTGACACGGCACTTCTCGTTTCCTTTTCGACAACGTAATAATTATTCGGTGATCCTTGGAGGCAGAGGCTCCCAATGAAGGAGGCAGAAAAGTAACAACGTCAATTGAATCAAGTGCGGAAAGCTCGATGGTATGATATCTCGATACATATATCAACAACTAATGATATAATTATGCTTCTTGTAATAGTGATGAATAGTAAGTAGCTTGATTCAAAATCGAGAAATCGAAGAACACATGGAGTCGAAAAGGTGATATATCGGCTTCCTCACATCGTCGCCCTCGTTCATAAAGAGGAGCCTATGCCGCCTGCCGCCTCAGCTCATCACTCACGCAGATGCTCATCAAACCACACAATTGCCTGGTAGAAAGCCTGCTCCTTTGCCCACTTCTGCTCTCATTTTGACAAGTCACACCGCGTCGCAAAGGCATGAGCAACCTTAGAGTAAAGTGTCAGCTGGTATTGCTTGCCGTTCTTGATGAGGATGTCTTCCGTCTCGTGCCGTTTCTCGGCCGGGAAGATGTGGTCCGTCTCAGCAGCCGCAATAGAAACGGGACCTTTAATAGCAGCGAGCTCACCAGCGTCCATAAAGCTGGGATGGGCCAGGTAGCCGGCGTCAATGTCGTCATTCCAATGACGAACAAGATACTACACAAATGGTCAGTATATGTCACGCCCTATAAGTGCAAGGGTCAATTTCTCCTTGAACTCACCTTGGCACCAAAACAATACCCAACAGCGCCCAGTTTCTTTACTCCATACTCCTCCCTCAAAGCTTTGATGGCATTCAGAACAATAGGATCCACAGTTGGTTCATTATGTGGGTTGTCACCCGTGGAGCCGCCCGTAAGCCACTTGAAAATGTCCACCTCGTCATTTGCAACTGCCTTTACAGGCAAGGGATCACCGTTGAAAGTGTCAAGCAATAAAGTCAAGTAGCCGTTTGACGCAAACTCGTCAGCAAGGAGACGACTGTTTTGCCAGATACCCATGATGTCAGGTAAAAATAGAATGGCACTAGACTTTTTAGCCTTGTCTAGTGGCGGTGTTGCAAGGTAGGCTTCATGCTTGCCGCCGGTGATGCGTATGGCTTTACCCTGTGGGGGCACCTCTGATAAAGATGAGTTGGAATAATTCTCAAGGTAATGTGAAAAATGGAACAGGAGTCTTACTCATGTCTAAAGCCAACTGTGCAACATTGTGCGGGAGGATAAGAAGTCATCTCTCGTTATGGTGAGGGGGTACGTTTGGTAACGTTAGGTTTTCCGAGACTTTGAAAAGATTCAAAAACAAACTTTGGTACGAAATCCGATATACGAGAAGTTCATGCTGGGTTGAGGATGAGGGTGCCTTTAATGGAGATTGCATCAAGGGTCAACCCAATATCAAGTTCCGCCTGGTCTGCTTAATGTTTTAGGTGCCTCAGGCACATCCCTCTCATCATTTAATAAGCGGCAATAGAGTGGATTTGAATTGCCGACGTCCGTACTACCTACGGCTTTATACCCTGATGGTGTTGATTCACCTGCCTGCTTTGGAAAGTCTTGTCCGTTCCGAAACATTACTAATTCCGACGATATATAAGCTCTCCTGCAGCTGGTAATAATCCTGGGACTCGGGAATCTCCTCTCGAACACATAGTGGCGATAGCATTGTGCATGGACGTGTCTTACATAAATCTACAGAAGCTTCCTACTCATAATGCCCACTGATCCCATAGCACAAACTGTTCACTGGTATTGAAAATTTCATTCCACTGAGCCAACCTAGAAGATTCAACACTGTCAGATGACTTTTCAGTCATATTCTGCTCCTGTGACCCAGCCGCTGATTGCTCCAACCCCGTTGGTAGATAATCCTCTTCACGATCATAAACACTAGTAATGGCATCCATGGCTCCCATGACTATATCTGGGTTATTTCCTTCCGTCAAGAACCAGTTCTGGGAGCGCCATTCTAAGCTCGGCGTGCTTGTTGCCGAGAGGGCAGTGGGCGAATGATCTTGCTCGGACCTTGGAAGATCGTTCGGCTCCGTCCATGGAAGTGTGTTCCCACCACTTCTACCGGGTTCTGATTCCAGGGTTCTTGGTGAGCATGTATAATTTGATGGGTCACGGTGTTTTCGAATATTCTCAGATTGTCTGCACTTGAGTTGCTGGAGCCGCCTCTTGTCCACACACTGAATAAGATTGAACAGCGGTTGCCAGAGTGGTTCTTCCTTGATAGATTCTGGGCATGTCTCCAAAGTTTTCATGACGATCTTCCAGGCATGTTCTGCCATAGCATCGAATTCTGCAACGGAGAGCCGACAAAGCACTAGAACAAGTGGCTGCCACTGAACGAAACCGTAGAATTGCCATGCCCATTTTCTCGTGGACGGGCCATGCTGGAGCATATGTATGTCTTCGAGAACTCCCAAAGCCAAGATAAATTGCTTATCTCTGCGAAGAGAATTGTCCCTGGCTTGCAAAGACGGCTGCCGAATGTGATCCAGTATGAGTTCATGCCGCCTCACCGCAATAGCTGCCATGGTGCGAGTGAGAAGGCATATCGGTTGGTCTGGCGGCACGGAAGCGAGAAATTCCGCAAATTCCCGCTGAGAATATTGGGAAAGCTCGTCGAGCTTGTGAATCGTGTCGACATCGGGCTTCTGACGGCAGGGGTACATGGAAGCCGTCACGGTCTTAACATGCTTGCTAACCTTTGTTATTCTATTTCTCAACAGGCATAGGGTTGTTTGTGTGTGCCCTGGTTTAGCTTCTGGTAAGGCTGTCATTTGCTGGTGTATGTCATCGTCGTCTAGATTCGATGGGAGGCGTGTGTCAAAGACAGCGTCGGATATTGATAGTCCTGGCACCTGGAAGTCACCAGTGGCAAACTCGAGGACACAGATATAACTCCACGCCCGATGCCGCATCTCGGCCTCGAAAGGGGTTATATCAGGAAAATGGGAGCCGTCGCGGTGCAGCCCAATTGCTACTGCTATCCGAGAAATTAGTCCGGTTATAGCCCAGACATATCTCTGAGACTCCTCCAGACGAATAAGGAGGGTGTATATGATCAGGGCTTGGACAACAGAGAGCTCCTTCGTATTGATAAAGTCGGCGCGCGAAAAAGAGTCTTCTGTTCCAAGCCTGAATCGAGATACAAGCTCTTTCTTGTCACAGCGAAAGTGGACTTGAACCTAAACCCAAGCACTAGGTCAGATCAGATAATCCCGACATGATTTGACGTGGCTGGGGTTTTACCTCGTCCCTAGTTAGAGAGTTGACAGCTGCGAATGCAATGCTAAACATCAATGGCTCCATAAAAGACGGCAGCAAGCTGAAGTTGCCTCGAGAATCATGAATCATTCTGGAAACAGTCGGAATGTGCAGCACCTTGATAGAGGGATCGACATTCTCGACGTAAGTCTGCCAGATGAAGAGCATTTGAGAGGGTAAAGGCCTCAGATCTTCCGTTCTCGTCGAGCTCATAGAGCGGTTGCTGAAGATGAAGCTGCCTGCACTATTGGAAAAGGTCCTATGATTGGACTGAAGGTTTGGTGTATAGACAGAGTCAACGTCATCATCTTCCGAATCAGGTATGTTAATATGGTGTTTTATTGCGTCGAGCTTTATCAAAGTAGTCAGCAGTCAATCTATCACATAATTTACTGGAAGCCCCCTCTAACAATGGTATTGAAGAGAATGTTGTCTCACCTCTTGTTGCATATCTGCCCAGAAGCCATCGCCGACGTAGAGTCTCCCTTGTTCTTTGCCTACCATGACACCGACATCTGGCGAGTCATTTGAAGGCGTGTAGTGACGCCGCCATGTTGCTGAAGAAGACGCAATAGCTTCACCCTGTTCCATGTCGCCACTAACTGACATCTCACTGTTGGTAAAGTCTTCATCCTGTTCAGTTTGGCTTGCACGGCGCAAAGTGGTCACCACATTCTCCAGCCGACGGATACGATCCATGAGATCAATCTCTTTCTCACTCCGAACCATGGGTTCCCGCCTCATGCGTTGCGGCTGTCGTAGTGTGCGACCGGTAGTTGGAAAGACACATTCCCGACCGGCTTTGGTGCAGTTGAAACACGGACGTCGACGGTCACAACGGACTTTGCGTTCCTTGCAGCTCACACAGTTACGTGGTGCTTGTGGCTGGTTCATGGACATGGCTGCAGCTAAGTCCGTGGGGTCTAAGTGCTAACAGGATATGACTTGCAAGACTCGGATGGTTGACATGGAATTAATTGGACGTTGGAACATGCGGGGGAAAGGTGTCGGCTTTCGGTCGTCGGAGTTTAATTTGACCCTGGCCAGGTTTTAGCCGCGTGGGGAAGTCTGTGTGGTGTGTTAGAATGGGCGGACTTTTGGTGAAACCCGAGGTTCCGGATCGCCTAGATCGTCTTGTATCTGGACAACATCTAGTACCATGTCATTTCATAGGTTATTCTGATCTGTGCGAAGCCTTCTGAAGAAGTCTGAACAAGTATCACTTGATACAGGCAGATATAAAGTGACGCTATCGCCGGCCGTCTTTATTACTATCGTGCCATTCAATCTTGACTTGTCTTAACCTAGCGCCACAAAGATTCCCTAGCTTGCAACGCGATAAAATTAAACACGTCTTTCAATCCATAATCATGTCGGCCCAACCACTCAAAGAGAATCGACTGTTTATTAATGGCGAATTTGTCCCTTCAGTCTCTGGCAAGACCTTTGATTTAACCAATCCTACCACAGAAGAGAAGATCGCGTCCGTCTATGAAGCCGGTGCTGAGGATGTAGACCTCGCTGTCAAGGCTGCCAAAGCCGCGTTTCCAGCCTGGTCCGCTCTCTCAGCTGAGGAGAGATGCGATTACTTAATTAAATTGGCAGACGAAATCGAGAAGAATGAAGAGTTGTTTATGCATCTGGAAGCTATTGCTATGGGCATGCCGCAGTCTGGAACTAAATGTCAGTGATTCTTTTATCTAGAACTCTATATCAGCCTTGGTAGCATGCATCTCACTAACAAGGAAACAGTTGTTATTCAACTTGCAAAGCGATATTTGAGATACTTCGGAACCCATGCCATTGACATCACTGGAGAAACATCTCTCAATACCACTGGATATATCAACTTGTCAATCCGTCAGCCGTACGGCGTATGTGGAGGCATTATCCCATGGAATGCCCCATTGTTCATGATTGTCACCAAGCTTGGACCGGCTCTGGCGGCTGGCAACACTATGGTGGTAAAATCATCTGAAAAATCCCCCTTCGCGTCGATCGTCGTGGGTCTTTTGTGCCAGAACATCGGCCTTCCCAAGGGCGTTTTGAACATCCTGAATGGGTTTGGTCGACCTTGCGGTGAGGCCATCGCTAAGCACATGGATATCAGAAGGATCTCGTTCACGGGCTCGGTTGCCACTGGACGAGCCATCCACAAGGCCTCTGCCGAGTCTAACTTAAAAGACGTCAGTTTGGAGCTTGGTGGTAAGAGCCCTTTGCTTGTTTTTGACGATGCACCTCTCGAGAAGACTGTCATGGCTGCCGCCTTTTCAATCTTGTACAACTCGGGTCAAGTCTGCATGGCTAGCACCAGGATCTACGTGCAAGAAGGGATTGCTCCCAAGTTTATTGAAGCTCTAAAGTTTGCAATGTCGGAGCTGGGTGTACCAGGAGATCCCTTGCTTGCCAGCACCAAGCGCGGGCCACAAGTTGATAAGCTACAATTTGATCGCGTCTTGTCTTTCCTTGACCACGCAAAGGAAAAGGGTTACGATATTGCACTTGGCGGTAACAAGGCTCTCGATAAGGGCTACTTTGTGGACGCCACAATCGTTCGCGATGTGCCAGAGAACGACAAGTTGATCAGAGAGGAGATTTTTGGACCTGTTCTTGTCATCAACACGTTCACGGACGAAGATGAGGTCTTGAATAAGGCCAATGATACCGAGTTTGGTCTATACTCGAGTGTTTTTACGAGTGACCTTTCACGGGCCCTGAGGGTTGTCAAATCATTAGAGGCTGGTGCTGTTGGGGTGAACTGTACTAGTCCATTCATGGCTATTGACATGCCGATGGGTGGCTGGAAGCAGAGCGGTGCGGGAGGTCGGGAGTTTAGCAAAGCCTGCTTGGAGACCTGGACCCAGTTGAAGTCTGTGTTCATCTCCTTGTAAGGGGTTCCTTCAACATGGTCTTGTAAAGCTTATAAATAGTTTGCTATTGTGATTCTGCGGGTTTTTGGGAACAAGTGGTTTTGTATTGGTAGTAACTGCTTGTAAATACCGAAGAATTCAGCGTCTAAGAACTTCTTTCTGTCAGTGAAATGAGGCATTCCAGTCCCGAGAATATACCCAAGGTTAGTTATCTGGTAAGGTTTCCCTTTACGGTCGTGGATTTTAACCGGGATCAGAGACATCTCAGAGTTTAGGGACCTAAAAATTCGCAATCAAAACAATCGACATGTTCAGGCAGGTGTTTTTGGGAAAGTCCACTGAGTAGGGGCCAAGACGAATATGATCACTGGCTGTCGAGTGCCGACTCTAAGAACGACACTCTTGTGACAGATCCCATCCAATATTGGTGGAAGAGGCGGAGAGACTACCCTCGACTGTCGCGAATGGCCCTTGACCTACTATCAATACCGCCTATGCCGGCATAGTGCGAGCGTTTGTTTAGTGTTGCTGGGCAAACGGTGTCACCGCTGCGGACCCGATTGGAAGCTAGCACGATAGGAATGGCACAGACACTGAGGTCATGGGTGCGGAACGGCCTAGTCGACGCGGCTGATAGCTTGATTGATGTGTCAGAAGAGGTTGGAAATAGCGTTATATGGGAGGCAGAGGAGGATGACCTAGACGCTGGGAAGTGAGCATTGGGGGACTCGACGTGCGTGTGATGTTCCACATCTTCAATTCAACGCCATCAATTCAATCTGGAGATGCAGTGGTTCAACTCTACGGGCCAAATGCTGAGTAAGCTGTCAACGCAACGCCACCCGAGGACGAAATTGATGGAATTGAATTGATCGCCAGCCTGTACCAATTCGTTAGGTGATAGGCCGCCTTAATCACGATGAACGGCGGGATGCACCAGCCTTAAAGAGGGAGCGCGTAAGGGGTTGCGGACGTTATTTAAGCAGACGCATTAACACAACAAATTCGTGCCATGACGAGGTTTTAAGATACATCCAAAACACAAAATCGAGCAGCAGAATGCTTGAAAGACATGAGGTGCTCATGTAATCGTGTAATCCCATTACAACGGCGTAACGATCACGCATGTTTCTCGAGCTCCTCCTCAGTCCACTCCCAGAGTTGTTCCTCGAGATCTCGGTCGTACGAATGCTTCGAGCCACATCCGGCGACACCGACAGGGAAATAAAACTCGCCTGATTTGACCTCGGGACTAACGGAAACCCACAACTGATTTTTGACGCCAGTGGACACATTGGAGAGAAACAAGCCGAAGAAGAGTAGGATAGGTTTCAGGATGGGCCAGCTGGCGGCGAGACCGCTGGAGAGGTTTGTGTTAACGAAGCCTGGGTGCAGGGAGACGGACTTTATCTCCGGGTGGCGGCGCGACAGGGCACGGGCATAGTGGACGTTGGCGAGCTTTGAGATACCATAGCGCGTAAAGGTCGGGGTGGATGCCATGTCCGTCTTGAGCTTGTCGAAATCGTAAGACTCGGTGAAGGCGGAAAAGGTCTCGGCGGCGGCGGCGACGGTGACGATGCGGACATCTTGGGGTGGAGTAGCGGCTGCCGTCTTCTTGAGGATGGGGAGGAGTAGTTTGGTGAGGAGGGCGTGGCCGATATGGTTGGTGCCGAATTGAATCTCGTAACCCTCCTTGGTGGTGCCGGCCGGGGTCGCACTGATTGCGGCGTTGTTGATGAGGATATGGAGCTGCTGCGACTTGGCGTGGAAATCGGTGGCAGCTTTTTTGATGCTGTCAAAGGATTCGAGGTCGAGGTTGAGGTACGTGATAGGCGCTGCGTTGGGGACTGCCTTGCGGATGTCTTCGATTGCGGCGAGGGCCTTGAACTCGCTGCGCGCCGCGAGGAAAATGTGCGCTGGCTTGTGCTTGCTGAGTTGCAGGACAGTCTCTTTGCCGAGGCCAGTATTTCCTCCAGTGACGAGGATGATCTTGCCGGAAAGGTCGGGAATGTCCTTGTCCAGATCGAATGTCGGCATGGCGATAGTGAATTCCCGTAGTGAATGGTGATTGAGAATCAAGTTGTTGAGATTGAATGCACGTTGATTTGGATTGCGCCGGCTGGCTGACATATCAACATGGCTTTGACGACAAGGCACTTTTGATCCAGTGGTGCCACCGAGCCCACATTTGCCTCATGTGTGCACACATGTGCACTCATGTGGTGCTCCTGTCGGGGTCAATTCCAACCCGAATCGCCGCCAATTCGTTGCTGAGTACGGAGTACGTGAACGGCTGAAAGTTTTGCTCTTGTGACAGAGTGGTTGGCTGCGGTCGGTTCGGATCCGGCTAAGGGAACTATTTTAGAGTGGATGGAATTTATGCTGGTTAATCTCGCCTCGCTTGACTCTGCATGACAGACGTGGTTGGAGGCCAATTTCTCCAAGTATTCAGCATCCTATCCTTAGCAGCTGAAGGATGGGCAAACGTAATCGCCGCCCCACACCGCCTGTAGGTCAGGTGCCCCCATTCTGGGCCCTCCGATGCTGCCTTGTCTCCTAAAAAGAACGAGAGGTTTCCCATCTATACTTGTCTAGCCCGTCGCATGCCTTCCCGCTGTGTATCATATTTCGTACAGCGGAACAGAAAATGTTTCATCGTCTCTGCTGTTTGTCCACAGTCGCATATGTCTGATTCCACTGCTCCTATCCTATGACATCGTGACATAATTCGGGGTACCAAGGTGCATGTACGGTAGGGTCCGCCCAGATCACCCCGGTTAAAGCCTCCCGGGGTTGTCCGCCGTCCGTCTACCAATGAGAGAATAGTTTTGTAGAAGCTCAATTACTAGGGCCCACCGCTTCGGCGTTTCGGACAAAACTGAGATCCGTGATGTGGCCCGAAGGAACGGTCGCACCTTCAGCTCCTCTCCTTGTCATTATGCCCCTCTGATCGGGCGTCGTCACTCTGCTTGTTCAACCCCGCACCTATGGGTGACAAGCATGCACATGCTTGCGCCATCCAAGTGTCTACTCCTTCCTTAGGAGCAGTCTGGACGCCGGAAACTTGACCTTTGACAGCACGTGACTGGTCTCCCATCTCAACATGCCGTCAGATGAACCCGCAGCTCTGCGGAACTGCATCAGCTGCAAGGAGCGCAAAGTCCGTTGCGACCGCCGTCTTCCTTGTTCCAATTGCACAAAAGCTGACCGGGACTGCGTTTTCCCAACCACTGGCCGAATCTTGCGACATCCCCGGCGCATGAGGTTGGAGGATGTGGTAAACCATCTGCATGGTAAGTCCGCTGGTAAGCGAACCGGGCAGTATGATGGCCATACCAACAATGAGACCCCAGTTTGTGAATACCGTAAGAACTCACGAGATTGACCGCGCCCTGTGGATCCGTTTCTGCTGGTTTCTGATCTATGATTGGCAGGCTGCAAATAAAGATCTGACATTTCACTAAGAGCCTCTAGACGAATGAGCGTAGCTTCCTGGATCCCCAGGGTGCAGTCGATTTCGTGAGTTTTTACGGTACATGGGCCAGGCTGAGGACAGTTCTTACATCGTTGCCCCTACGGACATCAGCCTTGATCCTTCTTCAGCACTTTGGCAATGCCGCTCAAAATGTCCCAGGGACTTGCCAGAAGTTGACATCATGGCCCATGAGGACCGAGGGGGACTCTACATAGGGGATCGCTTCTGGGCGGCACTACAACAAGAGGCGACATATTCCCTGTTACCCAAAAGGCCTTCAAACGGACCTGCTGACCGACACGCATGAACCTTGATACAATGAGCGGGAGCCTCAGCAGGTTCAATGGTAAAGAGGAGGATGATGCCCATTCAGTCTATAGCCCAATGCTTCCGTCTTCTCGTAGAAGAATCGCAGCCCATGCATCCAGCGATCATCACAGGGCAGGGACCTGATGAAGGGATCATCTCAACCTGCGGAGGACCCTGGATTGGATGAGTGGAACGATATGTTTAGTGGAGGCGAACAGTCGACGTTGTGGGATCGGTGGGCGTTTTGACACTGGTGCAAAATTGAAATGACGGGCAACCTGCTTCTAGGCTGATGGTAGTGTTATTGCGAGCATAGAATGGCATTGATGCAATGGTACCGTAGTTAGCACAACCTAGTGTATCATTGTTATGTAAGGAGTACTCCGTAAACAGCAATTAACTTGAGGACGCGCATGGATGGTCGTCCTCGTCCTCTATGACTACAGTGACTTTCTTTTAACAATAAATTCATGGGCACAACAATGCACCGTATCTGACCTACAGTACACCAGTGTTTAAATTACATTGCAGTCCCACACATATACTCTCAGCAAGGCCCCTACTAAACGACACTCTATCTAGGGGTTCTGTACTATTTACCGGAACGATGGCTTCTTACCCGCCTGCACCATGCTGCACGGTTGGCTTCAAACATGAGTAAGAGTTTTCCCTTAAGCCCTGATGAGTAGACCCGAGATAGCGATTTGGAGGCCTGTCTAAGAGGCACACCTCAATTCAATACTAGCTGAGCAACTCACATTGTTCTAGAGGCACGCCTCAAGAGAAGGACGTCGGAATCGCCGATGGCGAGTATATGGCCTATCTCGCGACGCCTCCGCCCAAAATGGCCAAGAAATCAGTTGCTGTACTCTACTTGTCTGACATTATGGGCATATGGCAGGATGGCCGGCTGCTTGCCGACCAGTTCGCCACCAACGGATACCTGGCCTTGCTTGTCGGCACGTTCAATGGCACCCCAATACCAGTGAACAAAGTCAGGAAGATAAAAATGCCTGCTTGGCTCAGCGGGGGCTCAACTGGTGACAACCACCGCAACGAGCCGGCAGTAGACCCAATTGTCAAAGACACCATCAAGATCATGGAGGAGGAATATGGCGGGAAGAAGCTCCGAGCGGTCGGATACTGTTTTGGTGCCAAAGTCAGTCCGTATCCGATAAATCCATATCCAACTTGTGCCACGTTCCAACGGGAGAGGCAAAAGTAAGAAACGAGCAGTTATAAACTTCCTGGCAGTACCTTGTCCGCCATTTCAATGCCGGCTACATCGCCCACCCCAGCTACGTTTCCGACGATGAGCTTGCTGCCCTAACCGGGCCCCTATCCATCTTCCCTGCCGAGAAACGACATGAGACGGAAGGATATCCTTCAAAAGGCTGACAAGCGCTTACCAATTGATGCTCTATTTCCACATCGAGTATGGTTTTTCGATGCGTGGCAATTTAACAAACCGGGCGCGGAGAAGTGGGTGAAGGAGCAGGCCTTTTGGCAAGCTGTTTCATGAGTCTCTGCTGCACAAATGAGGTATGGCCTCCCGGGTCGTAGGTAGTTGGCAGGAACTTGTTTTTTTCTTTCTTTCCCTATCATAATACATAGGGGACGATTCTCCCACCGTTGAAGCCTGTGCTTGGTAACGGTAGATATGAATCGGCATTAGTCTTCCAGTCGTGGTTGCAGCAGCCCGTAATGGTCTATCTAAGTACTATAGCAAAAGTTGTCATATGTAGCACTACGCAGTGGCACTAGGGCGCCGACAGGCCATGCCGCCTGTGCACCTTTCAAGGAGAAAATTTCACACAGCACCTTTATCTCGGACCAACCTGTTTTCTACCTTGTCATTCCACTCTGTTATTGGACGAGTACCAAGTCAACAGAGTGAGATGCTACCCAGTCTGTGAACTCGTGATTATCAACCAAGTAGTTTATGCTATACACATTGTTGGAAATCCGGGAATCCCCCTTCCCTTCAGGGTTTAGACTGTTAGACTGAAAGTCCTAGATTTAGAGTTCAAAGTCCTAGATGAAATCATCTAGAGATATAAACCCGAGAAGAACTCTCATCTCAAAAATTAAACAATCAAGTTTTACAAAATATATTTTTTCACCCAGCACTACTGCGCAATATAAACAACACACAGTAGATATGCATGTTACCAAAACAGCTCAGCCCTTCAATTCCAGAAGTGTACGCTATAACTTCCACACTTTGGTGTAATGGATGTTCCTTGCCTTGATGGACAAGATGTGTCCCAGAAGGTCTGTATTGACTCTACTATACCCCTCAAGTCTCGGTTTGCTAGGCTAGGGGGTGGGGCTGCCGACGACCGATGACCGAAAGACCAGCTCGATCCTGTGCAAGTGCCGACGACCGAAGTGCCGAAGCCCAGAGCCTCGTCCACGAATAGAGCAAATAGATCGTGTTTTAGACCCTGTACATTGTAGCCTCCGGACCTTTAACATGATTCTACTTATATGGTTGTCATTGAATAAACCTGCAAATCCCAAATGGTGCATATTTGCTCGAATTTCCATCCGACTATGCCCCGGCATCACAATCGCAGTTCCAAGTACTTCACATAACACCATTAGTACTACCACGCCATGGCGATGGTGTAGGGTTTTATTCAACAAACGCCAGCTGTAACGCCAAGCACATTCGAACAGAAGTAAGCACCATTATTGACGGGTAAAAGAATTGTAGGTTTGTTTACATGACATGCACGACCATTCTTGTGAAGGCCAGGAAGTTACAGTCAATACAATACCTATGAGATGACGACGGGTGGGTCCATTCAAGAACCCACCTTCTCTGCGTCGGCACTCCGGCACTTCAGTCGTCGGCTCTCATGAGGAGCGGGTCCGGGCTTTTGGTCATCGGTCTTTGGCAGCCTCTGCTCTAGTGCCCCTAGGAGCAGAGTCCCCGGCCTTCTAGTGGCTGCGTCGGAGATATTTCGACTAGTCCCCATCGTTGGTGACAGGGGTCTCTCGGCCGGTGCAATCGACCAGTGAACTCGACCGGCGGTTGGAGATGACGAGGCCTAGAGCCCTATGGCTGGATATCACACACTTGGCGTTGGTGATGTGGTTTCTAATTGATCAGAAGGATCATACAAGACAAGATCTAGTGCCGCCAGAAGCAGATTCATATAGCACTCTGTATACAGTAGTGCTTTTGCTGACGACGACTGTCGTCAGACCGACTCTTCATCAACGGCGAATTCGTTCCCTCGGTTTCTCACAAGAAGTTTGACGTGATCAATCCGGCCGCCGAGGAGATAGCTGCCTCTATCTATGAGGCAGGGGCTGAGGATGTGGATCTGGCAGTCGAGGCTGCGAAGGCTGCCTTCCCAGAGTGGTCAGCCCTCTCGGCCGACGTGAGATGCGACTATCTGAGCAAACTCGCGGATGAAATCGACCAGTATGAAGGTCAGATCACGTACATGGAGGCAATCACCATGGGTGTGCCCCAGGTTGGAAGCAAATGTTAGAGATACCAAGCCCTTATCGTATTGAGGAGGCTTCCATTTTCTGAACCTTTACTGACAAAAGTATAGTTATGCTGGGCACGGCTAAGCGATATCTCAATTTTTTTGCACACAAAGCCATCAACGTGACTGGGGAGACGTCACTCAACACGCCTGAATATCTGAACTTCTCAATCTGTCAGCCCTACGGTGTCTGTGGGGGATCATTCCCTGGAACGCTCCCTTATTCATGCTTGTCAGCAAAGTGGGCCCTGCCTTGGCTGCCGGCAACACCATGGTTCTCAAGTCTTCAGAGAAGTCTCCACTCTCGGCCATTTTCTTTGCGTCTCTGTGCCAGAAGGTTGGTCTTCCCAAGGGCGTGCCCAACATCCTGAATGGATTTGGCCGACCTTGCGGCGAGGCCTTCTCCAGGCATATGGACATCAGGAGGGTCTCATTCACAGGGTCCGTCGCCACTGGACGAGTATTACAGAAAGCTGCAAACGAATCCAACCTGAAGAACATTGGCTTGGAACTCGGCGGCAAAAGCCCTTTGCTTTTCTTCGATGACGCATCTCTCGAGAAGGCGGTGAGGTCTGCTACCTTCTCTATTCTATACAACTCGGGCCAAGTCTGTATGGCCAGCTCGCGAATATACGTGCAGGAAGAGATTGCCCCCAAATTTGTGGCAGCCCTGAAAGAGGAGATCTTTGGCCCAGTGCTTGTGGTCAATACTTGTTGGAAAATCCGGGAATCCCCCTTATCTTCAGGATTCAGACTGTTAGTCTGAAAGTCCTAGATTTAAAGTTCAAAGTCCTAGATGAAACCATCTAGAGATATAAACCCGAGAAGAACTCTCATCTCAATAAGGAACAATCAAGTTTTACAATATATATATTTTTTTTCACCCAGCACTACTGAGCAATATAAACAACAATACTTTCACGGATGAGGTTGATGTCTTGAAGAGGGCCAACATTGAGTTTGGCCTGTACGCCAGCGTCTTCACAAGCGACTTGGCGCGGACCATGAGAGTTGCGAAAACACTTGAGGCCGCAGCTGTCGGTATGAATTGCGCCAGCCCTTTTATGGCCATTGATATGCCAATGGGTGGATGGAAGCAGAGCGGTATGGGGGGTAGGGAGTTTAGTAAGCATTGCTTGGAGGATTGGGGATAGAGTTGAAGAGTGTGGTTATTTCTTTGTAAAGGCTTATAGCGTTGTTGTATCCTTGGTTAAGTAGCGAAACGCTATTATCTACCTCCCCCTTGTCCAAGGCTAATCCAATTTCTCTCTCGTTCACATTTGAGTCTTTCGCTTTTTCTCATAGATAGTGCTGGGTTCTCCTCAAATAGTTGATGTAACAATTCAATTACTTTACGACCTCGAAGGATTAAATTAAATATCAGTTCTTGAAGATAATCTAATAGACATGATCGATGAAAGTTATGCTAAGTTCCGAGAAAAGCAATACACGGGATACGATAGAGGACTAAGCACTCAAGCGATGTTAAAGATCTCATCCTACATTTAATTGTCGAGCGGAATATGCTTAATACCGAGAACCTTATTAAAGAAAATCACGGTACGCAGCCGTCCATAATGAGAGACTAAGATGGCTTCCGCCCCTGGACAACCGTCTGGTGCCAGTATCCTTGGTGCTTCCCTGATCGTATCTCCCGTCCGAGGCTATGTATGTAGACCTGTGTTTCAGCAAGCTCTAGCCCAACGTAATAGTCATAAAAAGAACATAACCCTTAACATCCGATTCGAAAGGAAGTCTGGCATATACCCAGCTCTCGAAAGAAAGGATCCTTTGGTCAACTACCAAGCGGAGTCTGATGAAGGTATCAGCCCATCTGTGTTCCTAATGAGCTAATAGCAGCACTACACAGACCAGACGACAAGCCGAATTGCCCATGGCTGAATCTTCTTAACCGTGCCGTCGCCACCGCCGATGACTGGCGGAGGTTTCGGGGCTTTTAACGGTACCGGTAAAGCCTGAGAAATGAGTGCCGACAGGGCTAAAATCTAGGGAATATTAGTAATCGGCTGTTGGAGATGTAGTAGTCCACATACTCGGCGAATTCGCCGCCAGCTTGCTTAATCTGGCTTTTGTAAACCCACCAGACAAAACAACGCTAATTGATATTATTCGGATCTGCACCCCTCTCTATAAATTTACAGGGGTCAAACCGGAAAGTTCCTGTCACAAGGCGGGAGGAAGGTTAACACCTCCCCTCGTAGATCAATCCCCTTAAAAAGAATTATCTTACTTTTCCTATATATGAAGGGGAGCAGGTTCTACTCTCATGGATAACTTAGGACAATGATTTTTGACAGGGTCTGGTCATGACGGGGGTGAGGAATTGGGGAGGGAGGGGGTGGGAGCGCTAAACCTTGTTTCTACGGCTGAGCATGCCACACATGCCCAAGGACCCTTGGGATAAATCAGGTCTTATGGGCCTAAGAAACTTCATTCTATGGATACCGAAGCCATGATATGCCGACCAGCCGGTACGAAATAGAGGCGCGAGCAACCCCCCAAACCCGAGTACCGCCTAGCAATAACTGAGCCTCTTTCTCGGTCCCGAGTCCCGATCCACTGGTAACGCCGCTCACCTCCGCTTGGCCTGGAATGCTTGTCTTGAGAGACCAGGTCTTTGAAGAGTTGCCGTAGGGCTTCCATGAGAGCCCCTTGTTTACCCAGTCCATTCCCAGACGGTGACTTCCTGAGAGAATACATAAAGACCACCATGCCCTAGCCTGTTGAAGTCGCCGAATCATCTAGCATCAATCTTCTCTACACATCTGGAGTTAACACTTTTCCTCACCATGCTTGTCAAGATACCTAGTTTGTTGATGGCGGCGGGTATTGTCGCCCTGCCGTCCACCATAGCAGCAACCCATACTACCCACACCACCTCCAAAGATGTTGTCATAATCGGCGGTGGCGCTGCTGGCACATACGCTGCTGTTCGACTGCGTGAGGACTACGGGCAGAGTATCGCTTTGATAGAGAAAGAGGGACTCTTAGTGAGTCTCCGAACATTGCTTTCCTCGTCACTGATGAGGAATGACTAACCTTTCGATAGGGTGGTGCAGTCAACACTTGGACTGACCCCAAAACTGGGACACCATACGAACTAGGCGTTGAGGCCTTCCTGGACTACAGCAAAGCGAGGGAATTCTTTGCCCGCTTCAACGTGTCGGTGAATCCTTCCACACAAGAATCAGTAATTACCCGTTATGCAGATTTTTGCACTGGCCGTTGGGCGAACTACACGGCACCTACTGCCACAGAACAGTTTACCGCGTTCGAGAAGTATGTCAAACTCGCTGAGCAATACGAGGACATGATGCTACCTGGACTCTGGAATTTTCCAAGCCCCGGTAATATTCCCGAGGACCTGCTTCTCAGCTTTGGCGACTTCGCCAAGAAACACGGTATTGAAGCTGCGGTGCCTACGATTTGGGACATAGCCGCGGTAGGCCTGGGAGATCTGAAGACTCAACCAACCTTCTATGTCATACAGACATTCCCGGCGCCGCTCGCACGAGTATTCATCGGCAAGGGTCAAACTCTGTACGTGGCATCCCACAGAAACCAGGACATATACGACAGAGTGTCGGAGCTTCTCGGTGACGACGTCCTATACTCCAGCGTTGTTGTGAGCGCGCAGAGAACATCCAACGGGGTGAAAGTAGTTGCCAAACACAAGGACGGACATCTGACCGAGATTCGCGCCAGGCGTTTGCTCATTGCCATCCCACCGACCGTGACCAACCTCGCGCCCTTTCAGCTTGACAAACATGAATTCGATGTATTGTCTAAGGCAAAGCATACGACAGCGTACGCTGGTGGCGTCGTATCTTCAAATCTGCCTCTCAACACTAGCATTGTCAACACCGCACCCTCTGGGGACTGGCTGGACTACCCAGATCTCTCATTCCTACAGTGGTTTAAGAACCTGGATTCACCAGACAGTTATCACAAGGTTATGATGTTTGGAGACGAGACTCTGGATAGTAAGGGCGCAAAGGCGGTTGTCGAGCAGTCTTACAAAAGATTGGTCCAGGCGGGCAGTCTGCCGGGAGAAGGTGGCACGAGGCTTGAGTGGCTTGACTTTGCGGAGCATGGATCCGTAAACTTGCGGACCTCAGTCGAGGAACTGAAAGCCGGCTACATCCAGGAACTATATTCTCTCCAGGGACATCTCTCAACTTGGTACACGGGTGCAGCTTGGTCGTCGCAGCTGCATACTCCCACGTGGGCTTTTTCGGACACGGTCGTGCCTCGGCTGGTGGAGAGCCTGAAATAACCATGATGGCGGATACTCCAACGCTCAGTCTCCGGCCTGAGTTAAATCTTTTGGGCCAGAGGGCGTCACACTTGATGGTCCCTTATCTTCCCTTCGACAATGTCCTAGCAGCGTCCACTCATTGTACTTCTATTATGGGCGCCCAATACAGGATGGGGTCCGTAAACACACGGGCGGTGACCAGTAGGGGGACGAGTCCGTACAGCCACAGGTCCGTACACTTGGTCAGCATCATCTACTGTAATATTCCGGCCTCACAGCTGACCGCCCGTAACCCATCCATCATAACTATCAAGGGCTGCTTCTGTATTTTAATAGACAAGATTTTGCGACTCTTCTTTGGCCTACTATATAACACCTGCTACATGTAGGCAGTTGTTTTGATCCTAAAGGATTGTCTTGAGGCTGACCTTGATTCGATTGATGTGGATATACCATGCAGGAACACCTAATGAATAATTAACCCTCACCTAATGCATAACCAAAATTTTCAATTTTCCATATAAAATCTATTTTTTAATCGCCCCAAAATCAGCCCAAACTCTCGATTTACAAATAAGAGCTTAAAATATTCTGGTGGAATTTTGCTTAAATTTTACTCTCTGCGTGGGTTTTTACCTCCCGCCCGCTGCGAGTACGCTGCTGGTGCTTTGTTTCCATCTCAGATTCTTCACTTTCCTCTCAAGACCAGACACCCACCTCAATCACCGACTGGGCTTCTTCATCCACATCCACCTCCCGTTTCCCATTCCTTGAACTAGGAATGGAATCTGAAGCCACCAGGGGCTCGGATAGAGCCATGAATCGTCGGTTCGGGTTCGGTACCGCCTTTCTTTTCTTTCTTGGCCATAGCTGGGCCATTTGCTCCTCAAGCCCAGCAATCCGCTCATTCTGAACGGCAACCTTCATTTCTAAAGCTTCCAGACCTTTCGCAATGTTGCTGTACTTCCTCCTCGTCGGACGACTTCGGTGTTTGGCCAGATCTCTCACTTGCCGGCTCCTTGTCGGTGGGCCATCTGAGTGCAGCTGAGGAGGGCTCGGCGTCTGAACTGTTCTGCCACCGACTCCTTGTCTTTCTGAATTTCCGGATGTTTCAAAGCCTTCTGACGGCTTATGGGCTAATTTCTAGTAAAACTCCAGCCGGATAAGATAATATCTTTCCTCATCCCTGCCTCCCTGGCTTTTGCGTATGCCCGGATAAAATTGACATTGTCGACCAGCGCAGAATCGGTCAAACTAGTCAACTTTTGCAGTTCTTTCCGGTATGCGCCATTGATAGCATTTAAAATCCCATTGTCCAACGGCTGCAATCCATGAGAGTAATGTGCAGGCCGGTAGCAACAGTACACGTTGTTTAGAAAGCAGGTCGCCATCCACTCGTCCTGCGTGCCCATCAGTAATCAGATAGTGGGAGAATCCGCAGGGAAGCAGCCAAAAGACTCACCTGTGCATGGATTTCATGGCCATCAAGGATGATAAGTCTCGCGTCCGAGGCACCTAGAGGTTCTGTCTGCGGTTGATAAACATCTTTCAGCCACTCAAGGGGTATGTGGTGGTCGGTCCAGCCATTGGGCGATGTGATATAATGCCAGTCCGCTATTGCCTCAAACTCTTCGATGAACCACTGCTTTTGAAGCGTTTTTCCTTTGAAAATCATTGCCGGCTTCAAAGGTCGGCCAGTGGCGGTGACAGCTTCAATAAAGAACTTGCAAGTGCGCGACTGGGTGCCTTTCAACCGCGCCTTCTTCTTCGGGTCGGAGCTCCCGATTACGAGGCTATCCAAGCCTTATAGATTTCCAATTAGCCATGGATCATCGGAAATTGTCGGGAACATGTAGGTAACATACTAAATCCTGCCATTATGCCACCCTCGTCTAAGTTAACTGTGTTCTCAGGCTTGATCCAGCCGTACTCGGTCTCCCGAATATCAAAGTACCAATTGACCGCTTTGGGGGCAAACTCGTTGAACCTGGAGGCACCTTGGCGTTTTCCAAGCTTGGTAGATAGTTTTGGGTGACGCTTGACAAATCTTGTGGTCCACCGCTTGCCCAGGGGGCTGGTTATCATCTTGCTGTTGGAGGATGGCTTCGACGCAAGCGCGGAGTTGGCTGTGGGAGAGAGCATAGAGAAGAGACTCCTGCCATAGCAACCAACGAGCTAGGACACCCTCTTGGTCCCTTGAAATACGTTGGTGTAGCTAGACACGTTCATTCCTACTCGCATGGCCGGAAAATCGGCGAGCAAGAGTCAGCTGAGGTACTCCGCGTTTCTGGACAGCCTCGTTCTGTGAAAGACCTCTATCGGTAACATCAAATATGGCCCCAACTATGTCATCTTCAGTATAGTTTAGACGAACCAAGTTTGGACGAGTTGCAACGGTAAAGTTGGGTGAAAACTCAACATGAGTGGATGAAGTGGGCTAGGACAACAGAGGAGAAATAGATTTTTTTTGAAAGTGTTAGTGAATCCGACCCAAAGGTCGGAGAGAGAAAATTCAAGGCGATATTAAATTTTGATGAAATAGACAATGATTTTCAGGTATTGATCTATGCACATCTCCATTCCTGAACGAAAGCGGTGCAATCGAAATTTTAGATTTTATATGGGAATATGAAAATTTTGGCTATGCATTAACAACCGGTATACAACGAATCACCTCTAGGAAGGGGCCAGCCAGCGAGTCATGGCCAAGTAAACTTCTTAGGATACTTGACTTGCTCTTAGAAAGTTTTGTCTACTATTCTTTCTCTACGGTTATTCTGAAGCGACTCTGTATGATTTCTGCGCATATACGTCTATTAGGGAAATCGTCCTGATTAACAGAGCCACTGTTGATCTTGTGAAGAAATTTATGGTTGGTGTCTTTGCTCGATGTCAATATTTACACCTCTGAAGGAGAGCTATTTTGCTCTCACCTGCATATAGTTCAACAGTCCACCAGTAGAAAAAACGTCCGGTGTCCAGGAGCGCCTTCACACGGCTTCTTCCCTGATCACATCGTATGTAGGTATCTAGCGGAAGGTGAAGCGTTAGTGGATCCCCCTCTCTCTGTAAACTTTCCAACATCGAGCGGGAACGCACCAATGCCTTCTGTAAGACATCCTGAGCAATGCTACCCCTGATGAAATGTTGTGGATCATATCAGTTGCATCCTTCTGTCAAGGGCAAGGATCACGACCATCGTGAATAACTTCACAGTTGACATGAACTCTAAATCGCAGGCAGCATCCTGCTGCCTAGACGATCGGCAGACTGAACATGAATATAAGAGACCGATTCTCGTCGCTCCTTTAGATAAAAAATCAAGTGATCATTTGGTCTTGGCTATCCATCCGTACATGCGATAGTTATGAGCCCGGTTTGCCCGGATCTCTTTACCATGCAGTACCCACCTACCGGCAGCACCCACCTACTGGCAAGCAAAAAAAAAGTTTCCCCATACAAACTGCTATTTTTCAACCCCCTCACAAAGAGTCACCAAAAATAGGAATAACAAGTTGATTGCTGTTTTCCAGTTAGGAATTGAATGTATTTTAATATTCTCTTTGCCTCTTAACTGCGCGCCCTTGTTGGAAATTCCGGGAATCCCCCTTCCTTTCAGGGTTTAGACTGTTAGACTGAAAGTCCTAGATTTAGAGTTCAAAGTCCTAGATGAAATCATCTAGAGATATAAACCCGAGAAGAACTCTCATCTCAATAATTAACAATCAAGTTTCATAAATATATTTTCACCCAGCACTACTGCGCAATATAAAAAACAGGTTATGAGCCCGGGTTAGCAAACACCGGGTTTCTCTTCTGAATCAAAGAACCGAACTTTAACTTCAACTCAAGATGACGTCACGACGAGCCCCACCTTCCACCATGCGAACTCGCAACACCATCAGAGTATCGCCTGCATCCGAATCGTCGCGACCTGGTGCTTCGGGTCAAGACCACACACCATCCTCAATGTATGACAGCACCACGGTCGTCTCCGAAAAGAACACTCTTTTCCTTCCGCAAGAGCTCAAGCTAGGCGGACCCTCCAATTGGGAACAATATTCCCCAGCTCAGAAGGCAATTCTTCGAATCAATGGTCTTGAAGATGCTGTCTTTAGCGACTACCCTCCCGAGGAACAGCAGACTATGGATCAAAAGATCAGGGCGGCAAAAGCTGCCGTCTCCATCCGAGGTAACTGCACTGGAGAAGCACTCAGTCAACTAGTCGGGATTGAGAATCCCCAAGAGATGTACAACCTTCTCCAGGCCTATTGTATTGGCACGGGCCCAGTTCTCCTGCAGACAACACTTTACCAGTTCATCCGGATCAAAACAAGCTCTTACGAGACAATTCCACAATTCAATGTCGACTTTGAACGACTCGTCAAACTCCTCCTCGAGCAGAAAGAGCCAATCTCAGATACCCTCAAAAAGGTTGTTTATCTGACTGCCTGCGAGAACGAGTACCCCGACTGGACTGCCAGACAGCGGGCTCTCCTACGCTCTGAGCATCCGCCAACACTACGATCAATGCAGCAAGATCTCATTGATGAAAACAGGTCATCAGATGATGATGATAGTCATGGTACTGCCTCTACGTACTGGGCTCACAGTAAAAAGACTGGAAGGAAGGGCCCGACCGCAAGAAAGCAAGAGGCAAGTGGCCGGAGGAGAGGCTCTTCAAAGAACCGACGAGCCACGAACAAATCCAGCCAGGAAACCAATCATCGGATCGGCAAGCACAAGGACCATACCTGCACGAATTGCAAGAAGAGAGGTCATCACGAAAATGATTGTTGGTTCGCTCATAAGGATAAGCGACCCGACTGGGCAGTCCGTCTCGCCAAGGAACTCATGGAGCATGACCTTCAACGCGACAACACCAAGAATCTCCATATCAAGGAATCAAATCACATGACAGTCGAGCGATCTTTTCTGATTCTTGAAGACAGCGTCTCAGACGAGCTACCTATGGACAATACAGAGGCGTGTAAGGTCTCCCTTGATAACATTTCTTCACCCACGGCATGGCTGTTCGACACAGGTTCGTCAGTCCACATCTGCAACGACCAAAGTCTGTTCACAGAGCTGCAGCCTGCAACTCGAACGGTCCTCGTTACGGGCGGTGGGAAGGTGTACCCATCCGGCCGAGGGACAGTCAAAATTTGCTTCATAAATAAATGGGGCGATCAGGTCCCAGTCAACCTCAAAGACACGCTGTTCATCCCTGAGTTTCCGGTAAACGTCATGTCAGGGCTCAGGCTGTACAAGAACGGCGGCTGGATTGACGGTAACGACATATACGACCCAACAGGAGACGTCTTTGGTCTCCTCCGCATAGGAAGGGACGGTCTATACGTCAACACTGAGGTCGGAAAGACTGCCGTTTCAAACCAGGCCGTCTCCGAACTCCAGCCAGAACCATGCAATCACCACATTGTTTCATCAAAGCAATGCCTGGATGTCGATCTTTGGCACCGAAGACTCGGCCACGTCAACATATATCAGGTATCGCAGACTGCCAAAATAACCAGAGGAATGTTCTGCGACAGCCACCACAATCATGAACCTTTCAATTACTGTCTCGCCTGCGACATCGCGAAGGCCCTACGATGGACTCCACGAAATAAACGGAAGCGAGCCTTGAGGGCCGGGTTCATCCATGTTGACACCTTCAAAGTCAATCCACCGGGCATTAGAGGCGAACGATGGGGAATGATTGCCACAGATGACAGGCATCGAATGAGATGGGCCTACACATTCACGAGGAAGGGGATGGCTTCGGAACTTCTAGGCCAGCTCATCTCCAAGATACAAACTCAGTATGGCATCCAAGTGTACGCAATCCAGATGGATGGCGGCTCTGAGCTCTATGGTGCGTCTCTCAAGAACCTCGAGTACACCCACGGCGTCAAGATCATCAAGACGACACCATATACTCCTGAATTTAACGGAGTTGCTGAGCGCTCTAACCGCATCATCTTTGACAAAGTCAGAGCAACCATGGAATCGGAAAGAATCCCGATAGAGCTCTGGCCATTGGTCCTGGAAGACATGGTGCGCAAGACAAACGTGACAGCCACCAGGGCAATTGATGGCCTCACTCCCATGGAAAGCTTTCTCAATGAAGCCTTGCCCGGACAAGACAACAAGCCGGATCTATCCGGAGAACGAATCTGCGGCTCACAAGTCACGATACACATACCGCAAGAACGAAGATTGAGATCACACAAGTTTGGTCCAAGAGGAGAGGCTGGAATCTACCTATGCATGGAAGGTTCACAGATTTACACCTGCTGGGTGCCCTCTCGCAGAAAGGGACATCAGATCGTCCGCTCTGCAAATGTGCAATTCTACGAAAAGGTTGGGGAGACAGAATTCCTGACCGAAACTGAGCATGATGTTGAGCCGGAAATCCGCAAGAACGGAGCTCCCATCTCAAGCCGGCCACAGTCCGTCACGGAGCAGACAAAGACTCCAAGCCCACAAAGGTCTGAAGTGAACAATCTTCAGCATGCTGAGGTGCATAATCCCCAGCATGGACAGACGACAACATCCATGACATCAGCTAAGCTGCCCGATCTCCGAAAAGAGGTGATCACTGAGCCCAAAACAATGACTGAAGCGCTTCAAGGTCCGCAAAGGGAGCATTGGCTCAGAGCAATACACAGTGAGCTGCGCAGTCTCCTCACGAAAGGAACTTGGCGCATGCTGGACCGCAACCAAGCTCACAATAGGCCACTTACAGTCAAGTGGGTATTCAAGGTCAAGAAAAACGAGGACGGCAACCTCGACAAGTTCAAGGCGCGGCTGGTGGTCAGAGGCTTTGAACAACAGTTCGGCTTTGACTACAACCAGACCTTTGCCTCTGTTGCCAAATCGGCGACTTGGAGAATCCTCCTCACTGTTGCTGCCTGTCTTGACTGGGAAATTGAGCAGATGGACGTGTCGACGGCATTCCTGGAAGGGGACCTCGACGAAGAAGTCTTCATCGAAATGCCGGAAGGACTTGTCGAGTATTTCGACCAACACCCAGAAGACCGTCCGCCAGGATTCTCAACCGAGAAGATCTGCAAACTGATCAAATCGCTCTATGGACTCAAACAGGCGCCTCGGCAATGGCAAAAGAAGCTGAAGGAGACCTTGGAATCCCTTGACTTCAGACAAGCAACGTCTGACACGGCCGTATATCACAATCCCACAACGGGAGTGATCATCATCACATATGTGGATGACTTCCTCATCATGGGCAGCAACAAGGAAGCAATCCAAGGGTACAAAGCCCGCCTGGGAGAGATCTTCACAATGACTGATCTCGGTCCCGTCAGCCATTTTCTTGGAGTAAGAATAACCCGAGACAGGAACTCAAGGCTGATCTACCTTTCCCAGGATGCATATTTTACCAGAATACTAAAGAAATTCGGCTTGGAAGATTGCCGACCGGTCAAGACCCCCATGGAGCGAAATTCACTCTCGACACTGCAACCAAGAGACAATGGCGACTCGGCTTCTCCAGAGGAACGAGAAGACTATAGCTCGAAAACCGGCTCGCTGATGTATGGAATGACCCAAACCAGACCCGATTTAGCTTTTCTACTCTCGGTACTCTCAAGATACATGTCGAATCCATCACCAGCACATTCACGATTGATCAAAAGAGGTCTTCGCTATCTACAGCAGACAAGAGACCACGGCCTGCTGCTTGGGGGCATCAAGAAAGATCCTGAATCCGCTTGGAGCATCACAGCTTGGGCCGACTCGGATTGGAAAGGCGACACAGTTACGGGAAGATCGACGTTTGGATGGCTCGTTCAACTTGAAGGATCTACAGTCTCATGGAGGACCAAACGGCACGAAACAGTAGCACTATCGACCACCGAGGCTGAATACACAGCACTCTCCCAATGTGCCAGAGAATTGGCCTGGACTAGGAACCTCTTCTCTGAACTGCTCCTGCCACTACATATGCCTATTCCACTGAACGGCGACAACCAGGGTTCCCTAAAGCTATGCAGAAACCCTGAGCTTCACCAACGGACAAAGCACATTCCGTTAACCGAGCACCATATCCGAGAAGAAGTTGAAGCCGGGAACATTGATGTGCAATACGTCAGCACACATGAGCAGGTAGCAGACGGACTCACTAAACCGTTGAACACCGTCAGCCATGGCCACTTTCTAGAAGCAATTCGAGTTAGTGCATGTCCGATCGAGGAAGCAGGTCGTATTATTTGGAGTACTGAAGTCCACGATGACTCTGTGCCCTGAAGACAAGGTGGATGGGGGCGTGTTGGAAATTCCGGGAATCCCCCTTCCTTTCAGGGTTTAGACTGTTAGACTGAAAGTCCTAGATTTAGAGTTCAAAGTCCTAGATGAAATCATCTAGAGATATAAACCCGAGAAGAACTCTCATCTCAATAATTAACAATCAAGTTTCATAAATATATTTTCACCCAGCACTACTGCGCAATATAAAAAACAGTGGCTAGTGACACTATTTCTCTATCAAACTAAGCAGTTCAAGGAGTAGGCAAACAGATCACGACGAACACTAGTATATAAGTACATTTATTAGCACTTTCCTAGAGTAGAACCACTCAGCTATCACTAATACTAAGTTACCCGAGACATCCTCTTGGCATTACTTGACGTGACAATCTTTGCTCAGGGTACCTTACGCGACTAATCCCCTGCCAACATATACCATTCACAGATCAGGTTTATTAACTTGGGGAACCTAACCGTCACAAGACTGAATTGGTCAAGCGGAGCGGAGGGGATGGGATGCTAGAGCCATAACAGCCAGGACAAGACGAAATAAGGTGCACGTAAATATTGATAGCTACTGATGGTCAGGTGATCACATCACTAACTAATATGCCGCATCAGAGGCCATTGGTCGCTGGCAACGGTCTATGAATAAAGCAACAAACCGCCCCATGACAGTTCCCTAAACTACGCATGATCCCAGAAAACTTCCTCCCGGGACCTCGTAGGCTCCCAGGACACGTTCGTAGCATGTATCTTTACGTGTTGAAGTCTAAAATGCAATTAGCAACATTCGTTGTGCTTACGGCGTGCCGACACATGGATTTACATACTAATAACCTCGAAGCCTTTCCCGTATTCAGCAGGGCATGGATCCTCTCCCCACCAACCAGCACCAAGACACTAGATGCATTAATAGACAGGCACATAATGAATTACGTAGTTGAGCGCCATCGACTTACGTAATAGCCGGAACGGCTCTTGTATTCCGCTGGAGCGTCTGTACGAGGCCCCCAGGTGCCCCCCTTCTTCTTACAGAGGGACTGGCCTAGATCCTGTGATGCACCCTTACAATAGCTCAGCCATTTTGAACCGGTCTGCGCAGTAGCAGTAGCGCTACAATAGTGCTTTAAATAATGCTAACAGACGTGTAGAAGGGATTAACATACCTCAAAAATGCCAAAATAGCTATGCTAGTAATCTTCATAATGGAGAGTATTGTAGAACGTTGCGATTGTATAGACTTATCAATAAGTAGCTGAAAACTGACGGTTTCAGGTTGTCTGGTTATCAAAAAGATGACGAGGAACGTTTAAAGATGATTGCTTTTATAAGATACTGGAAATAAAGTTTCAAACCTTGCTTTAGATGGTATTGATTAATAGCGCTGGTGCTAAGTGTGAATACGTATCACTCTCGGGTTTCGATTTAGAGTTTACTCACCGTACTTTAAGGTTTATATAGAGTATATTACTAAGTCCTTATTTTAAATGCCTCAACCTACTTTGTCTTCGGCTAATCTATTTTGCTAGTATGTAAAGTAAGAACACGGGAACCTTAATACAGTGAGGTGCAACAAGTTTAAATCCGAGATGAAGTATCTGCCCTGCCGCTCAAGGTCTGTCAGAAGCATGACTAGCTATATCGGGTAGATATCTAGCCCAGGTAGGCAGCTAGCTAACTTGGTTAGGCACGAATATGAGCGAAGCGATTACTACTGATCGGCTTAGCAAGGAGGCGGGTACTTGCACCTGGATTCAAACTTTTTGCATCCCGCTGTAGCACGGGAACCTTAATAACACGAGAAATATAGTTTTCTCATATGTCAGTTGGGTAAGCAGGGACAGGGTTGAGATGGTGGTGAATGTCTTCGTGAAATTTCAGTCGCAGGTCAAACCAGAGTTAAAATTCCACGGCAAATCCGCCACTACAAAAGATCATATGTAAGTTGGATCAAATGATAGTTCAAGATGTAATTCAATCGTTTCCATAAGTTTTGGGTGATCTGCAATGGATCAATAATGCTAAAGCTACCATAGACTGAGTACCAAACTTACCGTAAAGATGTAAAGGATCAATACGGTCCAAAGGGTCCCAGCATTGGACATCCCATCAGGCTCACCTTGCGAGATGTATTAAACATTCTGAAACCCCAACTGAGCCTCTTCACTTAACCAGGGTCCAGATGCTTGGGCTGATAAATGCGGGCGACAAGTCGAGGCTGGGGCGGGTGATTGGCGTAAGTTGTTTTCGAAGCAGCTGCTATTGGGCCTCGGCGTTCCCATTAAAGTGGATGCCAATCTCGAAGATCATTTACATACTGTACTTCTGGGGCGACTTTGACTTTTCGCCATACCACGTGATTGACCGGTAATCATGAAGTCGATCGGCGACAAGTGGGATGAACAGGTCTGTCTGATTACAAACATGTAGTGGGAATGTCAACACCGTACTCGAGACCATGTATACCAAGAATTATGATACCTATGGCTAGTGTAGGTTCTACTCGATGATTCCAAGAGTTGTCATGAAGCCTCTAGCAACGGGCTGCTGTTTGTGTTGGACCTTGGTCGTATAGCCTAGTTTGACGTTGTCACCCGTCCGCGGGGGCCCGGTGGCGCTGGTTGGTGCGCTACTAAAGACCATCAACTGAAGCCGCGCCTGTGCAGCTGAAGACTAGACAACTGGTTTGAAACGAGCGGCTCTCAAGCATGTGAAGAAACTAGCTTAAAAATGTTTGAAACCATCAAAATACCCCTGGCAGGATTGACCCATCGCAGGCTTGATAGGGTATCTCTCGGCCTCGGCAAGCGAAGCGGGTCCAGAAGCATTTGTGTTTTTGTTTTCTTGCGGACGTGCCCACCACGAAATCACATGCCTCATATATTATACTTTGGCAAGTAGTAATATACTTGGATTGTCCCATGGCCATAACTACCCCTGAAGGGAACTATTGCGGTCTAGATTGATCTGCGGGCGCAGGATTAATTTCGGTCGGGTGTTCCCTGGCAAGTGTTATGTTTCGGGTGTCAATGGTTAGGTAACCTCATACTCAGTATCAACACATGTATAGATCATCATGTATAAAAGACTCAACAAAGGTGCTATCAAGTATCTACAGAATCCTCCAACCGGACATTGAACTATTATTCTGCCTTATGTTGAGTCCTGTCTACATAATGCTTTGGTAATAGATATATATATTCTTAAAAAACAGGTGGCAGAAGAGTCATGTCCCTCCTTTAATCAATACTACTCAGCCGCAGTTCTTCATAAAAGTCGCACCATTAGCTTTTGGATTTCCTTGCTGTTAAACCTTACCATTCTCCACCACTTAAAGAATCACACCACTTAAAGCATAGCACAAAAAATCACCGCTCCATACAAATCCTACCATTTTATTTGCACCGCATTTTGGCATAATGAAGCCATCCGCGAAAAGAAAAACCGTGGTGTATTATTTTTTTACGTGGTGTCTTATCTTGGGCCATTTTTCTTCTGATTTTGTGTGTATCATAGGGGTTTCAAGATATTGAAAAATTTGCATTTCTCGCTTCCTCATCCTTCGACTCTCGTAAAGTTAAGAAGACTCTCCACGTAGTTTACGCGCGTAAAATATCTCCAAAATGGGTCGCTATGTTTATACCGAAAAAAACGTTATTGATGCTATATTCGATATTACTGAAGGTTCTCTATCACAACACCAGGCCTCCGATAAGTACGGTGTGCCTCAACCCGTCCTCTCCAAAAGACTTTCTGGCCAGAAGAGCAGGAAAGAGTCTACCCACCCTCACCAACGTGTTTCTACGAGTCAGGAGGATCGCCTCGTTCGTTGGCTTCTGCGGCAGGAATCCTTGGGCTACGCTCTCACACATAGCCAACTTCGAAGCTGCGTCGAAGCCCTCCTCCGTCAACAGGGAGATAACAAGCCACTGGGTAAAAACTGGACTACCAGGTTCATCAAGCGTCATTCAAAACTATCTACCAAGCTTGGAAAGCGCCAGGAAGCCGCCATGTTTGACGGGTTTACTCCGAAGGCTGTCAATTGGTACTTCGATATCCGGGAGAACGAGTATGGCTGGATCAAGCCCGAGAATACGGTTAACGTGGACGAGGGCGGCATAATGGCGGGTTTCGGTAAGTCCTCTATAGGTTCCCTATGGGTTTTTGTACGCCATAACTAATTAGTTGTCCATAAGGCTTGGACAACCTCATAATTGGGAGTTCCGACCCGAAGAAGAAGGCGTTATTAAAAGGCGTTCAGTCACGCACCTGGACTTCGTTTATTGAGGCTATCACCGCAACTGGCCGCGCTTTGAAACCGGGAATTATCTTTAAAGGAAAAGAGCTGCAGAAGCAGTGGTTCCTTAACGAATTCGAATTAATAGCGGACTGGCACTACATCACATCCCCGAACGGCTGGACCGACAACCATATAGCTCTCGAGTGGTTGAAGGACGTTTATCTACCTCAAACGGAGCCTCGTGATGCACCGGATGCGAGACTTATTATCCTTGACGGTCATGGTAGCCATGCACAGGTGAGTATTTTGGTGTTTTCGCTGCGGAGTCGCCTGCTATAGGGTCGTTAACGAGCAGTTAGGACGAGTGGATGGCGACGTGCTTTCTGAATAACGTCTACTGCTGCTACCTACCCGCACATTGTTCCCATGGTTTGCAACCGTTAGATAATGGAATTTTCAATGTCATCAAAGGTGCGTATCGGAAAGAACTCCAAAAACTGGCTAATTTGACCGATTCTGCGCCGGTTGACAAAGCCAGCTTTGTTCGGGCATACGTGAAAGCCAGGGAGGCGGCCATGAGGAAGGAGATTATCTTATCCGGCTGGAGGTTTACTGGAAATTGGCCTATCAACCGTCACAAAGCTCTAACACATCCGGAAATTCAACCGGACAAAGAAAAACTGCTGGAACAGTTCCAGACACCGAGCCCTCCTCAACTGCACTCAGATGATACGCCAAAAACGAGCCGGCAAGTGAAGGAAATGGCCAAACACCGAAGCCGTCCGACCAGGCGGAAGTACAGTAAGATCGCTAAGGGGTTAGAAGCTTTAGAGATGAAGGTGGCCGTTCAGAATGCACGGATTGCTGGCCTCGAAGAGCAGATGGCCCAGGTGCGGCGCGGGAGGAAAAGGAAAGCGGTACCGAACCCGAACCCACGATTCATGACTCTAGCGGAGGCTCTAGCGACTGGGGAAACTCTTCATGACACAAAGGAAGCAGAAATAGAGGTAGATGTGGATGAGAAGGTCGAGTCGGTGATTGAGGTGGGTGTCGGATCAGAGGACGAACGTGAGGACTTTACGGTCGTAACAAAGCACTACCAGCGCACACGCAGCGGTCGGGAGGTCAAAAAGCCTCGCAGAGAGTAAAACTCAAGTAATTCTCTATAGAAAATACGAACGGCTTCATTTTTAATGGACAAGGTGGTTGGTTTCTGCGTGCATCAAATATTGGATTTTGTATGGGGCGATGCTTTTTTGTGCTATGCTTTAAGTGGGGTGATTCTTTAAGTGGTGGCGGATGGTATACATCGAGCATCTCACCTCCCCGCGGCCCCTTTCTAAGCCATTAAACAGCCGTCTCGATAATCCACAACGGGATCCCTTCCCCGCACGCCCCGAGCCTGTCAAGTAAAAAAAGTCGGGAACAAACATTACACGACTACGTTCCTAGTGAATGCTCATCATCTGCATGTCAAGTCTTTCATCCTGCTCCCTGGTCGCTTTGCAGATCGCACTCCTTCCGAGTCGAACCAGCTCAACAACAAAGTCATTAACGAGCTCTATGTATGAGACCTCGTGGGGCGTCAGACGACGAACAGGAAGGTTGTTGACAAGATCAGCGGCTGTTTTGAGAAGCTCAAGATCTTGTTCTGCTCGCTCGTGGAGGGGATGCATGAGGATGTTGAAGAACAAGGTGATCATGGCAGCCGTGGGGTAAAATACAATAATCCTAAGCCAAAGAGTTAGTTGATGAATCAAGCGACTTTTAAAATTCGCTCACCAGAAGGCCTCCCCAGCAAGTCCGCACATAACTGCTCGCAAATAAACGAGTGTCGAACGACTAGCCTCCAAGGCCAGAGCGATGCTCGACTCAACACCCGCCACCCATTCTCCTTTATCAGGGGAGTTCTCCGACTCTGGCTCCATGCACCTTCCACTGGCACGATGGATTGTAGTCATGATGTGGTGATACTCCAGATGTAGAGTAATTTGGCGCATCCCTACCATAGTCACCTGAGACTCATCCGATATTGAAAGTGCAGGCCGGAAGTCAGGAGGGATTGATTGCCTCCAATCTTCTAGCTCTTCATCGAGTTCTCTAATATCGCGGAGTAGCTGAGCATGTGTTTTTTTGGCTGCCTGGGTCGAGTAGAGCAGACGGCTGGTTCTATCTTTGATGTGGCTCAAGCGAGGGTCTCCCGGGAGGTGAGGTGTGAGGTCCTCATCACCAATAGGTGTGTGAAGGAGTCCATGGTCTAGTTTAGGGAGATAGGAATAGCAATCTAAATAGTTGTGCGGGAGGGTAAAATCGCAATAGTCGTCGGACATAAAAGGAGGCTGACCGGTCCGTAGAGCAATATCCTTATCGAAGATATAGCACAGCCAGAAAAGCATTCGCAGTTGACGACGTTCGCGTTCGGGACGGGTTATCGGTGATTTATACGGTTTGAGACAGATATGTGTATGGCCACCAAGTGTAAAGACCATTCGACAAGCGATAGCATGAAACATGGCAGCGGATCGAAGTCGTCCGGAGAATATCTCATGCATGTTCTAGGGAAAATGTTAGTTTTTCTAGGTTGTTATAGTTCAGATAAAAATCTAGACTCACCAGCATAAACGTGGCTTGAAGGTTGGCGATGCTAGCCCCTTCCAGAACGTTTGTAAGTAGATATCGTGCCTTTGTTGCGCATAAATCGGTATCTACGTATGGCATCTCGGCTAAAGGCCCTTGAAACAGTTTGATTATGGAAGCAAAAGCAAGAACGCATACTTTGGCGCTGACCTGCTCGAGTGAGGGTGATTCACCACCATGTGGCTGATATGCCAAGTCTATTGTATCCTTGAACAGAATTCGGTCGACTAGGGGGAAGACCAAGCTGAATGAAGAGTGAAAAAAGACATCAAATATCTTCTCAGCGATGCTCCTGTCAGGAAGCTCGTGTAGGTCGGCCGGGTTGTTGTAATCGTGATATGCAGGGGACGGAGCAGGATTCGAGAAGTGACGAGAGCCTGGCTCGAACATAACCTCTGCTTCAGTCTTTGAGCTGATCCATTTCATCCCCTCTTCTGTTAGCAGCGGCATTCCATCGTGCTGGCTGAGATGGCCAAAGTGACAGCCACCATAGTGAATCTGCCCGTACGAGACCGCACTGGTAAAGCCACCAGCGGGGGATGGGATTTGGGGTATAGGTGGTGATTCGTGGGATAATAATGGTGAGTTAAAACTGGCAGTTGACTCTCTGAAGAAAGAAGCTGAAGGCCTGTTGGACTCTTGTGGAGGTTCCTTTGTAGGTTCTCTGAGAGAAACGTCTGAGCTTCTACGAGGTCCTGTGGCTACTGAACTTAGAGTCAATGGCTTGCCTGTACTACTTTCAGCTTCGTTTTGACGGGATAGTGTCTGGGAGAGCGCATCTTCAATACGCCTCAATCGTTCTGCGAGACTATGTTCCGATGTTTGCTTAGATCTGCAGCCAGGTGGTTAATGCAAGCAAATCCTTGACTTAGTACGCCATAGACGGAACTGACTTGGGCTTGGGTGGCCGTTTACGGCCCCTCACTCGGTTAAATGTACAATCTAGGCCATGATGCTCACACCAGTTGCATGGTGTCTTCGGACTTGTTGAATCGCATTGGATCTAGAGTAAAGAAGGGTAGGTATGTTAGTAAACAAGATGATATAGTGTTACACCCTTTCAGCAGCAGACTGTGACTGTATTTGAAGATAAAGGCCGCCAAGAGATGAGGTCGATCGATAAGGAGCATGTGTGGGTTCCGGGATAATGGATAAGGGAGGAAGAGATGGGGCAGGGTATGCGTACCTTTCTCCTGTGACAGTCATCGCAGGCCCGTTTCTGGACCATGGCTGCTGAATCAGAGATGAGATGCAAGTATGACGAGAGGGTGAAAGAAGAAGATTGCCTGGCTCGGCCGGAGCTGGATCGTTTGTTAAAACAAAAAGGGTTAGGACCTAGGAGCCTGTTGGGTCTTACATTTCAACATCGTTTTCGTTTAGGCTGAGTTCCACCACGCAAACACAAACAACGGCCGGAGGATTCAAAAAAGGGCAGACGGAGGAAATGACAATCAACAGCAAGCACTTGGACCAGATGCAGCTAAAGTGTCTTAATCTGGGCAATTCCGTGGCTGAACCTTATTTTGGAAATGAATCGACGTCAGAGCTAATCGTGATTGGAGAATGTCAAGCCTTAGGCAGGGATACCACGTGAAGATCAAGGCCCAGACGTCGAATGAGCAAGGGGCTCTTCTGTCGAATTATTACCTCAGCGGAGGTTTGTGGATTCCCTCAACTTCCGGCCCACTTTTCTCACCGGCAGATGGGATTCCTTCAATTTATACTCATTCAAGCCAACGTCGCGGGCGCATCCTTAATTGTTGCCGTTGATCCGACATCAAAGTAAAAATCGGGAATACGGAGCTAAAATCACCAACTTTGGATACGGATTATTCATTTATTGATCCGTCTTGCGTCACATTTTATCTTTGCGCCAGCGCTTTTCGCTCTTTTCACGAGGCCGTCTTGCCCGTCTTGCCCGTCTTATAGCGAGTGCGAGCCCCACGCTGTTGATATTGCAGGTCTTCACCTCGTAGTCGGTCTTTCGCCCTTCGTTAATTCTCCGCAGATTTTTTGCGAGGAATCTACAGCACTTTTCCGGCTTGTCCGCTCGCAATTATAAGCATAATCGATATTTTTGCCGTGATATTGGAGCGTGACTCACATAAGACATGTGAAATTTGGTGTTGACGCTGCTGAAGGCTTGTGAACTATGCTAATTACGTATAAGGCTTAGCTATATCACTGTCATTTCCATTGATTATGCTGAGCCGCCACCAAAATATGGATTGAATAAATGAATGAATTTATTCCGCCCGGGAGGATACGCCTCATTGTTAGATACGCACAAATACGATGGGGTGAGTGTATCAAAGTGTGGACCAGAATGTGGTGATGTTATTAATTGTTCTTTGATCGGTCTGTCAGGGAGGGGTTGGTTTAATTCCCCCTCCTTTTCTGGTTACAAGAATAATACTATGATAAAGGAAAGTGGAGCCCATTCCTGTTGGATTAGTGATAGCGCCTCGATAAAAGAACATGTATTTTGTGGGTCCCCGGATATATCAATACCGGGTAGCGGGGAAAACACCTAAAAGGACAGAACAGAGACAGAAGCTCCTGGGGACGAGATTGATCCTCAAGGGTGAAAATTAACCCTATTTTAATTGGATATTAACCCTACTCGCGTATCTAACAATTCCCAGCCGCCAATCTAACACTCATAGTGTTAAATATTGAGGTGAATTATGTTCTTGTGTGTATTTTCTCTCTCTGTCCCTCGCTTGCTACTTGAGGTTTAAAGCAAGCTCTATATATCTTTTCTGTGCTATGTGGAATCAACTAGAAGCTGCTTGCTAAGCCTGTGGCAATAGGTGGCAACTGTCATCTTTGATGACAATAGCCTTTTCAAGCTACTTCCATGAGCTTCCTTTTGACACTATTTAGCACATAGGACCCACAACGTTGTCCATGTCACGCTTCGTGGTTCTCTGATGTGTCTCATTGGATGTGTATGTTCTTGGTTGAGTTGCTTCCCCGCTCTAAGTCCCATATACATCTTTATACTGGGGTCCGACTGGAGTATCACTGGCATAACGATCGCACGCCCCATTATGTAAAATACACAACGTGACAATAATATCTGACACTAGTCCACACCTTGATACATTCACCCCATCGTATTTGTGCGTATCTAACATGAAGTACCTCGAGTTCACGATATTTTGATTGGCCCCACCCCTTAAGAAGTGACTTCGCTAAAGGGCTATGCCGGTCAAAGGGATAATAAAACCCCCATTTTACTTCTAATTACTCGCTCGTGACTTTAATCAAACTTTAACTTTGCAGAGAATTGAGCTTCCTAGTATCCTTTAATACAGCGTCAGCGAGAAATTTAAATCTTAAATTGCTCTGAAGTGAAGGGGGAAGGTGTTAGATTTTACCAACTACACCACACGCCACCAAAATGGGAACCCCCACTTAGAGCAATGCATGAGTGGTTTTATATCTGACAGAAGGACACGTCACATAGCCAAAACTTTCCCTGCAACTAATCGTGTCGGCGATCCACTAGACACTTAGCTATGGCGAATCAGGCTTGTCTATAACCGCCGCTGAATAAGCATTCTGGATCAAGAGAGAAGTCAAAGTCCAGAAAATAGCAGTCGATTGCACATTACAATAATTATTTGAGATGTATAAATGTAAAACAAAGATATACAATTTATAATAAGGATTATAGTAGCTGTATTACTCGAGGATCGTTTATCCCTTACGTTTTCTCCATATATTAGACTTATATATATACAGCCCCAAAAACATCACTCTTATCATTTGCCTTAGTATAGGGATATTATAGGGGATATGTCAGCTAGTCCGGAGTCGCCGGTTCAACTGCGTGTGGAATATAAAGTTTTATTACATTATGTTAAAAGGCCTATCGGCAGTAGGAAACTCTGGAGTGATACCCTAGGCGCATAATGGGAGCTAGTTGGAATATGAACGAGCGTAATAACTCCTCCCAATACTACTTTTCAGAGTCTGGTGAGTCTAACAGGGGGAGAGAAATTATAAAAGCGCTCTATAGTTCCAGCGTGCAGGCATAATTAGAACCTACCTTGCCAATTTATAACAACATTTTGCACCCTACTAGTCCCAAAGCCATATCATCGTGAACATGAAGGGTCTGACGCTTATCTTCTTTGCTCTTTCGGTCAACGCAACCTGCCACAGACAGAATGCTTGTCGCCTTGACGGAGGAGTTGTTCCTCCAGGGCAAAATTGCCGTCCGAACACAGACGTAAGTTTAAAATGACAGCATAATGTACTACAGAAGACTAACCATAGAAACAGTATTGCAATCTAGGAGCATGCGATGCCGTCAGTCTCATACGTCCTCTTTTGGTTTTGGATTATTAACGACTTAATAGGGTCAAGCCTGTGAAATCACTCAGGAATGTGATGGCTGGATTCAGGCCAATTGGTATAATGTGAGCTTGATTGAATCGAAACTTGAGTGTGTTATGAGACTTCACTAATCTATTTACAGAACTGCTACGTCAAATGTGTAAGTACCTATGAGAATGTGTCCTCTGACGCGTGATGCTAACAGTAATTCCAGTGTACAAGGTAGTGATGTCCGTCTAGAGCGAGGAAGTGAGAGAGCGAGATACCGAAACGAAATTCTCCAACCCTTATCCATTCGATTGTAAATGCAGCCTATCAATACGGATCGAGGCGAGACAGTGGTGGGGAGACCCGCGTCCAACATATTAACCTGGGAGAGGAAGGCCAGCGACAAGGGAGGGAACTATTAGACGTAGCTTAATATACTGGATGAATTTGAAGCTTAACGTCAACTCAACTCAACCATGATCGACTTTACATGTAACACGCCGGTTCAAGCGTATGTCCTGCCGTTTCAATGGTCCGGTTTTGCTGACTGGTTGATATAAGGTAACGAGGTTGACGTCCTCCGCACGTGGCAGGGTGCTTGAGAAAAAGATGTGCGTCCCCGTTTCGGTCCCTTCCGGCAATGGGCCGGGCGTCTATTTTTAGCATCCTTTGTGCTGTTTGTTACCCACAACATATATCTCTTGTATACCGGCCGGGGTCTACCCTCGGGCACCTTCAACAGATTTAAAGTTGATTGATGGTGCGGTTATTGGTCTCGGGCGAGGGATGCACAGGGAGAATTGAACTGTATGATAAGCGGGTGGCCCGGACAAGCGAGTGGCTCATGCGAATTTCCACCTAAAAACCGGATTTTTAAAATACTTTAAGAATTTCGATTTAGCTTTAAAATAACTAAAAACTAAAGATAAGGTCAGTAACTATAATTTAAATTTATATCCTTAATATAGAAATTATACCTAATTCTTATAAGGAGGTATTTAAGAAAGCCTATTTACACTGTAAAATATACTGTATATTAAGGTTTACTGTCAGAAATAAAATAATTAAAATTCTAAAAAAATTACTTTTATATATAAAAAAGTATACTAATTATGATAATATTTTATTTTAGATTTTAACTACTTTTTCTAAGAGTTCTAAGGGCTATAGGGTAGGTTATTTCTAGTGGCACATTATCCTATCGAGTGCTAATTGGCGCCAGGTACAACTACTGTCACGGGCTGGGCTCGGTATACAGGTGAACGGGGAACGCTTCAGGCGGAATATGATCTATTGCTACGGATAGGCACTGCAGGCAGGTCAGGCTCTATTGACAAGACGTAGCTCGAGGAGCTACGTTCAGGAACTATCTGGTCGGTAAACAAAGTCTCTGCGATAACGTATCGCCACGTGATCCGGATCTACCTTGTTAGTGGTCTAGGGTAGGCCAGTCTGGTCTCGAGCTGTGACATTTAATTAGTTAAATAAGTAGATATTAAATTATATAAAAAAGCCTTTATTTGATATATTGAATTCTAGTTAATATAGCCAGAAGTCTGAATTCAGGGGTAGATCTTATATATATATATTATCTTATATAATATTGTTACATAACCTAAAATATAACTTTCTTTAATTTAACTTATTAGTTATAAAGTATTAAAGTTTTATATTTTAACTTTTATTAGAGAAAGATGTTTAATTTTCTATATTTTGCTTAAATAAATATATTAGTTAAAAGCTTGGAATTTTCTTAATATCTAAATGTATATTATACCTTAATAAGGCTATTAGTTATTAAGTTATAAATAAATATATATCTTATATATATAGAGACCTTTCTATAAAGTTAGGTCTTAATAATAACTTAACTTAATTAGTATAGTAAAGCTCTTAAGAGCTTTCTTAAGATAGGAATTTTATATAAGCGACCTTTTTAAACCCGAATACAAATGTTATGGCAATGATTCATTCCATGGCACCCAATACTGGTCATTCCATTCTGCGATGCACTTAACCTTGGCCGGAGGATCTGGCTTCCACTTAATACAGTCTCCATCTAGATCCTGTTCTGAGACAATGTCCGACGTGAAGCCCATTTTTTCTTTGAGTTTTCTCCCCCTTTCAAGTTTGTACTCAAGGTTGACGGATGGCACAACTGCAATCTTCCCATATCCGCGGTACCACATATCTTTGCAGAATAACTGTGGCTCACCCTGCGGGCATTCATCTTTTTTTGCGGCCCTAAAGCGCAGACTTTCAATGATAGGCTGAGCACCAAACACTGCGGCGCCGTTCCAACAAGAGAATACTTGAAATGGCCGTTTCGCGTCAAATCGGGCTCGGGTTTCTTTCGCATTCCAAAACAGCTCTGACGTGTTTCCCCAGTCACCATTGGGGACGTCCAAGAATGAGTCGCCGTTCATGGCCCGGGAGATCCAAACATCATAGAACCTTGGATTCTCGAGGTTCCAGTCCATTGCGCAGGTCATGTCAGCCCTAAGGGATTTTCTTTGGTAGACAAGCTCAAGGATGTCATCTGGGCATGCTGTCACGTCGTTCGAGAAGATGATAGTGGTATCTTTGGTGACTTGATCGCGATGCTCGAACAAAGGTTGCAGCGCCAGGTTGCGCAACGCTGCGAGACTTGAAATGCGCTCAGTCTTGGTGGGGTCGATGGGTGATGACTGGAAAACATAGGTTATCCCAAGAGTTTCAAGTTGAGATCCGAGGGCCGACAGAACGTCGCCAGTGCCGTCAGGAGAGTTGCCCTCAACGATGGATAGCATGCAATGTCGAGGGCCAAGAAATTGAATCGCTTCTACGACACTACCAATCAGACGAGGCAGGAGGATCAGATTTTCTCGTAGATCAAGCGCCAGATAATATCTGATAGTAGGGTTTGATGGCCCTGATGACTTGACAAGAGAGTTGTATCGGGTTGCATTTATACGTGGACACTGGAAACTCGGAAGTCCCGCTGACTGGCGGTAAAAGATGGCCTTGAGGTAGGCCGAAATGTTCGCTGCCGGAAGGATATCACCTGTTTGATAAGAAAGTTATATATTGTCTTCCAATGTCAAATTTCTTGTCATTAGGAGAAGGGAAAGAACATACCATCTGACATAGCGATTCGTGAATTCTCCCTGTGCAACTCGTCATGTAAGCGCTGACCTAGCTGTACGGTATAGTATGTAGCGAAATGGTGCTTCTGTGAATATAAGGTCCATGCAATTATAGCGAGAGCGAAGAGTGGTATCGCCAGCAGCTGTGGTTTCCCAGGCATGGTTGGACTACCGAGGCAGGATCGAATTCAGAGAATGGCTATTCCACAGGGAGCAAGGCTTAAGTTTGTAAGTTAACCTTATCAGATATCTCAACGAGATAGATCAAGGCAACCCCTCAAAATTAACACCTTATTTCTTTTACACCCCAAGACAGCATGAGAAGGCAATAGATAACCTTTTTCATCATTCAAATACTCTTGGCCCTCACCCTTGTGCACAAGGACAAAGAAATATAATTACGCGCGGCCTCAATCAATCCCCCATACGTAAGAGCGTCGTCAGGCTACTCACTACTAGTGCCTGGCGGCGTTAAGACTATTACGAGACAGCCACTCAGAAAGACGAGCGTGTCAGACTTAAGGGATAATTCCAAGCCACAAAGTTTGTCATTGCCGGTTGGTAAATAATTTTATAGTTAGGGTCAGGGTTGCTCATCATCGATGACTAGCTTTCCGACTTCTTTATTAACAGTTTATACGGTAGCTTTGGCCCCACAGCGTGACGCCTCCAATCTGCATTCGCTCAGAAGTCAGATCTCACATGAAGAGCTATTTCTGATATAACTCGATTGATTCGGGTGACGAAGCAGCCCGGCTTCCCTACAGCCCCAGAGAAGTAGACATAATACAATAAAGGGCAAAATCCAGTGAATGGAAGCTACTCGCCTACATCGACTTGGGAGCGCCTATAGTACCTCAAAGAGTGGACATTACACGGTCTGCTACGAGCTACCCATAGTAAGTAACAAGAAATGGGAACCCAATGGGGAACCTGCGGCATCATGACAGTTGATGGCAGCAGTGTCACTAATCTAACTCCAGTCTTCGTCTCCCAACAAGTAATGCGCAATGCTCAACGGCGAGGTGTTGCGTTACCCCGTGATACCCAGGCAAACTTAGGGTTAGATGCGCAAGTTTCGGAGCTTTCGTTATTGCGGTATTATCCGCCAGAGGAGCCATACCGGAACCACGTACTAACTACATCCCTTTTATCCGTCCCTCTTTCGGTGAAAGTGGAAATTTGCGGTCTTTCATTGGTTCACATCCCTGTAAATCCTCTTTCACCGAAACGTGACAGGGTTATCGAGCTACCAGCTGACATTTTAATTGCAAGTGGATGATACAGCCTCCCATTGACTGGTTTCTTTCTTCGTCGCAACCTTCATAGGCAAAACGATACTACCTCCTGAGCGTTTATATGTAAATCGATATCTTGGCCGCGCGTGTTTCGCGATCGTGTGGCAGAACTATGGAAAGGGGTAATAGGGATGTAGCCTGATTTATTGTGGAATTTTAACTGTAATGTTGCATGGGGACTGAAATTTCACGAAGATATTTAGGACTATCCTAACCCTGTCGCTACGTACATAAACTGATTGCTACATATTATTGTTTTCTGGCTTATCATGAGCCCCTTTCTCCTACGTAACTTAAACCCCAGATCGGCGCTAGCTAACCCCTAGTGTGGAGTTAGGGTTACTTTAAGCCAATCAGCGACTCGGTCCAACTCCAAACGATTGTACTTCAAAACCCTAGCCGCGTCACCTAATTTGTTAGACGATTTGAGTCAAATCGTCTGCGAATAATACCTAGGGTTAGCAAATGGGAGTCGATGCATTTATAACTCTAGCCCCACTCGGAAACGATGATATAGTGGCGTACGGAGTATACATCACGACGATGCCTCTCGCCTCAACTGGTTCAGAACTAACTTTTGCCGTTTTTCTGTAGTTATCATTAAAGTTTAAATAAAATGGAATTCCCGCCACCCGCTCGTAAAAAGGGTCTCTGCTGTACCAGCCATATACTTTCCGATATCGCTCATATTTCTCAAAACCCACCGTTCATTGAAACTATCGCGTTTTTGGAGAGATCTTGAGCGTCAACTATTAACATATGGATGCATTATTGCTGCACCGGGCCAACAGGCGAAAGGGCGTCCTCCTTGCCATGGCCATTCTGCTGATTTTCGGCCTGGCAACACACACATGGGGGTTTTATTTCTCATCAACACGCGACTCATCTTTCCAGTAAGCCAGTACCTCTCATAAGACTCATTCCATTCTACCTGTTCTAACAAGCGCCTTCACCAGCATGTCCCCCCCAAGCCCGCCGCCAGCGAAGCTCGCGGAAAATATGCCACAGCTGATGCATCATCTATGGAAGCCTTTCCTCCACGACATCAATGGTACACACTTCTTGACGAAAGAAGGATACTACTACGAGAACCCAAAAGACACTCATCGCTGGTCGCAACCTTTGCGCAAGAAGTTGCTCATTTTGGATGTTGATACTCGGCTAGACACAGGCCTTGGCGGTATAATGAATGAGACGTCCTTAAACTCCAAGGAAATGACGGGAAGGACTGCTGGAATGATGAATCACTATCTATATGGTATCTAGTGCCTGTATTGCGCCTGCGGAAAAGTATTCAGCTGACTTTTCTCGTCTTAATAAGCTATGATTCACGGATATGACTACCGATTCATCCGAGCTCCTAGCTATCCCAACCGTCACGGGACCTGGGCCAAGGTCCCAATGATCCGACAAGCGCTCAAAACTCACGAAATTGTGGTTTTCCTTGATGCCGATGCCATCTTTATGTATCCTCAGTTGCCCTTTGAGTGGCTAATGAGGTTATGGAACGTAACCGACAACACTCTCGTCGCTATGGCTAACGACCCGAATTCACCAAGAAACCGCGACGCCAACGGCCAAGTGATGCAAAATACGGGCTTCATCATCGCTCGGCAAAGCAACCGGACACAAGAGCTTTTCTATAATTGGGAGCAGTGTCCTACCGATACAAAATATAAAGGATGTAAGCGCTGGGGGAAAGATTGGGCACACGAGCAAGCAGCTTTCTCTAATTATGTCCGGTATGATTACAATTCAACAGAGGAGGTGCGCGTGATACCATGCATGGATGGGAATGGCGCTCCCTATATTGGTGATAAGACATGCGGTGGAGTCTTTATCCGCCATCACTGGTTTCACAAGGACTATCCTATCAAGGACATGCATCAACTTATCCTGGATGCGTTCGTGAGTCGTCTACACGCGGGGTTTCATCATAATCAACAGGGCAACTTTGTGGACGCGAGTCGTTATACCTACCCCCTTCATCATTTAAATATATAAGTATTTCGGAACATATAACGTGTTTGATAAGCGAGCGCCGCACTTTTATTTCCACCTTAAATCTGTGTTTGAAAAATCTCTTTAAAAATCCAAATCAAGCCTAAAATAGCTATAACTTTACTAACGTATATATAAGTCTTGAAATAAGCTATCCCTTTGAGTGCCACAGCCCTTCAGTAGGTATCTCGACCCACTTTACCCCACGTACAAGAAGGTGACAAAAGCTCCGCCGCAAGCGCAGTTGAAAGGGCTGTCTTCGCCTGTACCTGGGCTACCTCTTTGGCGGTATAGCCATCTAATTCAGCAATTTCAATTGGCTGGCAACCCTCTATAGCGGCTTGAGTACAAGTTGGCCTGTAGCGGCTGATTTACTTACTTTGATTGGCTATATATCCCTGTTGTGACGCTCCTGAAGGGCTGTGGCACTCAAAGGGATACATACTTTTTAAGAATTCTTGAAAAACCCTATATAGCTATAAGCTTTAAAATCTTTTCACACTGTAAAATATGCTGTATAATTAAGCTTTTCTTGATATGTAACGGTTGGAGTTTCCCAAGGGATAAACTAGTTCGTGCTAGGTTTATGTTGGTAGATTCGTAGGGCAAAGGCTGAGCAAACGTTGAATGTCACGTCTCCTGATGATCAAGTAATGCATGTTAGGCTTATTGATGTAAGGAAGTTTTATTGATAGCTGGTGAGCTAGAGTCTATGAAAGTACTAATGAATGTGCTCTATATATTTGTGAGAGGATCATGGCTCATGGTTAGAGAGCGGTGATCCCTGAGCTGGATCGTTAGGGATCATAAGTGAGCCATGGTGATCCGTCTTATGGAGCTTCGTGATCCAAGTGATCCAATAGTGGGGGATCCGTACTCTTGTGGGGTGAATACTACATGATTTGTAGGAAAATAGTGGGGGCACGTGATGTAAACGCGGAAATTATAATATAATAAAGGAACTTTTTTTTAAAAATCTAGGAAAAATACATAATATAGCTATTACTAACGTGCACGATGAGAGATATCCGCCACTAAGTAGGTCTAGACTCTGTAAGACTAGTTTTCTAGTACGGCGCTGAATGATGTGCCACGCGTCAGATAAGAGCTGTGATAAAGGATGATGAAGATTACCTCTAACTCTGGTCACATAGTTGCTCTACAATGCATCCGGACGTGCCTTCGAAGAATTAGTCGCGAAATACAGAAATCTCTCAATAAATACCAAGGGGACTGCAGATAACAAAAATATAAGCACCAATATACTTCATCAGACAACCGAGCTAATTAAAATCCTAGCTATGTACCGGTAACTATAAATCACTATTAAAAAAACTAAATTATTTATTTAATAAAAGTTAATTACTATATTTTACTGTGGACCTAGCTTTTTATCTGATCAATTAGTTCTCAACAACCAAAGATGTCAAACCTAACTACTGAGGCTAAAACCCTTCTTGCCCTTCAAGCTATTCAAAAGAACCCAAGACTAAGCACCCGACGCGCTGTATCTACCTATCAGATTAATGAGCAGCGGCTACGTCGCCGCTGCAATGGCATTCAAGCTCACTGCGATTGGACTCCAAAGCAACGGAAACTATCTGATCTAGAAGAACAGACTATAGTTCAGTTTATTCTTAACCTATATTCGCGACGATTTCCTCCCCAACTATGTGGTGTTGAAGACATGGCGAATCGACTGCTTGCTGATCGCAACGCGTCACCAGTTGGCTAGCGCTGGGCTATCAATTTCGTTAAGCGGCAACCAGACCTCAAGACGCGTTTTCAGCCGAGATATAACTATCAGAGGGCCAAATGTGAAGATCCGACCGTTATTCGCAATTGGTTTAGGCTTGTACAGAACATAATCGCAAAATATAGTATCCGACTACATAATATCTATAACTTTGATGAGACCGGCTTTATAATGGGCATGATTTTAAGCGGTGTAGTGGTTACAAGTGCAGAGAGGCGTGGAAAGCCAAAGTCAGTGCAGCCTGGAAATCAGGAATGGGTTACAGTCATCCGAGCGATTAATGCGGAAGGCTGGGCGGTCCAGCCATTTATCATATTTGCACGCAAAAATCACCTTCGCAATTGGTACCAAGGAAGCAACCTCCCGGGCGATTGGGCTATTGCCATGACCAAAAATGGCTGGACAGATAACGATATGTGTCTCGAGCGGCTTAAGCACTTTGACCGATATACAACTAACCGGTCAACTGGTCCCTATCGTCTTCTAATCCTTGATGGCCACGAAAGTCACCACTCAGCCGACTTTGAGATATATTGTGAGGAAAACAGTATTATCACGCTCTGTATGCCGCCTCACTCATCCCACCTCCTTCAGCCCCTTGATGTCGGGTGCTTTGGGCCGCTAAAAAAGGCATATGGTCGAGAAATAGACCATCTAATCAGAAGGTCTATCACCTATATTTCCAAGACCGAGTTCCTCCCGGCCTTTTATGCCGCTTTTCAAGCTACTATGACCAAAAGGAATATCAAGGGAGGCTTTAAGCGAGCCGGGCTTGTGCCTTTTGACCTAGAAAGAGTGGTCTCAAAGCTTGATATGCAACTATGGACTCCAACGCCTCCAGAAGAGGTAGCTAACCCCTCAACCCCTTGGGTATCAAAGACCCCAAAGACCGTGCTTGAGGCCGGATCTCAGTCTGAATACCTTGAAAGAGGAATAAGAAGACATCAAAGTAGCTCCCCGGAGTCAATTCTAGGAGCTTTGAAGTCTCTTGCAAAGGGAACAATGGCAATTATGCATAAAAATGCCTTACTAGAGGCCAGGGTCAGAGATCTTGAAGAGGCAAATGAGATACTTAGTCGGCGGGGCAGGGCAAAAAGGACCCGCCTAAAGAATAGAGGGAAGATGACTATAGATGAGGGTAGGGATCTAATTGATCAGGTGGATGTGAATATGCAGGTAATGACCGAATTATCGAGAAGTGGTGGTCAAGGAAGTTCGGCGCAACCGAGGGTTCGGCGCTGTGGGACTTGCGGCAAGACTGGGCATGATATAAGAACCTGTCAGGAAGGTATTGAGTCCTCTGGAAATGATTATAGTACTTAATTTCAATGGATCAGATAGTCTGTTGTGTTTTTATTATGATCTAACTTATCTCAAGAAGATTGAGATTTTTGTTACGCATGCTTATCGTGTACGTTATCTTCTTTAAATTTTAATTTGGTTTTGCTTTGCTTTTCTATAACGTTACTCTTATTAGTAATCTATCTTTTATACTATAACTTATATTTATATCTGTTTTTATTATATATGCTTATAATTATATATTTATTATTTTATATTTTTAACCCTCTTTCCCTTCTATTTTTCACTTCTTTTCTTTTAACTACCTATGTTCTTATCACACTTTCGCTGTTCGCATATCCTCCTCAATTTATCTTCATTGATCGCATGCCTCACTACCTTCCCGCCGCATGTAAAAACCCCTCCGCACCCTCTACCTAACCTTCTCTTTCTCACATTATCGGCCACTTAATCCGCCAAAACTCAAACTCTCTCATCACCTTACATCACCATGCCTATCATCACCTCCCCGCTCGGGCATTTCGGTGGTTATGTTTTATATTCCCTTCCTCTAAGACCTATATGCTAATTCTTCCCACGGTCCACTCTATCTGACGGTGCCCCCTATCGTGCCGATAATGCCCTTTACCCTCGCCGCTGTCTTCGGCAACGGCGCTCTCAATCTGTGCCTCAATGTCGATTCTCTTGCCTTCTCCACGGCTATCGACATCCGCATCACCTTTGCACCTCGTCCTCGGCCTATTCACATCGGCTTCATTCTCTACCCCACCCATTGGACACAACGACATGACCAAATAACCACATACGCTACTCAATATAACTTTATACTTACTCTTCTGCTTGTATATCGTAAAATGACTGCTGTGATGACTACATAAAGCACCCCTAGCTTAAAACCAGCCCTTGTCTTATATACCTCCCAAATAATTAGTTCCCATAAAGCATGTGCGTTTGTTCCTTTCATCCCGTGAAACCGCCTTTCAACCCCTAGCCAGCAAAAAAACTCCTTCTTATCCTTAATATCAATACCAAACCCAGTCTTTACTATGTTTTTCACTCGCCAGCTCCGCAACCCCATTAACACAACCGGTAATACCTTATCCTTAAATACACATCTGCCCTCCTCATCTTGCGTTCCCTCACACCAATCTCGCGGCAGCTTGCATATAAAGCAGCATAATAACTCTTTAAACCTGATCTCCTTGCGCAAAGCACCATAATCCTCACCTGCTACTGTCCTGCACCGCTGCCCAGCTTTCTCATGCCGCAGCTTATCCGGTACCTCCCCGTGCTCCAGTCCTTTTTGATAAAGTCGGACGTGACATACCGGGCACTCGTGTGCTGCTTCATCTAGCCACCGGAAAAGCGTCCTGATCTGCATGCCCTCTTCTATGCCAAACCTCTTCCAGATCGCACCCCCTCTCTTACCCCCATTATCATTCCTGCTTTCCTCACCATCGCCAGTTTCACATTCAGCCTCGCTTTCGTTCTCACCACCACCCCCACTATCGGCCTCGCTGCTGTTATCTACCTCCCTGAACGCCTTGCATCGATCACAAAGCGCAGCCCCATCCACGTCCTTGCACGTCTCCCCTGCTGCTCCGTCCATAAACGCCGAAACGACGGCCCGTTGACAACCCGGCGTCGATATGAACGCCTCCATCTGTGCCTGATTGATGCCATCTACAAAGCTGCGATGTTGATCCTATCGCTCCGGTCGTCCCTCGTGCACGATAATCGACCTGACTACCTCGCCTGCCCGCCGCCCTCCTCGACCTGTCTGCTGCACAAAATCCACTAGCCCATACGGCTTCTCCATATGAACCACGGCAACAATCCCTTCTGTGTCGATCCCTGTCCCTAACCCGGTTGTTACTGCGATCCAACGGTTTATTCGACCGTCCACCCAAGCCGTCCGCGCCTCGTGACGGTCCTCTTCGCTCATGCCGCTGTGATGAAACCTGCAACCGATCTCGTCAACTATAGCTTCACACTGCCTCTTTGATTGGCAGTATATGACCCCCTTCTGACGACCCGTCCTATCTCTGTCCAGCTGCTTAATCACCTCAACCGTACGCTCTTCCAGCGTCCCGCCCCCGGCCTTAACCTGTTGAACCTGATATTGAAAATTCAGCTTTATCCAACTTTGCTAGCATCTCGCTGCGGAACCAATCTTCCAACACGACGGGCAGCGTTGCTGTCAGCAGTACCATCGGACAGCCAAACCGATGCAAGCCTATGAGCTGACCAAGCTTAGCTCTGTAGCCGAATATCCATGATGATCGTGTGACATTCGTCGATGAATATTCGCTGCAGCAGCCCTACGCACAACAGCCCGTCGACATACCCTAAAAACTGATTGCTTGAAATGATATCAGCGCTGACGACTACCAACCGTGCTGCCTGCGGCACCTCCTCCCGCCCGGCGTTCATCGATGACCTGAATCGGATACAGTCGATGCCCATAGCCCTTGCTCGCGTGACGAAGTCATTCATAAACGCAACAAACGGCACCACTACGATACTTGTGCCTATATCCCGCATTACCGCCGGCAGCATGAATAATATGCTCTTCCCGGCCCCTGTCAGTAGCACGTTGATTACTGTCTGATCTGCCTTGAACGACATGATCGCCCTGTCGCCTCCGGTCCAAGTAGCATTCGCAGCCCATCAGCCATGCAATCTTCCAACTTCTGCGCCACCTCTTTGTCAGTATTTCTCCGCTTGCGCCTTGACGGATTTGTCGTCGTCGTCGTCGAGTCGCCTGTCCTCTGCCGCCCAGTAGCTTCATCACCCCTGCGGCGCTTACCCTTTGACCCCCCTTCATCCTGCTCTCCGCCTCGGCCCTCTAAAAATTGATGCCACAGCTTGCTAATCTCCTTGAAAGTCGCAATCATCTCCGGCTGAAGCTTGCCCGGGAAGCCGATGTGTACGATGTAGTGCTGCCTCGCGATGCGTATTCCGTCCGTCGACTGTAGATCCTACACGATATTCCAGCTTCCTTCGCAGTCGACCGGCTCACCCGTGATCGGATCAACCTCGACGTTGTCATCATCGTCATCATCCTCTATTCGACTATCCAGCTGCTTCATCACAAGTCCTCAGATCTTCCGGCCCATCTCCACAGCGATCGCCCGGTACCGTCCCACCCCGATCCTCACGCCCGTGCTGGCCTGCATCACGCGCGCGAGCTTCCTTCTGAGCCGTGCGGTATTCCATACCCGCGAGCTGCCATCCCGCCACATGTACTCCAACTGATCTCCGTGCGGCTCGGCAAGCTTGCACTCCCGCCGCAGCACCCGTTCTGCCGGGATCAACCATGATAGGTATGCTGTGATCATCCGCCCGATCGGATCGGGCACGAACCGCGCCACTTTCCGGCTGTTGTCCCGGATCGCCTTCATCTTGTCTAGGTCTGTGACAATCATGACCTGCCCGTCTAGTACAAATATATTCCGGATCAGCTGCTACGAGTCGCAGTGCCGTAGCGTCGCCACCTCCGGTCCCCTGCCTGGGAGCCCGCTCCATGTATGCACGAGCACGAGCAGCGTCTCTCGGAGCAGCCTCAAGTCTCGTAGCCATGTCTGCACCCTCTGCCTCTTCTACCTGTTCCGTGCCGCGTCCCATATCGATGCTTCCATCAGCCTCATCACCTTTGCCGGCCTGGACTCCTGCCAGCCGTTCTTCGGGTTGCTTGCAAATGACTGACCTGCCCCGAGCCGCACCATGTTGTCGGTGATCCGCCCTATATCAATTGTTCCGCTGACCTTCTGCCACGACCCTCCGAAGAGCCTGTCTAGCAGCTTCTGCGCCTCTGTCACTTGACCACAGAGCGTGCAGGTGAATTCTTCGACGCTAAGCTGATCGCCCATGTGGAATAGCGGCTTTCCGTCGTCGGCCAATCGTATCGACGGCTGCCCACCCATCTTCTGGCGGTTACCATTTCCGTATGCCATCCACCCGATGATCGTGCTTATGACGGTGTGAATGCCGACACACATCCAAGCGGCATGCTGTTTCTGAAATATAAGCACCGCCTCGACTCCGACCTCATCCTGATCCCGCGGCTGGGCCTTGAATACAGACTCCAGAAAGAACAGCCGAGCCCACCACAGTACGGCAGCCAGCATACCCGTATATAAGTGCGGCTCTGTGTAGCCCAGCGGTCTTTATCTGATACCAAGTGCTGCACAGAAGCATAATAGCGGGTTTGTGTATATGTTTCCACCGACGTGCATCTTGATCGACGAAACGATAAATCTGAATACAGCTTGATCAAGTGTACTGTGCTGCAGACTAGTTATACCCTCATCACCTATCTCGTCCTCGCCTTCGTTATCATCGTCGTCATCGTCATCGTCCTCACTATCAGCATCTCTATCCCTGCCACTGCAGAACTCGCTATCGTGACTGCTAGGAAATGCATATCCTTCGAGCTCTTGATCGATATCGTGCAGCAAGCTCCACTCCTCATCCGTAAACCGAACAGCCCAACGTTAAAGCGCTTCCTCACGCCCGATGCGGTACAATCTCCAGCAGCAGCTCAAGTAGCAGTGACCGACGGACCGATACTTGCTCATCGATGCCTCCTTGCCTTTGCGGCCAAACGGCATGCCGCTCGGGCCTGTCGCCGTGATACTAGCAAGCCACTGGAGCGTTTCTGTCGGTACGCTGTCAAGTCGCCAGCAGCAGCGGTCTACCTCGCGGTTGAAGCTCTGCCCAAGCCGACCCAGCAATGTCCGTTCACGGATTATTTGCTCGTCTTCCTGCCGGGCCCTCCCGCCTGTCGCCGTCCTCGCCCGTGCCCATTCGGCTACATTATGAATACTGAGCAAGTCCTGTGAGCCAAAGTGCCGTACCCAACCTAACCTCTTTATCTACGGCAAATCGCGGTCTATATCCTCTTCCAAATCTCCCTTCCGGAGTCGCATAGCGTCCTCTTCCTTCAGCCGGGCCTGACTATCGGCAATTATCTTATCTATAGCGTTCTGTCTCGCGGCGCCGTCTCTTGCACCAGACTTCTCCCCAGTTGTTATGGTCGCGCATGCGCAATGCGACATGATAGATCCCTTGGTCCCATACGAGATATCGCTGATGACATCTTAGAGCACGTAGACATGCTTCGATGACTGGTTATATTATCTTGTGGCTACCAAGGGGGCCGCAGAAAAATGTACTGGTAGTCCCATGCCGAAGCACGGCAAGAGATGCGAGGCTCTACCCTTTAGCGCTACACCTGGAGTTGAAACTCTAGATGTTACGGGCTTGGAGGGCTAGCGAGAGGGATACCATACATGGGTGAGTACTTTACTTGTATTGCGATAAGCTATAATCGTCCGTCAGAGTAGTTATTGATGTTCGTCGCACAATAGTGCGGTGAATTCTTTCAACGCCAACGGCAAGACGAACGGTGGTGAGCCGCTAGGTTCAACCTCAACGGCTGATGGTTTGAATTCTATCCAGGAATTAGGTGTAACTGCACCAGGTGTCATTAATATTCCTGTTTGCAGTGTCACAGACGCGCGACAGAACTGGCTGCACTCAAAAGACGGAATAAGAGGGAGCGCAAAATTTCCCTGTGACTAATTAATTATCTCGACTTCGCGTGAAGCGGGATATCTGTAACTCTGCAGTCAACTAACTTCATCTGAACTCGCACATGCACTGGGTAAGGTTGGCGACCGGGATCACATAGGGCGAGGAGGCAGCGATACTTACAACTGAATTCCAAATAAACTGCCAAATAAATTCATGGAATAATACCCAACCCCCTTTCCATTCACTGTTCAGTACACATTTGTGACTTAAAGCGGGTCAAGTCGTCATTCATAAACGTACTCATTAGCAAATTCAAGTAGCTAGATGTGCAAAGACGCTACTGTACGAAGGATCGTCCCAATCCCGCCGCGTTTTATACTTTTCATTTATGCCGACCCTAGTGACCTTACTGTACTAATTACTACTGGCAATGATTCCCAATACTAGCTTTATACCTTGTGAACCTCTTCAGTCAGGACAACATAAGCGCGTAACCATAAGAGGTTATCCATTAAAGGATCGTCAACTTCGACTTTTGCTTCATAAGAATCATAAACCGCGTTGCCGAACGCCGGCAACTGCCTGATAGTCGTGGCTTCGATCGGAAGGACATAACTTGACCACTTTTCCTGTTGGGCCTGAGCAGATATTTGAAAGGAGTGATTATCTGCATGCGCGTGAATCTTCTGCGCCTGAGAGGTCACTGGCTGCTGGGGCTGGCTTATAAGGTTCTGTATATGTTGCTGATATTGGATCATGGACTGTCGGGAGTCCACCTGCGCGTACTCCGGCTCCTTCCCGAGCAGATATTTGCAGAGGCATGCCTGAACCTCGGGCCTAGAAGCCGGCGTTGTAGAAAAGGTACTGGGGCTAGTTTGAATCGGGGCTGCGATGGCTACCGTTGAATACGGTAACTCTATAGCAGGCCTTTCTACTTGTTGAGGAAGCTGGTGATGAGGTCGTGCAGTATTCGCCATCGTTAGAGTCCCTGGATTACTCCGCTCAGTAATATGGTGTATTTGTCCTGACGTAGTCATGGTTCGACGCGGTGTTGGAGCACCGACGTAATAGCCTGGTATGGGTTGGCCGTGAGACTCTCGAGGCACATTTGAAGGAATGCCGTGTCGATTGGCGTATTGCTGTGACATAAGCTGGCCATGGACTGGTTGATCAAAGTCGGCGTACGAAGTCGGGCGATGTATCGGGCCGCGCGGAATCGCTTGGTCCATAGAAATGACATCACGAGGCGACCAGGTCATTGCAGAGTGCTGGGGGGTCAAAGGAGGCTCGTCGTCTTCTGAATCTGAGGAGCAATCGTATAGGATGTCATTGGGATTCATTCCGTACTGGTGCGATCGCCGTTGGTGCTCAACCATCGTAGCTTTTCTGCAGAAGCTAAATCATGTGTTAGTACTAGGGTATACCGAGACATTACTCATCTTACATTTTAGAACAACCATCATAGGTACACTTGTACGGACGTTTGCCCATATGGACACGTCGGTGACGGGCGAGACTTGAGGACTTTGAAACTTGATTAGCGTTCTATAGGCTTATAGACATCAGTCAAGATGTACATCAGAAAAACGCTTGCCGCAATTGTCATGTTGGCATTGGTGCGGCTTTTCTCCAGTATGTGTTCGAATATGAACGGTCAAGGCACTTTTCTGGATGAAGTTTTTACCGCATCCCGAGATCGAGCATGCGTAAGGCCGCTCATTCGTGTGGATTCGAAAATGTCTTTGTAGATCACTCTTACGTTTGAAGCTCTATGTCAACTATTAGATCGCGACTAGAACTCTCAAGGTAAAGACGATGTACCTTTGTGCAGGATTGCCAATCACATTGGAATGGACGAGCGGTAGGCTTGTTCTCAACTAACTCCATGGCTTCTATACTGACTTCTGGGTGGCCTCAACTGGATACTGAAAGGCAATATTGCTATGTTGCTGGTTATGATTTAATCAAGTAACGCCAAACGCCACCACCATCTGTTCATAGGATACCAATAAGGAACTGGATGCTGAGTAATTTGAGGGTTTAGAAGAGAATATTAGATTGAGGAGCCACCAGTATATTGTTGGCTCAAGACGGTAAAACGAAGTCAGCGATTCGACAAGTCTCAAGATAAGGGGCGGCAGTCGATTTGGCAGATACAGCTCGAATTCTTGAACCACAAGGGTAAATATTGAGCCTTAAGCTAAAAATTATGCGTTATGCTGATCGCATATGTAAAACCTTTAGTGTGTCGTGTTTTCAGGACTATGCTCAATAGCGCTACCAGATATGCGAGTGGCAGCTACAGGGTAGCGAATTGCGACGGCCAAGTTCTAATGACCCTGGAGTGCGGTCGTATATGAATCGGTGTAAACCATCGAAAAGGGGTCGATATCAATCAAATAGTTCAATGACATGACTGCTGGCAAATATTGAGCTTAAACTGACGCTTTGCCAGCTCTCGCCCTCTTAGCATTAGCGCTCGGACTTGTGCCGACCCTGACATATCATATCACACGTCGTTCCGTCTCATTAACCTGCCGTGTTGGTTACAGTATGGCTATTACGTACGTCACGCTTAGAACAAAAGCTTAAACAGGGAGCGGAATCGGGCACCGGCACCGGCATCCAGAATAGCCTTATGCAAATGCTTAGGATACAGACGAGGCACACTGAGCTGACCTGATACAGTATCAAACATGAACCGTGCTTAGGGGGAAAGAGAGCACCGAACTCGAGATCTGCGATTTTGGTGGATTTTTCGAAAGCGAGTTCGCCGAATTCCCCCAAACCGTTGATACGGGAGCCCAGCGAGCTGTGTGGCTAGTGATCATTTGCAGACATATATTGGAGTCCATGATGGACCATGACGTGGAGCGTATGTATGTTTCGCCGTAACAGGATAGAGCACGAAGCCACACCGGAGCCTCGTCTCTCCAGGACCCTGATCTGTCCCCACTTGATTGTCGCCATCCCGCGTCTTGCAATTATATTGAGATTGGTAGGTTTATTATCATGGACCTTGGATGTTATGCTTTAGAACACCATAGGTCGCAACCCAAGGAGAGCATCCAAGATTACCATTGGTGTGCTAGCCCTCATTTGATAATGTCCTAAACCTCTGCCAACTGATGTAGTGACAAATTTGCAATTGCATGTCGGCTGTACCCGCATATGAGACAAACCATTTTGTGGATAGGCTGGCTTGCAGAGCTTTGCAGGAAATGGCCATTAGCAGATAAGGATTGTTACAGGATGCTCATTCAATGATTGAGTCCTCTATTTTGTGGCGTACAGCACTCCGTGATAACAGGTTTACCACTTAAAGAGTGGCTTCTTATGTATACGGGAGTCATATAGTCATGGGCGACAATGGATGTAACAGAGGATGCTTCAGCTATAGATGTACACCCTGAACTCAGAGAAAAGCATGGAAATGTTACTGTTATCCGATCAACTCCTACAAAGCCGACTGACAGCCTTGTGAGGAGACCGTAAACCATTTAGCAAGGATCAACTTGTGTAACAGACATGCAATCAGATCAACCTACAAATCGGGAATAGCTCAGTCCCACTGGCAAGGTGCCTAGTCTTGGCAGCTACTTGTAATGGATGCATGCATGGCCATAAAAGATATCATTATTCAGTCTTACGACATAAGTGAATCTCGAGGGAACTACGGCCGGGGAAATCTGTATTTCAGTGTTTTAAACATCATCCCGTTTTGCAGGCTGTCAAAGCGCAAGAATGGTTGCATCGTGTGCCGTTGAATTACGGAGTTATTACGGAGTTATACACACGAAGGCTAGATGTGTGAATGAAGCAACAACGCTAGTACTTATAGGGATTAGCGGAAATTGGCTTAGGGACACGAGCCAGGGTCTTATCAGACATTACGTGTATTCGGTTCATTGATGTGAATTGTGTATTCATGTTGTATTCTGTTGAATTCTGCCCCTTTGGAGGTTTTACCATTTCGGTTGTAATCTTAAAATATCCCTGCTTGCACGTGAGACCCCAGCACCTGTTCAACAGGTCTCCGTGTTGGAGCCACGTTAACTAATTGGTTTACATATTAAGTATATTAATACTTATATTTTTATTATTTACTACCCCCTTTCATCTATGAAGAGATCTCTGTATTTCGTGACTAATTCTTCGAAGATTCATCTGGATGCATTGTAAAGCAACCGTGTGACCAGAGCGAGAGCTAGTGTTTATCGTCCCTCATTACAGCTTTTACCTGACGCGTGGCACATCATTCAGCGCCGTACCAGAAAACCAGTCTTACAGAGTCTCGACCTACCTAGCGACGGATATCCCCCCACATGACATGTTGCTGGTATGACGTACTGCCATCTTGAGCCAATGACAACGACCATTGCAAAGCCACTGTCTCATTTGGTCCGTCACCGCCATACGCGGCAGCCGATATGAGATACATTCAAGCCGCATGTAGCTAGTCTGGCGGTAAGAGGCCGTGGGACACGTAATGGTCCATTTGCCAATCTTTTTAATTCCGGCACCCTGTGCCTTGGTAGAGTCCATGCTCTCGACGCTTAGTTGATGCCAAGCTTTTATGCCAAGACGGGTTCTAAATGCCTCCTGCAAGGTGCAAGAGGAAAGTACACAGCCGTTTTTGGCTTCATTTCATAGATTCTCTACTAACAACTCGAAAGCATAGACCAATAGAAATATACTCTGTACTCTGTCCATATCTCTATCTGGCTCGTATCGAGCGCTTATGTGACAGACTACCCAGTAATTATTTGCTGTCGGCATCAGACTGTCGCCATCTGCGCCATACTGGTTTTGGATTAATACTAATAGCTACGATTATCCACCGCTAAAAACGCACTAATTCCTAAGTCTCCATGCACGTCTGTGTTTTAAGTGGTAACCCTGATCAAGACTGGCTTCGGATCTTTTGAAAGACTTGCAGCAGTTCCTGTCGAGCTCCCTATTCCTCTTAAGAATTGTTATGTGACCACCTGCCTCGATACTCCCTCAATTCACCACCCCATTGTCTTTCAGGGTTTCGTATCAACCCAAACACTAGAATATTAAACGTCTGGTGCATTTACCGCGGTGGCTGCATACTTCAGAGAGAACACGATGAATTGTTAATACGCAGTTCCGGAACTAGTACATAGACAGGAGAGATGTGTACATTTGGCGCCATTTCACGGTTGCTAGCGTCTCTCAGCACCTGGGTACTTGGTCTACTCTAAAAACGGTTAACAACGGGGTGGCTACAGAGATGAAAGCTAAAACATGTCATTGAGGCTAAGCTTGGTAGCTACCCCGCCTCAATTGGAGTGACCAACCCTCAGTTAGCTCAGTCAAAGTCAATTTTGGAAACCTGGTAATGTTTCTTCCAATCAGATGATGCGACTGACGTGCACAAGACTCACCGACGGATGCTATTGCCGCTCAGCATTTCAACGCTTGCCCAAGTCGACGGTCATCATTACACTCAAGACATACTAATTATATATCATTTCTAACTTATTGCGATTGCCAACCTGTCTCGCAAGCAATATCCCGATAATGCGGGCTGACTCGATTGTCTTCCTTGGTGTATAATTGGGATAATTGTTGCTAAACAAGTCATTTGCAAAAGATAACGTGTTTGATAAGCGAGCGACGCACAGGTATGGTAAAGACTGCCAGCCATTGCTAACTTCTCCCGATTGCCGGAGTAGGAGCTGGCTGCTTCAGTCCAGCTTACTTCAGCCCACGCAGTAAGTTATCAGAGGCCCACTCAACAACATGCCCCTTTCGAGATGCTGGCTGTCAATGAACACAAATAATTTTTCGAGCATTTGCAGCACCCATATTTCGCCAAAGCTGTCTCGATCGTCCCCAGGGTAGACGGTAGAGTTATAAGCCTAAACCCTTGATCGTCGTTCAGCCATCCTCCGTCAGTGCGTCCGTGCTGTGTCTGTAATAGGCAGTGATGCACTAAATCAGGCCATGGTTGCATTAACCGACCCCGTAGGTTGGCCTGGTCCCCATTGATCGGCAAGGTGACACAGAACACGATCCAATGACCAGCTAGTATTACGAAACCTTTGAGTTTGCATGGGGTAGTCAAAAGGTGGTGGCGCAAATGCGGTACCACTTTGTACCACTTCTGGATTAGTGGATATGTCATATCTCTTGTAGGGGCATGTTGAGAAGGAGACATCCGGATACATCATCGTGCGAATTATCATGCGAACATTTCCAACGCCATTATTTTCAGCGCAGTCTGAGTTGAGAGAGGTGTTTAGGGCGTTCCAATACTATCGCGGACTCAAGTGCCGCGGCGACCCCTTTCAAGCTCAAGATATATCCCGTCCCTTCCCCCGGTGCCAACTGTCTTCGCGCCGTATCCGACCGTTCCTGGGGATCTCCCGAGCTACAGAGACCATACAGACTGACACCATTGTCCCTCTCCTCCAGCATGTTAATCAAGCCCGAGTGTTCTACCGCACCGGCATGCAACTCGGGCCGTCACAAACCATCGGAAGCCGCCCCCAGGCGCACAATCGAGAAGCGCCACGACACGCAGTTCAATGATACATTTACCGAACTACGGGATAGTATCTCTAGTATGAGAGTTGTAATGGCAAAGGAAGGAGAGGAGAGCGCAATGAAGGATCCGCAAGAAGGAACGCCTAAGCTGATAGGAGATGAGGTTAGTCAGCATCCAATTCGTGACATAATAATTCTTACCTATAATAGGAGGCCGTTATATGTATGGCGAGAGAGTATATTGCGCTCCTCGAGGAGAGGAACAGATCTCTCGTAGAAGAGCACACAGTCCTGCAGTCGACAATTGCTGCGTTTGAGATGTTATTTCCACGTTACTAATCTTCCAATGCATGTTTTGCGCATCGACATGGTCAGGTTTAACATGGATGTCGCGGCGGGTGATGAGGGACTTCTAGGGCCGCCAGGCTATTGGGGGCAGCCGAGGCAAGAGGGAGGGGAGACTGTTAATGTGTTTTGGATACTTAGCCCTGGAGCGACAGGCGCACTGATCGAATTCATTGTATGTTGATCTTGGACAATTGTTGCTCTCCCTAGCTGTCTTGACAAAGTGCGGAAACATCCCTCCTGTGACTAGAGTGGGAGTGTTCTTTGTGGCATTGGTGACAAGCAGGAACTTGTTGGGAGGATAATAGTGATCCGAGAATATAGAACTTCTCACAGACCCTGCTGTGCCAGCTAAAAACCCCGCAACGGCAAGCTGATCAAGTCAGGGGAAGCTAGTTTCGAGTCGGGTTCCAGCTGTTGATGTTGCGTGTCGGTCTCGGGAGAACGACGAAAACTTCCCCAAGAAAAAGCTCAGTGCTTCTCGTGGTTGTCCGAAGCTGTGGTCTGATGAATGCTAGTTAAGTCCTCCAGATATCTCTGCAGCACCTTTTCGTTGCTGTCTAGCTTCTCGTATCCCTTCTCAACTGCCTCAACGGGGTTAAAGATGAGGAGTAGCGAGTCCCGCAAAGTTGTCGCATGCCTATATCCACAGCAACAAACGTTAGTGAGCAGTTCCCGCGAGGGAGGTCCTCAGGCACCTCTTAACGTGCATAGGGAGATTCAATAGGCTTCACTAACCGGTGCAGTTCAGTATGTATTTCACGCTTCAACGCTTCAACTTCCTCGCTCGTCATCCGCGGGCTCATGGCCTAGGCGTCATCCGGTTCAATTGCTGTCTCGGGAGGCTCCCTGGTATCCTTGCCAGGAGCGAGGATGGACGAAGGCGGCTGGCGCCCTGACAATTCAACCAGCCCGGTCATGGCTGGATGTGGATAATGGGAACCGGTAAATATATAGGACAGCAGGAAACTATTATGGGAAGGTAAACCATATGAGAATTGCGACTGAAATGGAGCCGTCAAATATGGGTTTGTGAACCCAGGGGGTGCAGGGATCGTCGATCTTGTTCTGGCTTTACCCAGTCGGTCACCAGCATGGCTTTGCTTGCGGTGATCGCGAATCAAGACGATGGGACCAAAAGATGTGCCGGCTTGGATGTTCCGAGAGGTTGCAGCATGAAGAGGAGAATAAGCATACCACAGGTGATGCCAACAATGACGGGTCTGCTCAGATCAGCCCTCACAACATGGATGCCTTGGACCACACTGAGGACAGATTCGGCTGGTGCTAAGACGCTGCCAGCCATCGTCATTGAAATACACAATATGCCGACAATCTTGAGTATTACCTTTGCAATGCCGCTTTCTTCGAGAAAGTCTGGAGTTCGTCTTCCCGCCGGGGACAATTAGCCAATAGTTCCAGAATCCAGACGAAAAGTGGCCCTTTCGAGTTGGGGTTGCTGTGGATTAATTTATCACACTGGGCGAGTAAGGAGTAGAGAGCAAATGTTCCTAGCTATCATCAGGGAATAGAGGTGCTAAAGGCCCAAGTTGACCATCTTCGACAGAAGAAAAAGAAGAAAGTAAAGCTAGGAAATAGCGAGCGTTTTGCTAACATCGTGGCGATCAGGAATACACATGTGCAAGTCAGGAAGCTTGGAAAGAAATAGACACATGGCGTGGAAATCAGTAAAACACGATTTGAAGACCTATGTGACGAATTTCAGCTAATAATAGATTATAAGAGTGAAATTGAAGGTGTTGATTGATCGCGAAATCGGCGGATTCGGTATTTTCATGGTGTTGAGACGATGGTCACTAAGGGGGAGGGGAGGGGGCTTACAACCCTGTTCCCGCAAAGAGGGAAAAGTCAGGTCTAACACTAACTGGGCCCACCACTAACACTCCTTTCTTAGGACAAATTAGACGGGCGAATCCGTTCCACAACAGGACCATCGCGGTTAGCAACGTTAATACTTTCTAAATAGCGGCTTAAAATCCCACTTTGGATGCCGAAATTTCCGTTGCTTCGGTGGTTTGTATAGAGTAAGCAAAGAAAGTATTAGAAAAGCAAGATGCAGCAGCCGTATTGAGCAAGATCACACCAGACTAATATTTATGCAAGCGCAGCTCAACGAAGTGTACCAGTGGTCTAGTACTCTTTTCTCTATCTTGGACAAGAAAATCCAAGGCAGATAAGCTTTTTGCATACTTTAAGTAATGGGGACACCGTGAGGCATGTAAATTCTTTCTAGAATGCATGCGGCACACCTATGTCACAATATTGCCGGTCGTCAAGCATGTCTGTCGTGTGTCCTCTAGGACCTGAAAAACTGTGATTCCAAGCTAGTGATAAATATCAATCCGCACTATCGAGCTCATGGAGGTATCTGAGTCATGCTAGCTACGCTAGACCATACCACTTTGTTCCGGAAGGCCGTCTTCCGGCCTAATAAGTTGTCGGTTGTGAGCGACTTGCAACGACAGGGTGGTAAAATTTGTGTCTTAACAAGGTCTCTGTCACTCCTTGGTAAGCACAGACATTGCACGGCTTCCAATCTGTTACCCCTTCCCCATATATATCGTATGCTCAGCTAAAGATCTGGGAGGGTTGCTCCTTCACAAACTGCGGTACTCCGCGTTACACTATCAGACAGTAATAAGCTTTTGAGGGCCTGTGTACCTGCTTGGTAGGATGGAAATTTCCACTTCAATCGTGAGCGCTAGTATATTACAAGCTAACAAGAGGCTTTCCTAATTTACTTAACAGGCAATACAAGCAGTCGCACGTTTCTCAGCGTTGCTAGTAACTATCCTATGTGGATGGGTTCGATTCTGCCTAGAGCATCACGCTCTTACGACTCCTGACTGTCTAGTATGGTGCGGATGGATGTTCACTCTAGGGCGGCTTACTTGCTCAATTAAAGTTTTAAACCTTGGAATAGATTATCCTGTTGATTCGGTAACAGGTGCGACAGACTCCGCTGAGCATTTAGAGGTACATGCCGTAGGGGTGGTTGTTCATATTAACTCATAAACAGACCCTCAAACTATGAACCATATGGCTAATGACTAACATATATCAGACCGTCTTCATAGCGTGCTATTTCTACGATATAGGACTCTATTGGCCTAAGGCTTCAATTATTATCTTCTATTGGTGGCTGATCCCGCGAAGGTTCAGGCGTTTGAAGCTAGCACTATATCTTACCACGGGATTTGTGGCGATGGCTTTCCTTGCAACAGTATTGACCGATACTTGCTCACACGCCCTATATCAAACAATTGGTGAGGAACCCACTTGCATGGCGGCAGCACATCTATAGGCTAACAGTTCGACCTCTTGAGGTCGCTCGAGAACCAGCTGGATTCTATATGGAATTCCATTACCGACTTTATCGTCAACTGGGCGTTGAATATCATTACTGATTTGTCACGTATGTTGATTGTGATTGAGTTGTTGCACGGCTCCGACTAACTTATTATCTGACGATTAGTCTTCTGCCTCCCCTTTTTTGTGCTTAACTCTTTGAAACTTCACGGAATCTTCTCCCTAGGAATGATAACGATGCTAATCAGCACTGCCCGCTTTGTTGCATATATCGTAACAGATTATCAACTGGACGCTCCTTCTGGCGGTACGTCTCTAATCACCTTTTACTATTCGTTTGTTGAATGAAAGCGACTTAGTCTAACTTTCATACACTAACCATCCTTACAGATGCATGGTGCACTATCGAAATGAGCACTGCAGTAATCGTTGTCTCTCTCCCTGGTCTTAAAAGTCTTCTCGTACAATCTAGGTCCCCCGGAAATACCACAGACCGCAGCACCAACGGCTACATTCAAACGTCCTCACGTCAACCATCTGGCAATAGGCCCTTCGCATCATGGGTCCGTATTGAAGAGGCCACATTGGACGATGAACTAGCACTGATCTCTTATGGCCAGAATTTGAGTCTAGCTATAACTATTTAGCAGCAATATGTGAACCCGGGCTAAAGAGCTGGAGCCCAGTTTCTTGCATATGGTCTGACCGCTTAGTTACGTGCTAGAAGTCCATAGAGAACCAATCGCGTGGCAGATGTTCGGTCTTCTTGAGGAAGCGAAGGTGCCGGTAGAGAAACTGAAATCGGTTATATGGCATGAACTTAATAAAAGGATGCAAACGGCGTGTTTGGCCAAGCTGGGGGTGTTCCAATAGTAATCGATGACTGTTTCAGTGCGGACGCTTATATAAATTAAGATTCCCAGGAAGAGATAGACATCTCTTATAGTAGTCAACTCCCAGGGCTGAATCCGTGAAGCGGCTGTAGATCATGGTTCTAGTTACGAATAACACCGACTTCTTTTAAACTTATGACCTGGCTATTGGTATTTTGGGCCCATTCCTCGACTAAGTATATACCACCCAGGACCACCTAATGGATAACCCCACCTAATGGATACCTGTGTAACACATGTTTCTAAGACCGTGTTCTTCCCGGCCTTTTATGCCGCGCATCAAGCTACTATGACCGAAAAGAATTATTTTTAAGTCAGCCTTTAGAGAAGCCGGGCTTGTTCCTTTAGATCCAGAAAGTGTGGTCTCAAAGCTTGATGTGCAGCTACGGACTCCAACGCCTCCCGAGGAGGTTACTGAACCCTCTACCCCTTGGGTTTCAAAGACCCCAAAGACAGTACTTGAGACTGAATCTCAGTCTGAATACTTAAATAGACGAATCAGAAGACATCAAAGTAGCTCCCCAGAGTCAATTCTTGGAGCTCTTAAGTCGCTTTCAAAGGGTACTAGAGCAGTCATGCATGAGGTTACCTTAATAAGGAATGAGGTCCGAAACCTTCGACAAGCAAATGAGATACTAAGCCGGCGCCGAAGGGCAAAAAGGACCAGACTACAGAAAGGAGGTATAATGGTAGTCCAGGAAGCATCGCAAGTAATTGATCAGATGGATGTAGATACACAGGTAGTGGCCGAATCATCAAGAAGTGGTGGTCAAGGAAGGTCGGCGCGACCGGGGGTTCGGCGTATGCGGCAATGGCGGGCATAATGCAAGAACATGCCAGGTAGTAACTGCGACGTCTGGGAAAGAGTATAGCGAGTAGTTTTAATTAATCAGATAGTTTGTGGTATTTTTATTATGATTCCTAAGTGCGAGGCCACAAAAAGTGTCACGCTCGCTTATCATACACGTTAGCGTCGATTTGTTATTCTTGTTCTCTCGGCCATCAGAATCCTCTCGCTTTTCTCCGCTTTAGGAGGCTTTTGCCAATGCTCTTATGACGCTGTCACAGTGACATTGTATCACAAGCCTCTGATCGTAGTCTCTAATCGTGGTCTCGGAACATGTTCTCCTCAGCCCTTACAAATGCCACCCATGACTCACAAAGGGTTTTCGATTGACATAATTCACATGTGCCATTGCCGTTACACATGTTGAAGAGAAAAACTATCTTTCACTCTTTCTTCAGCCTTTAGAATTGCGTAGCCATTGGATCGGAATGCGGGGAATAGGGTGACGCAGTTTGCAGAAGTGTTAAACTAGATGGGCAACTACACGCTATGATGCTTGGTTGGCGGGGAAGGACAATCCTGCATCCAGCCAAACCCAGAAAGACTACAAATCGTCAGGCATGTGAAACAGTTCCCTCTTCAGCCTGTCCCCACTTCGCGTATATTGCAGGATTTCTTATTCTTGTCTCTGAAAACAGGACTAAGCCTAAATGCGTAACATGAAATACAACGCTCCAAATACGTGTTTTTTCTTTTTCGTTTTTCTTACCCAGACAAAGACGACAGATGCACTCTTTAATTTGATTCCTCAAGGAAAATACTGCGTCCCCTGTTCAACCAACCACAAGACCCTGCCTTGCGTTTTGGACAATAATGGTGTCAAAGCCATGATGCGCCCGAGAACATGGTTGTATAGCCCTGTGTTAGACTATATAACTCCATTAACCCTCCTTGGGAATTATCGTTGCCACCAATGCCATCACTCGATGGGATTGTGGTGTCCGTGTCGTTGGAAGAAGACGTATTTATCATCAGGACATCCACTGATTTGTGTGCTTCACTCCTAATATATTGGTGAATGAGAGCGCAGTCGCAGTCGCTATGTCTCAAAATCTCTGACTTGAGGTGATAAATTTGCTCAATGAGGTCGTTATAGCAAGAAGAGAGTTGCTGATGCCGACCTTCCAATACTTCCACCTCAGAGGCCAAAGCGTTTTCTTGATCCTGCTTGCGAGCACGACACTTGGCAGCAGCGTGTCGGTTTCGTTCCAAAGCGTTCAGATACTGTCTATTCTTAGCATTATTCAACTGCGTTCTCCTTTCTCGTGGACTCTTTGTGTCGCAAAGCGGCTGTCTTTGTCTGGGCTTTCTCCCACGTGCTTCCTTCTTGTACGGCTCCAGCGCCGAGTGAGCGCGGTTTAGATCTGACGCTTTCAAGGAATCTAGACTTCCTTGACTGTCGTGGTTTTCGCTAAAGTTTGGTGTAATGTTCTCGGCCGTGGGAGTCTCTTGTATGGGATAAATGAATTCAGAAGACTGCTGGACTGTGTATGATGCGAATGATGGTTGCACACTACCAAAGCCAGTTTTGTCCAAGAGGCTGTTAGGAATTTTAGTATTACTGGGCTGTTGGAAGTCTGGCGTTGAGGGATGTGAGCCTTGACAGCCCGTGGAGTTCGTGGTGAGAGATCCAGAAGAGGAAGCAACCCAATACCATGGAAGTAGGCCATCTGGTATATCTTGCCATGCAAGGTCAAAAGAAGATTGCTCCACTCCAAGCTCATTATACCCAAAGAAAGAAGACGTCCTAAAGTAGCCAGCGTCTTCTGTGGCATCTGTGAAGGCCATGGCTCATGTATTATGGGCTTTGTTGTTCCGCCACTTGGAGCTCTCTGGTGATCTTCTCTGGGCGAGGAGGTGTGTAGGAGACGGTTCAATGATCCGGATTTGGATTGTTATCGGCTCAGCCACTCGCTGGATTCGTGGTAATCGGTTCTGTGGGCTTGGGTGACTGGCTTGGCTAAAACCCAGCGTTCTACATGAAAATTCAAGATTATCAAGCGACTGGGCGAGGGGATCAGATTATAATAACGAAAGCTACCCTTGGCAGATTATACACCAACTTCTTAGAGACAGGGATCAGCTAAACTCCAATTCGCTTTCATGGGTATTTAATTTTTCTGTTTCAAACTAATGAAAGCCCAAAAGATCCGGGAAGCCGTTTCTGCTCTCTGCTAAAGGTGCTTATCTTCACTGCCATTTACTGAGTGAAGACCTCGGCTACGCTGCGCCGTGCCCAAAATGGTAACTCTTTGAGTGCCACAGCCCTTCAGGAGCGTCACAACAGGGATATATAACCAATCAAAGTAAGTAAATCAGCCGCTACAGGCCAACTTGTGCTCAAGCCGCTATAGAGGGTTGTCAGCCAATTGAAATTGCTGAATTAGATGGCTATACCGCAAAAGAGGTAGCCCAGTTACAGGAGAAGACAGTCCTTTCAACTGCGCTTGCGGCGAAGCTTTTGTCACCTTCTTGTACGTGGGGTCAAGTGGGTCGAGATACCTACTGAAGGGCTGTGGCACTCAAAGAGATAGCAGGTCAAGACTGTGTTCTGGATCCTGGACCCTGGGGCCTAGGCATCAGTGACATCATACTTCAAACTTGACAACAGTTATTCTTATCGAGTCTCACAACTTCGGCATTTCAATATCGTCTGTTTGGCATCGGCCTCCGTTGATTTTATTCACAGTTGATGAAGGAAAAGCTCATCGAATAAACATATCAGCTCATTCATACGAGAACCAACAAACTCATTACGTGTGATTTGATGCTCGATGGTTATAGTGACATTACAGTTGGAGCGTTGACCTGGTCCAAGAACACAGCATGATGATCTAACGCAGTATATCGACATCGGGGACCGAGGTTCCATCTCCGATATTGTTAATTAAGGGTAGATTAGAGAAATCAGCATCTACAAATATAGTGCACGGACCGTATCTGGGGTGTGATGTGATGTATTGTGAAACTGCCTAGCTCTTTTCGAACAAGAACATAAGCTATCAGCAAGGATCAATAAATAATGTGCGAATAAGTGCAAGGCTACTGTGTAATTAACATGCCCCGCTCTGATTGTGATTGTTTGTGATTGTGATAGTGGCTGGAAGTTTGTGGGATAGAAACAGGGGTTTGAAACAGCTGAAATGCACTTGAGATTATCCTGGTTGAGGTTGGCAAGGAGGTTGTTTGATGTATTTGTTTAGTCAGTGCCGTAAATCTTGATGCTGGAGTGGAAGCGGCAGTTGTGTGGACCACGTACAGGGATGTATACAGTGGAAATGATGAGGTTTGGTGATGTTGGTAGAGAGAATCCAACTTGTCCGGCACTCAGTCTTAATTTATAGGATTTTTTTACTTCACTAGTTTCATAATATCTCTTTTCTTATAAATTATTGTTATCACTATAAGTTTATTAAATATAAGTAGCTCAAGTTAAATATTAATTATAATGTATTTAACTTTAGGGTTAAGTCTTAGGTAGGCAATTGATAGGGACGCATCAAGAATTGATAGGGGCGCATCGTCCTTAGGGACGCTCCAGCTTTTATAACATCCGATTGGCCCAACTTTTCAAGACCCATAAATACTTCAGCATAAAGGCGGTGAAGCCAGCTCTCCTAACAACCGTAGCTCTTGTTGTTGAATTGCGCAGAGATGCTGGGTGTGCTTGGTAAAATTAAGTTGAATATTCTTATTAACATGGTGAGATCTCTAGGGGTTTATATCCTATGTGATTCCATCTAGGACTTTGAAGTATAATCCTGAAGTCAGGCGGAGGCTTCCAATTATCCCAACAGTACTTCCCAGCCTAGAAGCAACTACCGGTATACCGTTGATATTCTCTAAGAATGGATTGCGCAAATGTGTTAGTACGATAAGTATGATTTACTCTACAGAATTAGAATCATTCCGCTTAGAGCAACTATCTACTTTTTCTCTTACCGTGATTGAAGGAAGAACCTCTTCGTCGCTGTTCCGCAGCTAGGACTGGGGCTTCGAGCGTGACGTCTTGAATCGCTCTCTGAGCTAGAAGGTGACTCCGATTGCAGCATGACGAGTGATATTATGATTGATGGTTGAGAGACTGATGTTTGATCATCTGCTTATTTAGATTAAATAGAGCTAAGGTCGGGTACTTCGGGAGCGTTGGCAGAATCCTGCCTGCACTAACAAAAAAGTGACTGACGAATCAGAGGCTGCAAAGCTGGAGCGTCCCTAAGGACGATGCGCCCCTATCAATTCTTGATGCGTCCCTATCAATTGCCCTTAGGTAATATTGAGATAGAAATTGGGGCAATTCGATAAGGATTGGCGTTTATATCTCGCCACTGCGGAAGTTCCCGGGTGGGTATTGCTACAAGGGGGTCGGCACAGGGGTTGCAGAAATTAAGATCAGCCTCTAAGAGCCATGCCAGCCCCAACGGTAATTTAAAATCATGCCCCAGGCTTACGCTGTCGGTGCCGGCACCGGTCAGGCTGGCCGTCCCAACGGACTGGGTCAACTTTGGGCGGGAACTGGGGATCCAGGAACTTGAGCTAGGTGGAGGGCGTTGGAAGAAGGGGAATTGGACATGGTGGTGAGGATGGCATGAGGGACCAAGCAACAAACAGCACCGATCAAGCACGGTTCCGGAATTTGTGGAAGATATCGTAAGGCTCAAGTTTCCGCGTCCGGCGCCACGCTCTCTCTGCTCTAATCAATGCGAAGCAGCTTACGGGGCAAAGTCAGAGATGCAGCCGCTGCATTGACAAACCTGCAATTTTAGCTGAAGAGAGGAAATGCGAATAGCTAATGTCCCAACGCCATCGAGCGGATGTCATTGTGATGGCAAAATTCGCCAGGAATGATGGCATTTCCGAATAGCTAGCATGGTGGCCGTCATTGTTCTGTATCATCTGTGTGTAGGTCTTGGCACAAGGACGAATAATTCTGCAACGAGCCATGCTGGAAGCCGATCAGGCGGGCCCTTAGCTGCCGTATCTTCTCTTGTGGGGCTTGGCAATCAGGCAATTCTTGCGTTCAAGGCTGCCAAGTGCGTAGCCTGCGTCACTGACCCAGATTATCCTCTGTTGGAGCCACCGTCGTGGATGTCTCTTTCTGCATTGTATGGTATAGCACCCCAGCAAATGTTGCTGGGGTAGGAGTGACTAGAGTGTTGTACCGCGCTAAGGGAGAGAATGCATGCGTTTGGACGATTGTGTGGGGCAACAGAGACATTTATCCACCAGGTTCAAGGCTTTCCTCGGCTCTTGAATCATAATTAATGGATATCGCCCGCAGCTACAACGGGGGAATTGACATCGAAGGCGAGACAGCTCGTCTTCTCAGCTGCGCTATCGTTTTTAGCTGAGCTGTTGTCCTCGCTTTTCACCCGCTATGTGAGCAAAACCTGAATGGAGCGGATTCGGCTCTGGCAGTAACCCCTACTAGCTCAAGTCTAGCGCAAAACGGGAGGTTTGCGTTGCTATTTTAGTGCCGCCGAATATGGTGCTAGGGTGTAGGTGCCAAAACGCCACTACAGGATGAACCTTCCATCACACGCCCGGATCTCAAGGGCAAGAAGTATTCGACTCCCTCTAACACCAGTTCGCTTTCTAGCCCTATTAAGTAGCTCCAAGCGGCGCTACCACCTTCATAATCCGTGATGATAATAAAATTCAGTCAGTATGGCGAAAGAACATGGAGCAATCTCAACCTGACACTTTTGACCCAGACTGTGTGTATAAATAGCTGTATAAAAAGTTCTTTTTTAGGTCAGGCCCCTTCTTCGGACGCTAGAGGGGTCGAATACTTCTTACCTCCTACTGTAACAGCTGCGGGTAAACAATTTTGTACAGGAGAGTTGAATGGATCGGAGGATCCGTGGTTGCGGACGCAGTTCCTGGTGGGGATTCCCAGCCCGCAATCATTCAGGATGCCAGGGCCTGGCTTGATGGAGGGCACCCCCGGCTCGCAGCCATGTTCCACTATTATGCACACCTCACCCACATGCTTTTTGCCCCGTGGATAAGCGGCAACTTCCTTTGTTTCCTGATACAGCCATCCTGTATACAGAAGTCACTGATTCCTTGATGACGAGCCGGATGATGAGGAAAGGCCATGCAAAGTGCCCTGTTAGAGATCAAGCCCTTCGATCCTCCCACCCCATCCCCAGATCCTGCCTGAAGTGTATGGGCACTGGTGGAGCTTTCAACAGAGGCGCACGGCACTGGGATCGGTGGGTTTGGAGAGTCGGCGTGGCGTCACGACCCCTATGTAGATCAAGAGCGGGGAATCGCATGGTTCCTGGACCTCACCCGCCCGAATCCACGGATTTTCACTATTAGAGTTGTCACGGTTCTTGGGCCCCTCTTCCAGCACAGCCCGAGCTTCAGAGGCACCCTGTCACCGGGGATATTATTTCCGAGCTTGCTTGCCCGAAGCCCTGTTCCGGTGCTAGCATCATGAAACCCTCTGCTGGGCTTTCCACCTTGAGTGATGTTAGCCACTGCAGCATACGTTTCCCTTCGTAGCTGCAGATACATACTGAGACACCCGCATTCACCCGCTTCGTACTTATATTCATATCGAATGACGGCACGACGGTACGTCAACGGGGTCGCACTTCCTGCCGGAGTTCGTGGCATGATAGGTCCTGCTCTTTTCTTCCCCGAATCTTAAGACCCTCAAGCGATGTGTGGTGTGAAGCCGCCGGTGACAAGGCGAACGACTCGTAGCACCAAGTGGACGCGGCCCGGAGGAACACCTCGCTGTTAGGGAATCATTTCTTGCCATAGGCATCGTGGAGACCGAGACCAAATTAAGCTGGATAAATAGTCGAGACTGGGGTCTTGATGCTGCAATGTCAATGCTTTATCCCTTTAGTCGGCATAGCCCTGGAGAGCGGTCACAACAGGGGAGTCTAAGTAATTAAGATATGCTAACCAGGCTGTATACATCGAATGTGTACAGATAAGCCCTATGATCACTGATCTATCCCTTGAGTTGTGTTGAACCTCCCGGCCGTACCAGGCCCCACATGCCCACCATCTTCTAGGAGGTACATGGGTGGAACCACTTGATAGATTGGGAACGTGAGCAGTGTGATGTAGCGATTTGTAGCTCGAGAGATTGCTGGTACTTCTATCACAGGCTGAAATAGGGGGGCGACAGGTATCTTTTGATTGACGCATTTTAATTGGCTGTAACCCCCTGCTGTGACCTGGCAGGAGGCTCAACACAACTCAAGGGATAAACTCACCTACCTACAATAAAAGTCGAGCAGTTACAGAGGGGCAACAAGTGCTGTGACTCTATATTGAAGCAAGGACTTGTCACTTTGTTGTACGTGGGGTTAAGCGTTGCAAGATTGCTGAAGGATCATACCGACTAACGAAATAGCCCTTGAAGTATGTATCAGTTGATAAATATGTGTTGATTCGTCTGACCCCTTAGATTGTGATCATCTCTCAGGGCTAGCCGACTAAATGGATAATGGCTGCCACACGGGAACTTCCGTGGCCGAGGGACAGAGATACGGCAATCTTTATCCAATTGCGAGCATATATTTTCGTACGGTCGTATGTCCACATTATGCCCCAGCCACTATTCCATATTATTGGCGGTTGTAAAAGTGGGGACGCTACTCGTGGAGTATGGAGCTTGAACAATAGCGCCAGTGAGCGGCAGAGACTTGAACTCGAAAGAACTTGGCTTCTAATATCTGCTAGTCAAGTCAAAAATTGAACAACACTTTGGCAACGACCAACCAGGGTGTACTGTATAAAGGCTCCCGATTTCGACGGCCTAAAAGAATACTCAGGACCTATTAAGGATCGTGCTCCTAAGCGTTTCCCATATTCCTTTATTCGACTAGGCAGGGCCCCTTCCAATTACCATAATTCTACGTCGCCCTCCGCACCGAGACAGCCACAATGGGTAACGGCCAGGGAAAGCCTGTCGACCTGAATGGTGAAGGTACATAAAATCCCCCGCGCCATTCTCCGCAAGTCCCACACACCCTCTGTCTATCCTGCATGGTGCGGCGTCCTTGCCGTCCTCGTGCGCGGCCATTTGTGCCATCGCAGCAATGAGACTGCCAGATCACAACTGTCTTCGTTTAAAATCGCATGCTGACGCTCACCACCGCAGTCAGCCTGAAACACTTTCGCTTGTTGAGAGTTGTCGGTCGAGGCTCTTTTGGAAAGGTACGCCTCGTCAAGCGCAGGGACACCAACCTCTACTTTGCCCTCAAGTACATCCGTAAGGATAATGGTATGCCATTGACTTGCACTTATATCTGTTCCACCAGTCTCCCCGACTCTTGTCCCACGGTTCGCGTCTTGATAGCATACCCTCTCTCTGCCTCAAAGCCACGTCTCCTAGGCTGTGGAAACTATTTAGCCCTACGCTGACCGCCATGCCGTAACTGCAGCCGTAAGATACGAGAGCGTACAAAATATCATCCGCGAACGGCGGATGCTCGAATACCTCAACCACCCCTTCATCTGCAACTTGAGGTACAGCTTCCAGGATATTGAGTATATGTACGGCCCCAACTGAATACCATGCCGACGAGTGTCATGCTTGTGGCTTACCCCGCAGCGATAGCTACCTTGTATTCGACTTCATGACCGGCGGTGATTTGCGATTCCACATCTCCAGAAAGACCTTCACCGAGGAGGCGATTAAGTTCTGGATCGCAGAGCTGGGGTGTGCCCTGAGATATATCCACAGTCAGAGCATTATCCACAGAGATATCAAGCCTGACAACGTCCTTCTCGATGCCGATGGCCACGTCCACTTGACCGATTTTGTATGTTCCTGCTGTCTCCGCCCCGGACGTGTGCGTTTTGCTAACTATGAGCTAGAATGTTGCCAAGGACGTCGTGGCTGGCAAGACTCTGACGAGCAAATCCGGTACTCTGGCCTATCTTGCCCCCGAAGTATATACTGGAAAGGGATACGATGTCCGCGCGGATTGGTGGTCACTGGGTGTCCTGTTCTATGAGTGTATCTACAACAAGGTACGTGTAAATGGCAGCACGTCTCTTTCCAAACAGCCGGAAGTACTCTCGGCCCTCTCCACGCGCTAGGCAAGCAAGACTGACTTGATAAAAGAGACCCTTTTATGGTGACTCGGAAGCCTCCCTCAGATCGCAAATCCTAGCCGCCAGCCCTCAGTACCCAGCCACTCACCCCCCAGTGTCGCTCGCCTGCCTCCATGCGGTCGGCTCCGCCCTTGACCCCAACCGAAATACTCGCATGGGATCGACATGGGACAGCTTCGCCAATGACGAATTCTTCAAGGTCTTCGACTTTGAGCTTCTCGAGCAGAAGCGGATCGAGCCCATCTTTGTTCCTTGTTCCCATAAGACCAACTTCGACGGCGCCTATGAGGTTGAAGAACTACTCTTTGAAACCTCACCACTCGAGGCCCGAGCAAGGCGCCCGAAGCTGAGAGAGCGGCAGAAAGAGGGTATCACCGAAAAGGAGATCCGCGAGGATGAGCTACATCGGATAATTGAGACCGACTTTCGGCCGTATGACTATACTTTGGTTGCATACAACAAGTGAGGTGGTTCATTCTTTTGGCCCTATAGCTCTTATGCTAACCCCAACAGCGTCGCTAAAGCCGCCCAAAGTCTTAATGATGAGTCGCAAGCCGACCCGGACAACGCTCCTCAGGCCATATCGACTCATGAGGCCAGTCCCATGCTGGTCCCTTGCCTCCGGCACCAGAAGAACTTCCGAAACCAGCCCACCCCATTATCACGGGACAATCCAGTCACAAATACTACTGGGGGCGCTCATGTGACGCTGGGAGGGCGTGGTAGCTGCTCAGAGTTGGCACGCCAGCATGCGACCCTATCGGTGGATGTCAATAATACCGCCGAGTACAAGAATGAGAGCTCAGGTGGCATGTTTGGATTCCTGAAAAGCAAGGAAAGGTGGAACAATGGCTTAAAACCCAAAGAGAGGGGTATTTTGGGCAAGAAAGGCGCCCGTGCTGTTATCGGCTAGAGAGGGATTGCGGTTCACAATGGGCCATCGGCGACGATGGATCGATACCCAGAGACTCGCGCTCGAAATCATTCTAGAGTCGGGACTACACCTGCGAAACTGTGACCAGTCAGCTTCGTGAACATACAGTCATAATCACTGCACGCCCCTCTTAAGTCCCTTAGATCAGGGCCTCCATGCGTTACAAAGTGCCTGAGTTCCTTCAAGACCGTCGGAGCATAGTGCTAGAGAACTGTTCTACAGCTAAATGACGGCCCTTCTACCCGACGACGGACGCTTTGTGCAGAAGTTGAAATGCAAGCACCTACGGTTTTTTCCTTCCTGTGGCAATCTCCTGCAGGGTTTTTATAATCATTCATTACTAGGATCTAATTCCCAGGTTATTCTTTCTCCACCTGAAGCATAGATCGCTCGGCAACTAGGACATCTCACATCCATTAGATAGAAGACAACGTTGCTCGTGAAACATCTCACCTAGTTAGCGCTCTCCATATATTCACTCAATCGAACATAAAGATCAAATCAACCAATCTGATAAACTGCCGCCTTCAATCAATTCAAATCATCCGATCTTTTAAATTGAAATGATAGGTATACTGCTACCTCCACCTCAAGTCTTCACGTCCCCGTTAAGGGTTGTCCGGCTGTTGTACTAATTACCCTATACCTACCACACAGCCCAAGATGAGCGGTACATCGCTCCCTGACTAAAACCCATCCCGCATACGACAAGTTCACACCTGTCGAGACATGGGACGGTAACGACACTCGGCCTAGAGTCATGACATGTGTCCGACGAGACCCAAGGCTCCTGGCTGATCAGATCCGGCCCTTTCAGACTCGGGATATTCTATGGCTTACAATCAACGGCATGACGATAGTTAACTTCTATCGTCAGAACAACGAGAGTGATGCCCTGAACATACTGATACGATGGCCTGTTCCGGAACGCTGCCTTATCGCCGGCGACTTTAACGCCAGACATGATACTTGGCAGACGGGACAAGCGACGAACCGTAGCCAAGAAATTGCAGACTGGGCATCAGAAATGATCTCGACCTACTTAACACTCAAGATATTCCAACAAACCCACACGGCAACACGATCGACCTTGCCTTTACTAATATGCCACTTGCTGAAGCTACCGTCGAAGATCACCTTGCCACTAGCTCTGACCACTTCACACTCAGCCTTACCCTCCCCGATGCGGGACTAGCCCCGATGCAACCGGGCCGGGTCCGGGTGACAACAGATGACGAGCTTAAACGATTCGCTGAGATCGTAGAGCTTGGAGCCGCTGGACTCCCCACAGCTGATTCAACCCCATCCGAGCTTGATGAGCTTGCCTCTGCACTCGTGGATCTCCTAACATCGGCAGTAAAGGCAGCTGGCCGGCCTACACGGAAGGGCGCACGTACTGCTCCTTGGTGGACTGAGGAGTGTGCCGGCGCCGCGGCGGCATTCCGTGCCATCAGAAGACTCTACCCTCTCGGCTTCAACGAGGAAGTCCAAATCGCCAAACGAGACTTCCATCGCGTAGTCCGCCGAGCCAAAAGGCTCTACTGGCGGAATCTCATCGACACCTTCTCCGACAGTAGCTCTGTTTTCAAAGCCGTTCGGTGACTGAAGTCCCCAGGGCCCTTCCAGCCGCCACCATTGCAGGTTGACGATGTCGTCTACGAATCTCAGATAGATAAGGCTAACGCTCTCCGACAAGCCACGCTGGAACGACGAACGGCAGACGACGACATCCAAGACCCTTGGATGCTCGTCTCTCCTCTTAGACCGATCCCGTTTCCCGTCGAAATCTCCCTAGACGAGGCACAGTATGCGACCCTCCACACAGGCAATACATCTCCAGGATCAGATAATATCACCGTTAACCTTCTTAAAGCCGTATGGCATATCATCGGGACGCACGTCCGCCGCTTATTCGAGAGATGCCTCTCTGTAGGCCACCATCCGAAACCATTTAGGGAGGCCGAAGTGGTCATGATCGCCAAACCCGGACGCCGAGATCTCACGTCGCCACGGGCTTGGCGACCTATCTCTCTGCTCTTCTGCCTCGGCAAGGGTCTAGAACGGCTGATCGCACGCCGTCTAGCATGGGCAGCTATTCACTACAGCGTCCTTCACCCACAACAAGCTGGGGCTCTCCCCAAAAGGTCGGCAACAGACCTAGTGACCGCCCTGATCCATGATATCGAAGAGGCGTTTGCTCGCAAAAAGGTGGCCACCCTGGTCACAATGGACATCCAAGGCGCGTTCGACACCGTCTTGCGCAACAGATTGGTGCTGCGATTGCGTGAACAAGGATGGCCTGACCATCTCGCTAGATGGGCTGGATCCTTCATGAGTGGCCGTTCGGCCCGTGTCAGATATCAAGACACCCTCACACCCTCCTCTCCTCTCCAATGCGGCCTCCCTCAGGGGTCGCCTGTATCGCCGATTCTTTTCCTGCTCTATACAGAGCCCATCTACCGATTGGACAACCCCCAAGGCCGCTTTGGCTATGCCGACGATACAGCCATCCTGTCCGTAGGCGATACAGTAGATGAAACTGCCGCTATGGCATCCAGTTCCATCGACGAGATGGTACGCTGGGGCGCGACAAACGGCGTCTCCTTCGACTCGAAGAAGACCGAAGTCATACACTTCTCTCGCAGCAAACTCAGGACCGCCCCAGCGGTACGTCACGGAGATATCGAGAAACATCCCGAGTCAGCCGTACGCTGGCTGGGCATCTGGCTTGACAGCAGGCTATCGTTCCGAATCCATGTAGAGAAGTGGGCAGCGAAAGCGCAAGCCGTGGCCTACCATCTGCGAGGATTCACCAACACGAAACACGGCCGGCTGCCGGCTGCCGTACGAAGTGCTGTCAGGGCATGTGTCGAGCCCGTGCTACTCTACGGCGCCGAGGCCTGGTACCCGGGCACAACCAGACCGCGATGGAATCAACCCACCAAAGACCTATCGTCAAGCAACCAGCATCTCATACAGAGAATGACCAAGGCCATGAACCAGTCTATGAGAGCTATACTTCCCGTCTGGAAGACAACACCTATTGCTGCTCTCCACCGAGAAAGTGGGATACCGCCAGTCGCTCAACTCCTCGAAGCGCGGCGACTCCGATTCTCTGCGCGACTCAAATCGCTTGACGAGGCTCACCCTCTGGCGAGTCGAACGCGCCCGCCCCTCCAACCTGCTTACCACGACCTCATCAAGCGAAGATATCAAGCACAGGCAGAGTGCAGCTTCAGAACACGTCTTCGACGCACAGATGAGCTCCTTGCGCCGTGCGCGCGACCGAAGCTCATCCAGCAATGCTTCAACCAAGAACAAATGCCACCGCTGCAGACAGCGTCGAAGAAGGAAACGGCCGACGCTTTCCTCCGTTGGATGCAGTCACTCGACCCGCTCACCCTAGTCGTATACTCAGATGGCTCTCTCTCCTCTCAGGGAGCTGCCAGCTACGGCTTTACTATTCACCAGGGCAACTTCCCCGTCCTCGGCGGATCAGGTCGCCTTGGACCTGCCGAGGTCTTTGATGCCGAAGCTGCAGGAGCACTGGAAGGCCTTAGAGCCGCCTTAACCCTGCAAGATTCAGCAACACAAGACATCATAGTCTGCCTAGACAACCTCGAGGCCGCCACGTGCCTGCGAGGCACACCGTCCGACTCCTCTCAGGGCGTCTTTCTCGAGTTTCAGGCACTAGCGGCATCGCATGGAGCCACACAGGTACGCTGGGTGCCAGGACACACTGACATCCCTGGCAACGAACAGGCCGATAAACTGGCCAAAGCAGAATCGTCAGCCCCCGAACCTGAGGAATCTCAGCCAACACTAACATACTTGCAAAGGATTGCAAGACAGAAACCGAAAGAAGCATTCGAGACGTGGTGGTCTACCTCCGCCCCTGAGCAGTATAAGAGACTCAATCTCAAGGCGACTACAGGTTGCCCGCCGGAGCTCTCGCTCCCGCGCGCGGCCTTGCACCATCTGCTGGCAGCGAGATCCCTCCACGGGGATTTCGCCGCATATCACGAGAGATTTGACCACATCGATGCACGCCTGGTCTGCTCGTGCAACCGACGCAAAGCACCGGATCACATCTTCTATTGCAGAAAGGTACCGCCGCATCATCGGATGAGGCTTGCACCCTCACCGAATGCAGCGGTCAATCTAGCAATAGGAAAAGACTTTACCAAATATATCGACCTGTCCAAGGACAGCGCGTTCTTTGGAAAGATTTGCCCCCGTTATTAGGCGACCGCGACTGGAGAAGCACTCGCGACTCTTTTTCTTTCTTTATCTTCCACACATTTCTTTTGTTACCTTTTCTTCCTCTCTCGTATGCTCACGGCCAGACGAAGGGCGCCACCACGCCCTCCATCTGGCCGGGACCACCTTGAGGTAGTCTCGAGCTGCCGCACACACACAGACTGATCTCCACTCTCCTGATATCAGGCCAAAAGCGGCTGCGATATGCCAGCTCCGCCTTGTCGTCCCGCTGACGGGTAACAGGCCCGATAGGATGCGCCATTCGTGCCGATGATATGCTGGATAGAGTGCGGTCTACTGACGCGTTTGCAGAAATCGGATGCTGAGCGGAAGACTAATTTCGCGTTGCGAATGACTAATCCTTTGTAGCCAATAGCATTTCTGTAAATAGCGTGTAGATAGATTCCGACTTCTCTAGCCCAGCACGTCCTGTGCCCCAGTAGGGGACTTTCGGGGCCGATAACCCCCCGGACGAAAAATATACATACATACATACATACATACATACTCCGCCACAAGACAGAATGGAGTTTCGCGATAGACATGAAGCTTCGGACTTGAGAGCCAACATAAGAGGGTGCGACTGGTGTAACGGACTGTGTTCTCGCAGCGTTCTATCACCAAGTCTAATGCCCTCATGGTACACGATATTTTCTGTTCATCCACGTATGAGCTCTTAATACACAAACCCCCCTGGCGGCACCCTTGTGCCATAACATAGTCTGACATCAATGAATGTCGATCTGGTAACCGCGTCATTGCTCGTAGGATATCACGTCGAGCGTTCTCCAAGATGACCAGTCATTGAGTTCTCTCTGGCCATAGGCCGGTAGACGCAAGAGCATTGCTGCCCAAGTCCTTGGCACTTATGTGCGGCTGATTCATCCGGTCAAAGTAATTCTCCTCTCGCTCTAATACATCGCTTAGATGGGCGCGCGCCTCACAGTTCAGACTTCGGATATCTTGGCTCAAATCAGGCCGAGATGATTTTGCGAGTCTTGCTCCCTTCTTCGATTTTCCACTTTCTCGAAGGACCTCGAACCATCTACTACCTTCCCGAGAAGGGAAGAACCGTTGACAGGCAACGCCCTCGATCCATGGTAATTCTGCAGATGGCTCCAGACCTGATATCGGCCTTCCTCTTCCTCTTGGGTTTTTCCACAGGTGCTCCTCCATACAATGACGCCCCATCTTTTGGGCTTGCCGGAACATACGGCCACATTTCCGGCACTTCAGCCCGTCTAATCTCGGTGCAGCAAGGCAAGAAATCGGTTTAATCGGTATGCGTGGTAGTCGAAGCTTAGACTGGTCTTGGAGAAGATTTGGGACTGCTTTGACCTGCTCTACCAATCTATGCCGGCATTCCAGAGCAATATCGTTGTGTTTTGTCCTGAGGTGTGTGTTCACCTCGTTGGGGAGGGTTGCAAATCCGCATAACTCGCATACTAGAAGTTGATATTCTGGAAGGATAACGAATGGGTGGATTGGGTTGGATGATTGAGATTGCTTACTAGGGCCCATTGTCTTCATTGGAAAGAAACTTGTTATACGGCGATTGGGCATATGCTCTTTATATCTCGGTCTTGGTGAAGGGGGAGGATCTCTATGAACCATCTAAAAGGTTATTACTAGTTAATATATGCCGTTAATCACGCGTAGTCGCGTCTGCTCACCAGCTACGCGTCCTGTAACTAATTTAATTATTGACCCTGGTTTAAATCAAGTCTACTCCTAGCATAAATGAAGCCTACCCCTGCGAAATTCAAGCCTACTCCCTTGTTAGGTGGGTCTAGAAATTAAATTCTACTCCCCTGTAAAATTCAATTCTACCCTGGGTTGTTTGATATAAAACAAATGAATTCTACGTAGAATTGATTTTGGTATGGAGCACTTGTCACGGGCTGGGCTCGGTATACAGGTGAACGGGGAACGCTCCAGGCGGAATATGATCTATTGCTACGGATAGGCACTGCAGGCAGGTCAGGCTCTATTGACAAGACGTAGCTCGAGGAGCTACGTTCAGGAACTATCTGGTCGGTGAACAAAGTCTCTGCGATAACGTATCGCCACGTGATCCGGATCTACCTTGTGAGTGGTCTAGGGTAGGCCAGTCTGGTCTCGAGCTGTGACAGCACTAGGGTGTTATGACCGCACCACGGAAAGGCAGTATAAGACAAGAATTTCAGAAGTCTTTAATTAGAACCTTAAGTCCTCTAGCAATTAAAGTCTAATTAAGACAAAGATTCTTTCTTTTACTTTATTTTTTTATTTTTATTTAATCTTTTACTAACCTCTTTATTTTTCTTAATTCTTTCTTTCTTTATATTATTATACCCTTTTTTATCTTATACTCTCTCTTCCTATTCTTAATCTTAATTTTACTTTAATTTTAACCTTATATCTCCCTTACCTCTTTACCTAATCCTCATTTTAACTTTATAACCCTAACCTTTTTATCTTTACCTTTACCTTAACTCTTTACATACTTTATAACCCTTACCCTTTATTTTTTTCTCTTTTCTTTAATTACAAATGGAAACTCGGACAATTTTATAAATGGATCCATTTTAACGACTATAATAATATAGTTCGATCTTTATTTATATAACTATTTACTTAATTTAAATATTCCCTAAACTTGCTTTTGTTGTTGCTATGCTATTAAACTATAATATTATAGCTTATCTCCTAAGAGCCCAACAGTGTCACAGCGCAAGACCAGACCAGGTTACCCTAGACCGATAGGCCAAGTGGATCTCAGTCACGTGGCGATACGTTATCGCAGAAGATCTTGACCGACCGCCAGATAGCTCCCGAACGTAGCTCCTCGAGCTACGTCTTGTCAATAGAGCCTGACCTGCCGGCAGTGCCTATCCGTAGCAATAGAACCTATCCGCCTAAAGCGTTCCCTGTTCACCTGTATTCCCGAGCCTGACCCGTGACAATAAGGAAATAATTAATAGCTTCCATGGCATATAACAATTTGATATTCAGAAAAAGAGGTAAAAGGGTATACAGGGTAAGAATGACCTAGCTCCCTCGTAGACACAAGCGCCATGGCCTGGTAAGTTAGTTTTAAAAAGATTTAATAATAATTACCGCATCAACTGAGTAAATTCGTTAGAGCCTGTGGGGTCAAGCTAATGCATGGGCCCGCAGTTTCTAACTATATGTGGTTACCACCAATTTGCGAACCCAACCTCCACTGTCCTTACCCTCCTTTGGATTTCCTTGGTACCTCGCTGATATCTCGACTTCTTACGGTCGCTATGACTTCTAATTTAGGGAATGCATTTATTGATATCGTCTGTATGTGTGTGCGAAAGAACGACATTTTTTGACGACTTTGACGCAATATACAGATGTAACCGAAGATTTCGATGACGATGAATGCTTCGCGATCGGACAGACCTACCGCCTCGTTTATCGACTCCCCTCTTCGCCTGGTCAAGAAGAAGGGATTTCCCTGACGAAAAATGATACTCACTACGGCTGGGTTAGAATAAGAAGTCGTCAATTAGTTGATGATGTCCCAAAGAAGGGAAAATGGTGTTTTTGTAAGCCTGAACGTAGAGGGAAAAGGTGGAAGAAATTCGACCAAAGACTCGGCCGTTATCGCGAGTGGCAGGAAGGGGAGGCTTTTTTCTGGGTTGACGATCAATTTGACGGTCAGGACCAAGTATGACTATCTTCTGCCCTAAATATAACTCTAGGACTGTCAATTTGGACTGTAATTGAGTCCTCAGTTGTTTCTACAGTAGTTAAATGACTTCTGAGCAGTTCAATAAGGTCAGACTTCTTCCCCTTCGTTGACAGCCCGTTTGAAGATGCCAATTGCCGTAATTGGGCGACTTTCAGTCGTCTCAGTGCCAATATGAGGGTATCTTGGTCGTATTCCTCGTCAGGACCGAAGGAAAGCTCCTCTTCGTCACACAGCCGGTCCACAAGCTCTTCCGACTTAATAGATATATCTCCAGCATTCTCCCAGCCTGAAAAGTCGATATTTTCAATTCCTTTGATGGAAATAAGATGATCTTGACTTCCGTCTGGTCTTGTAGTTATTCCTGATCGAAGGAACGAGTCTCTGATCATGTCTTGTTCTTTTTTTATCCTCTCCCAAGCTCTGTAGACAATCCACGTTGTCATGATCCTTCTTTCGCTGACGGTCCACTGAGTTTTTCCTTTCCGTTCTTCTTCTAGCTCGTATATATCCATTTCCTCACGATAGAATTGTTTAAATACCCTGTTTATTGTCGTATCTAACGGCTGTAATAGGCTCGTACAGCCGGCCGGGATAAGAGCTGGAGTCACAAGCTGTCTCCTGACTTCCTCCTTGACCCGATCCGTAAGATGGAAAGTGGCGGCATCCATCACCAAAAGGAAGTCCTCAGTTGCTGATTTGACGGTCGGGATATCATCTTTTAACCAGTTTTCCATCAGGTCTTCGTTATTATATGCATGATCATTGTATATCACCTTGATCCCTGGAGCGTACTGATTACCCTCATCTTGAAATATCCTGGAATTGTCGCCTGGGGAACCTTTAAATATGATCGTAGGTTCAAGCCGGCAAACGCCGTCACCGAAGATATATAAAATCGCTGTTGCCTGCCGCTTTTCCCACCCACTTCTGATAGTCTTCACCGAGATAGTTTTGGAGCCCTGTAAAGCCCAGGTATCTCCGGAGTCAATTTCGAACGTTATAGGCGTCTCATCAACATTTAAAGTATACCGTTGTTTAAAGCGTCTTCGGGGCGTATTAAGGATGTTTTCAATATCCATTTTGGGCGATAACTGCTGTTTTAATGGCGATAATTGTTGATCGTGTTGTACGCGCTTAATGAACTTACAGAAAGATCCACAAATCTCGCGATAAGCTTCAGGTTGTTGAGTAGCCCGTTTTGTAACCCTACGCTTGACGATATTGTATCGCTTCCTGAAGCCTGCCCACCAGCCATTAGAAAATGTAAATAATACAGCTTGTTCCTCTGACGATACTGATGATCTGAATATGTCTTTTGCCCGTTTTCGGAACCATGCTGTTGATACAGCGCGCTGTTGAAATCGCAGCTGGATAAACTCTTCAAACAATTGCTTCTCGAGATCAGGCCACCGGACCGAATAGCTTCGTTTTTCTTTCTCTATGTTCTGCATATCTTCTCTCCACCAAGAGCTTATCGTGGTCTGCTTAACTTGAAAGTAAGCAGCAGCCTCGCTTTGTAACGGTCTTCTATATCCATTGATCGATTTTGGGTGGTCAGGATCGAAAACCCGATGATGATATAGGAACACCACTACCTCGAGCCGCCTTTCCTTCGAATGCCTCTCTTCCTTCCGAAAAACCGGTTTTGCAACCTTATATACCCGATCCTGGATTGGCTTTGCCTTCTGCCCACGTTTCTTGGGTTTAGGCGGTCGGCCGGCCCCAGAACTTTGGGGAGTGATAGATCTCGCTCCAGGGGACATTTTTATATATAATAAATGTGGTGATAGCTTCAATTGCGATGTAAATTGTGGTGTGCGATTAATTAGATGCCAGGTCTGAGTATTTTCGGCCTGATCGTCTGATATGTGCGGGGAAGAGCCGCATGTAATGACCTTCCTATTTGGGCTAGGCTGACGCTAATGGGATCCACAGGCTCTAACGAATTTACTCAGTTGATGCGGTATTAGCTGAATTTTACATTTATCGTGACAAAAGCTGTTGACGCGCTGACGTAAAGTGTTGCCTTGCGCGAACCTGTAACCAGGCACCAATTAGAAATCCAAGTTAACCACCTAAGTCGAATCTGCTCCACGCTAAAAAAGTCGATTTTCGAAATTCAAGTCTATCCCTGGTCAAAAATCAAGTCTACCCCCTGGAAAGCGGGGTAAAATAAATCAATTGTACAACAATTGATTTTGGACTGTAGGACTAGGCTTAATTTGCTTACGATATCGGCAAGATGAGTTATACCGTCTTCGTCGTCACGTATCCCATCTTCGGCAGGTACTCGAATGCCAAACTCTGCACCCTTGGGCTGTAAAAATTGGCCTATCGAGGCGCTATTACCCCGCCCACGACTGACCAGAAGTATGCACGGAACTTTGCATCTCGAACTCTGATTGGCCATATCAAAAGCAATACCAGATAGTACCACCCACGTGCCCTGTGATAGCTCCACGTGTGTCCATATAAAATGATGTGCTTGTCCAGGAGACGATAGGATCTCGCTCTGAAAGTCTAACTCGATTCACGTGTCAGAAAAATGGTTCGCGTCCTCCTTACGGGCGGCAATGGCTTTGTTGCTAGCCACATTCTTGATGCCCTCCTGAGTAATGGACATTCCATAACGATTACGGTTCGCAGCAAGGAGAAAGGTGACCAAGTACTCGCACGATACAAAAATACTACTAAAGCCGAAATCGCCGTTTGTGTCATCCCCGACTTTACCGCACATGGAGCCTTCGATGAATGCCTTCAATCAAGCACAAGCTTGGACGTCGTCATGCATGTCGCCTCACCTTTCTATTATTCGGCGACTGACATCAAGCGAGAATTGCTGGACCCGTCCATTGTCGGCACCACATCCTTACTAACAGCGGTTTGCGACCACGCCCCATCAGTCAAAACCGTGATCCTCACCTCCTCCTTTGCTGCAATCCTGAACAGCTACAAGC